ATTTTACGGCGATCTTGAAATCTTAGAGACCAGGTTTCGGCTCCATAGAGAAAAATTGGAAACACAAGATATTTCATCAATCTTGAGATAGCAGAGGTATATGAAGGTCTGTACAACTTCGCAATTAGCTATGTTTTGTACATTGGTTCCATTTTGTTCAGCCCGGTCTACTATCTTCGTCTTATCCCGGTTAATAGCAAGTCCGAATTTAAGGTTCGTAGTTTCCAGACCAGTCAGTAGAATTTCCATGTCTTCTCTAGTCTGTGCGAGAAGGATAGTATCATCAGTGTATCTCATGTTGTTTATCCCTCGTCCCCAAACTGATATACCTTTATCCCATTCTTCCAAGACAATGCGCATAATGTACGTATGTGTATAGTTTAATAAACATTAAATTAATTAATTAATTCAAGTTTTGAAAATATTTTTGTATAAATCGATACTGTGTTTATTGTAGCGATAATTAGGTTACTTTTTCCCCTACCTATGCTGATATCCTTGAGAGGCTATTTTAGCTTTACCCTAGCGTGTAGGTGAGCTCTCGGGCTCAAACCGAAGGTTTTGCTACCACTGGCCCTAGCAAGAGCAGTGCTTCGCTTCTACCACCAGATCGGAAACACAACCCACTGAGAAGATCCGAACTCAGTGGGCTGTTAGGTTACATTATTTCGTAGTCGCACTCAACAACGAACTAAAAAGGTGGGCAATTTGTTTACTGCAGCTACCCGCAGCTACTTGAAGTCATTGCACTTGCGAAAGCATTTAAGTTTAAGATCACCATTATTTTGAATATTGTGGTTGTATAGTGTGAATAAAGTAGTCTTTTATCGCCTTCGAAGACGAGTACACGAAACTTTAAGCAGACCGAAAAGTTCTGCTTAAAGTTTCTTTTTTTTCCCTACCTAAGAGGCAATTCCATCTTCGTGCGACCGGGATGTTGACCTCACGGGTTCAACCTGAAAGAATTTGCAAACACAATCCCTATCAAGAGCAGTGTTTCGCAGAATCTACAACCGGATCGGAATCACGACCCATTGAGAAGATCCGGCGAGGAATTCAGTAGGCTATGTCGATGGGTGAAGCTTTTCAGAAACACCGTAGTTTATCGGATCATACCGTGATACATTGACTACTTGTTGCATACAAAACAACAAACGTTCGGTACAAAAACAGCAATATCTAAACCGGAAATTAAACGCATCGATTACGATACGATATGCGACATGATCCGACAAATAAAGCGGAACGCAGTATTAAGGGCGACACTGATATCTGAGATTCGCTTCCACTGAATAGAGTTCTTAGAACATAGGACGTAAGGGTTAAATTTGATTGATAGTGGCGTGGGAACTGGTCGATGCGGTTGTAGTAGACACTTAAAGTACCGTAATGGATATCTATATATTAATACGTGAAGCAAAAACTTTGTATCCCTTTCTACGAAAATTGCGCGGACGGAGGAGTATGAAATTTTCCACACTTATAGAGAATATAGAGAAGAAGTGCACAATGCTAATATTTTTTTAAAGTAATGCATAAAAGATACATTAAATCAATAAAGAAAACATTACACACTACATACCATGTTTGACGCGCACACGCATGCATACTATTTATTGTCAAACTTTTGTTCTTGACGTCTGTGGTCAAATCGAGAATAGATTAAATATTGTTTTTTTTATTTTTTTATTGCTTAGATGGGTGGACGAGCTCACAGCCCACCTGATGTTAAGTGGTTACTGGAGCCCATAGACATCCACAACGTAAATGCGCCACCCACCTTGAGATACAAGTTCTAAGGTCTCAAGTATAGTAACGACGGCTGCCCCACCCTTCAAACCGAAACGCATTACTGCTTCACGGCAGAAATAGGCAGGGTGTTGGTACCCACCCGCGCGGACTCACAAGAGGTCCTACCACCAGTAATTAATATTATGTCTTAGTTAATATTTTTTATAGTGTAGTCTTGGCGAAATTTGTGATTATAGAAGTATAAAATACAATAATAATAGTGTACAAGCTTACAATTCCAATTAATTATACTCGAATTTCGACTACTGCGGGACCTCTAGTATGTATTAAGTATGTGATTTTTTTTGTATGAATGTGATACCTATATGTGGGCAAACGAACTCAAAGACTATCAGGTGGTATGTGGAGTCCATAGATATCACAACATCTGAGATCTCATTACCTAAGCATTCAGGATTATTACGCGAAAATCTCATTTAAATCTCTAAGCAAAAACATAAGTTCCACATTCGAAAGTATTTTAAACCATATAAAATTTACTATTTAAAGTAATATTTCGTGACTAATGACTTGAACACGTGTTCACGGTCGATCAAATAGGTGCTCGTGAATCACGGATCAGATAATTGACCGGCCGGACGTCTTAAGGTACAAACGATTCAGTCATTTTCATTACGAAGTTTTACGAGCACTCAGAGCTCACACATACGTCACGTTTCCGAGGATCTGGTCATATTGAAAACCTCTTTGAATTATAAGTGAGACGCCTTTTTCAATTACGTGACTAATGAGGCATACTCTCGCATACACTGTTTCAGTATTTTTTTACACGCTTTATATTAGCTTCACTTGTATATATGTTTGTAACTGACTCTTTTAGACGCGATTTTGACCCACTTTAAACGGCCAGATTTCATTCAAACTTTGTAGATTTATCGAAGACCGATGACAATACACTAATTTGATAAGATTATTCCATTATTCAATTTGCAAAATAAGATTTTTGCCAATTTATATAATTTTTATCTATAGTCTATAAGGCAGGAATTGATATTAAAGTACTTAATAGTTTTAAAAGCAGCGCTTTTATAGAAAAATTAACTAAAAAATGAAAAATAAATAATAGTTTAAACAAAACTAAAAAACACGCTTTATATAAAATTCAACTAAAAAATAGAAAATAAATTTTAACATTATTTTTTTATTGATTAGATGTATGGACGAGCTCACAGCCCACCTGGTGTTAAGTGATTACTGGAGCCCATAGACATCGACAACGTAAATGCGCCACACACCTTGAGATATATTATAAGTTGTAAGGTATCAGTATAGTCACAACGGCTGCCCCACCCTTCAAACCGAAACGCATTACTGCTTCACGGCAGAAATAGGCGGAGCGGTGGTACCTATCCGTGCGGACTCACAAGAGGTCTTACCACCAGTAATTACGCAAATTATAATTTTGCGGGTTTAATTTTTATTACACAATGTTATTCCTTCACCGTGGAAGTCAATCGTCAATATTGGTTAATTACGTATTTCATTAGAAAAATTGGTACCCGCCTGCGGGAATCGAACACCGGTGCATCGCTACATACGAATGCACCGGACGTCTTATCCTTCAGGGCACGACGATTAAAATTGATTTTTAAGATATTTACGCGACATTGACGAATCCGAAGCCACGACGGCTTTTTAAGATATTATTGAAATAATAATTCTTCTACTCATATCTGTCAGAAAAATATTTTTATAACTGAAATGGTTAATAACGATTTTGTTTACAGACAGTCCTCTGTACAGGGGAAACAAACGACAAACAATGATGCTCGCATGCTCTTCAAGATCGTGGGCCACACATCAGGCATCATACCACAACTGGCTGTTTTCCTGGAGGAGCTGGGATGACACTCATTAGATTACACATAAAATAGGCGCAGCTTGGAGGCGTCAATTTGCAAGACTGTCCATTAGCTGTATCATGTTTCTGTTACATTACAACCATCAAATTATAGGCCTCAAAGTTGTATTAAGGAAAGTTTGTGTTTTTCATTCATTTGAGTCCGAGCCACAACTAATTGAGAATTATTATACATTATTATTATTACTTATTTCTTTGGATATATTATTTTTGTGTTCAGTTTACAGTATTGAACACTTGACTTAATAAATCAAAAAATAATTAATTACTACAAGCAATCATGACTAAAGGAAAAAAAAATGCTTTAACTTTTAGTCTTGATATGTACCTTAGATCCTTTTAAAATTTTATGTGTAATAGTTTATGCTAACAAATGCACAATCATCACAAATTATTTCCACCTTAAACAAATTAATGAAAGTGTATCACTTTATTTTGAATTTTAAAAATGCATGACTTCAGGATTGCCAGAAAAAACAGCATTTAAATTTTTGTTACTTGTAACAAAATTAAACCATAAAGTATTTTCGATAATTATGAATTTCCTTTAGTTCTATAACTATGTTGCATTCACTGACAAATTCACCGTCAATTATGAGACTGACATGAGACCTTATTTGACTATATAAAGTGGAGTGAATGTGTTTAAAGATTATACAAAATATGCTTCACTATGCAAATATGCATGTATTATTTTTGGGCCAATGTTAGTCTTTTAAAATGCAGTATTTTATGATTATTCAATATGAACATTTGCGAATGATCATAGGATATTTATTAATGTGAGGAGTTAACTTTAGCCAGGAACTGGCATAACAGTTTAAAAATAAGCTGGAAGTGTGAAGGTAGTTTAAAAAAATTGTATTTAGAATCTACTCAATCTTCAATTTATATTTGTAAAATTTTTGATTTCATAAAATCATACAACTCGATTTATGTTTGGTCTCTACAGATTTATTTATGGTAGGCAGTGGCTTGGCTCTGCCCCTGGCATTGCTGACGTCCATGAGCGACGGTGACCACTTACCATCAGGTGGGCCGTATGCTCGTCTGCCTACAAAGGCAATAAAAAAAAATATATGTTTGATAAATATAACGTACTTACTTAACTTCGTTGGAAACAGGTAGGTGATTGATTGCAATTATTGTTATATTTCAAACTTCACCTATTTAAACAATAGTTCAAATCTAAGTAAATTTAATATTCGACCATTTATTTATTTTAAAATTACATAAAACTTTTTAAGCGATGCAAACACGAAAACCAGTACCACGTGAACCTAAGCGGATTAAAATTAACAACAAATGTACGCAAGCAGGTACTTACATCTGAGAGTAAAGTTCCTCGTAGCAAAGCTTTACTACAACTTTTACGTCACACACTAAAACGCAGATTTTACTGATAAGTCTCGCTGACACTGAAAATATTGTTTCTTTTTTTTGGTATTTATACACCTAACAAAAACTTGGGTACACCATGGTGTGGAACGTAAAACGCATTAAATTTGTATTAGGCTACTTCGTGTACTACCTTCCACTTCGTAGTACCACTATATCCATCCAGTCACACATCACATTACTTGAGCAAGCATAGCTCGTTTGATCACAGTAGATATACTGATATAGCATCAGGAATGTGTCATTTTCGGCTACATTCACGAACGCAAAGCAGACTTACTTCGACATTTATCTGACTGATATTATTATTATTTTTTATTTATGGCCTGGTATCTGGACCTTTAGGCCAAAGCTAGCTGACTGACTGACAAACTTTTAAAGTTGCCAATGCCAATTTTGAAGTGTTAAACGAGTGAAAAATGAAACAGCTTTAGTAATATTAAAAGGATATGAAAAATCGACTAACCAATTTTATAAAGAAGAAAATACGCACAACTCAAATGAATTAACAGACTGGTTAACAAGGTGTTACTGATAGACAGTGGCTTGGTTGGCATTGACTATGCAGCCTCTGTGATATTCCTGATATTCACAATGAAAACAGAACGATAACAGTCTTTTAAAAAATGTATTTTAAGTAGGTACTGTGATTTTTATGAGAAACTTTCATGCTTTTTGTATAAACCTACTAGTACTATTACTATCAACCCAGACACACCTGGTGATAAAACCTGAGCTCACATTAATTCTCGAGAGTTTTCGCTCAGATCACTGGAGCTCTTCACCAGATTAGAACCCCGTAAGCTCTCTTACTCGCTCGAGAATCTAGTATAACTCCTCGAGGCTACTAGAATAGGCAGGAAATAAAAGTTTAAGTTTTTTTGTAGGAGGGCAAGGTGTCAAATTGTACGACTTGTTTTAAAATAGTGTTTTTCTAGGTTCCAACATCTAATAATATATAATAAAATAAAAATCACGGCGTATTCACTATTAAGTATCTGTAAATGTGTAAATCAAACTTAATTATTAAATGTAGCATCTCTGGTTCTCTCTCTTAAACCCAACTCTTAGTAGATTCCTCCAATTTTCCTGATGCGCTATTTCTTTCTAATCTATCCCATTCAACGACTACAATATTGTTTAATCTCATCTCAAATAATTTCATTCTGATTCATTTCATTTCCCATTCTACAACCTATAGCTTCGCCATTTTCTGACAACAGATTTGCTGGCTTGTCTAATAAACCAATTAAATTACCTGCTGAGAGTATAAACAGAATGTTAGACTTTTTGGCGAGAATGCGTGGAGCGTGTGTAAAATTTTTGGTTTTGTTAACTTGGTGTTTCTTCAGGTTCTAATGTGTAGTAACTGTATTTTAATAACTATTTAGCATCTGTGAAAATGACAAAATGTTGGAAAGGGGATGGCCCATTTTAGGCCCAAAGCGGACAATAGATTATAGAAAAAATACTTAGTGCATTAATTTTGTCATAAATAAATATGCATTTACTTTCTTGCAAATAAGCGCCACTACAGTTTACAATAAGTAGTTTAAAAAAAGTAACTCTATTGAAAAAACAAGGAATTGTATTTTTGCGAGGAAAATATTGCCAGCTTCAAAACCTTTTACGTATGAAGTAAATATTTTGAGTATATAAATAAAACATATAAATAAATCATTTTAAGTATTATCATTAATCAATCGATTTTAATGGATTTTATGCACATAAAATAACATCGAAGACATACCCATTGGACTTTGTCTTGTAACTATTCTTGAGACCTTAGAATTTATATCTCAAGGTGGGTGGCGCATTTACGTTGTAGATGTGTGTGGGCTCGAGTAACCACTTAGCAACACCAGGGTGGCTGTGAGCTCGTCCACCCATCTAAGCAATAAAAAAAACTTTACTAGTATTGTTATTTAAATATGTACAACGAAAACAAAAACATAAAAAATAATGTGTACTCGTAAAAAAAAGACTAAGATATAAATCAATTATCGGTTATTTAAAAAAATTATCGATATATGAATTTCATGTAATTATTTTTCTTTATACTGACAACACTGAATTTAATCTGACTGACTGACACTTCGCTTGCTGCTTGTGCTTGCGTTCAAAATGGATGTGTTTTGATTTTTCTTCGATTTATTTTGCTTTTATCAATAACGTTTCATACTACGGCTGAAAACCATTGTGTGAATTGTGGTTTTAACCTGACCGAGATTTAAAACCGTGTATATGCTCTCCTGTGCTATTTTTAGATGATTTACTAATTGTGTATGAAGATGAAGAAAATATAGAATAATATAGATATTTAAAGAAGTATGTGTGTTTTTTATACCCTAATAACTACAATTGGATAAAAATACATTAGGAACATCTTAAACATTAAAAAAAGAAAAGTTCTTGAGGTATTTATATAGAAAATTAACCTCAAAACGAGTTTTTTATTTTTATTATATTTTTTATAATAGTGGCGTCAATTTCAATATATTTTTTAGATATCTAATACATTTAAGAATTTGAATCAGTCCATTTTTATAGTAATATTTAATGTCCACCTTGGGCCTAGCACACTATGGAGAGTGGGCAATCCCCTTTGAAGTCGTTTGACAATTTTGATATAGCTATTCGGGTTCTTCGAAAAAGTCTACCGAAGTCTTAGCAGATCATCACCATTTTACTAAGACTTTATTACAGAAGATGGGCATCTCGTTTTACTTAATTTCATCCAAATTTATTACAGTCTCAAATAAATCAACTTCACCTCGTTTCGTTTCATATCAATTCTCTTATAATAAAAAATAAAAAGATCAGGCTATGGTGTGATACTGTTGCCTTTTCTGTTTGAAAAATGGAACACACCACTACTGACATAATTCTGTCAATGTCAATGTACAGTTGACAAAATGGTACAAAACAAAGTTATCAGCAACATAAACTGACGTGTACTATTGCAAATAATATTGAATAAGATAATTAAATGTTTATTTGATCATTAAATAATGTTAGAAACGGAAAGACTAATTGATAATTCCGCGGAACCAACCACAAGTGCGGAACAGAGTTCAACTGAGACAGCATCCGCAGAACGTGAAGCATATTTTCAGGCACTACGAATATGGATCCAACAAGCACAATTATATCAGAATTTAACGTGTTTCCCTTATTACATGGTTACATTCCAAGGTTTACAGAACCATCCCACGAACGTACCGTTACTTAATAATAATTATCAGTTTCAAGGCCAACAATTCCCATTTCAAGTTCCGAATGCACCCAGGATTGTACCAGAAGCCGCCCAACAAGTTGCTAGCTTAACTCCTGCCGAAGGTATAAACATACCTCTTTGATAATTAAACGTCGTATGTTATTTTCAATTAAAAATAAAAGGTCAGGCTCATTAAAGTCAATTCAAAGCCCTAAACTAAATTATCAAGAATGGAATATACAATGACATCACCTTATTAACTCTAGATACATGTTCCAAGTTGCTTATTAGTAATAAATAGAGCTTCTACAAATCTGGATTATTAATAGAAATCTAAAACAACCTGTGACTTATTTTCACTAGTACTTATTTATGTTAATAAGGTACTGCATGAAAGTTATAGATGTGTGATTAATACTTATATTATTTAGTAAATAAATAAATAAAATAAAAATCATTTAATTCAGACCACCATAAGTCCATATATAGAGTAATACTTATTAGTATTATGTTAGTAAATAGAATTATGTTAGTAATTTTAAAATGAAAATCAAAATTAGCAAAATTATTAAATAATTTAAACATTTAATTCATTATTTAATTTGTAAAATTTGTTTAATTTTGTTTTTACTAATGTTTATTACACTTTTAGTGATAGCTCGTCATGGTGGCTATGAATATATAATTCCACCTCTACATAAAAGGCTGATAGCTGAATTTATAGATTTTTTACTACTATTTGTATTGAAGTTACTTGTTACATTTGTTGCAGTCGATACACTGGAGATAATGTGAGTATAATAAATAGTTTTAATTGATAATATTAACTGAAAGGAGGTGGGTAAAGTTTGGACTTTTTTAACCTTCAAAGTCATAAAAATTCAAAATCTTATTCAATCAAACTATTATGTTTATGTGAAGATTAGGTTATTATTTTTGCATAGAAGGGTGATCAAACTCAGTATCCATCTGGTGTAGTGTAGACATCAGAACATAAGTACCAAAACTCACCTTGAAACACTGAAGTAGTTGTGGCCTACAGGATTAGACTACCAATGTGTTCAGGTGAAGCGATACAATGGTGTTCAAACCCCACAGACAGGTACCAATTTTACTAATGAAATATATTCACAATAAATGTTCACTATTGATTTCTGTGATGAATAGCATTGAAATAAAAATCAAATCCACAGAATCAGAATTTACATAATTACTGGTGGTAGGACATAATAATATTATGTGAGTCCGCACGGTTAGGAATCACCACCCTGTTATTTCTGCCATGAAGCAGTAAAGCATTATGGTTTGAAGTGTGGGGCAGCCGTTATAACTATACTGAGACCTTAGAACTTATCTCAAGGTGGGTGGCGGCATTTACGTTGTAGATGTTTATGGGCCCCGGTAACCACCTTGCACCAGATGGGCCGTGAGTTCGTCCACCCATATAAGCAATAAAAAAAAAGGTACCCGTTGGCGGGATTCGAACACCGGTGCATCGTTAGATACGATTACACCGGACGTATTATCCTTTAGGCCACTTCATGAATTCCTTAGACACCCTTATAAGCCTGCTTAGTGTTAAGTAGTTATTGGAGTCTATAGACATCAATAAAAGGTAAATATCGTCACTCATCTTGAGAAAAAGGTTCAGAGTCACAATTCTAAAGTACAAAAGCTACCCTGCCCTTCAAACTAGAACGCATTAATGCTTTATAGCAGAAATGGGCAGGGCGACTTTACCAATTCGTACTGATTCACAAGGTGCCCTAGCAGCCGTGTACTATTAATCACTTATTTTATTCTAATACCTTATATCAGAGGAAAGTGAAAGGAAAATTTGAAAATTAACTATTCAACTATTATAGAGATTTTGTCCCTAGTCTCTAATATTATTTATCTAATATAAAGAATCTTTTTTTATGAATGTTTTATTATATTTTAAAAAAGTTATTTCTTTTTTGCAGTGACACAGAAAAATTTGATTTCCAGAAATTCAGTGAATATTATGATGATTATAAATCTGCAATAGAATTCACTTCAGGAATATTGTTTCTGGAAATCGTATATAGGTTACTAGTCTGTCTATTCGAGGTTAGTATTGAATATTGTACTGAATATTGTAAATTTTTCCAGCTATGAACACAATCTGAGCGTGACCTTTTTATATGTTTTTATTTTTACTACACATGTTGCTTTAACTGATAATCATTTATGAACATAGGTCATGTATGAAAATACATAACATAGAAATTTGTTACATTAAATGTTGGAGAGGATGACTCCAATCATCACTCCTCATTTTAAAACTGGGTTGGTGTGCGCCAGTAAAACCCTAACGACTGGCGATGGTCGTCGCAGTTACGTTGCTCCGTTGGCGGCCATGGTCTGGCAACCACTTAAATCCCTCCTACGACTCGGCGGCGACGGATCGGTTCATATAGTGCAGTACTAATCTTTCAATCAATAGATCCGATGCTAGTTTGCTGATTGCCCGAGTAGAGGAGGGATCTCTCAGTCATTTGGATCGTCATTCCAGTACGGTTCACATTGACCATAGCTTTAATCTCCAGGTCTGAGGGCAGTTTCTTGTTCATTATCCACTTTGATAAAGTGGCACGACACGAGAACCCTCTCATCGTGGCCGCCGGTAACTACATTCCCGATCCTGCGGAAAGAAGGAAAGCAGTCGACGTCGCCCCAAACACGTCATTTCGGATCCTCCCGATCCACTAACGGTGCTTTTAGGTACCTCAAGCACCGGTCACCGTTCTCGTCGGACCCGTCGCTTGCGACGAAGGGCTCGTCGAGTAAATTAACCCTCAGACACAGCCTACTGAGTTTCTCGACGGATCTTCACAGTGGGTCGCGTTTCCGATCCGGTGGTAGATTCTGCGAAGCACGGCTCTTGCTAGGGTTCGTGTTAGCAACGTAGTCAGGTTTGAGCCCCGCGAGCTCAACTACTAGTTAAGGTTACGCTGAAATAGCCTATCAAGGCTATCAGCTTAGGTAGGAAAAAAAAGTTCATTATGCATACTCCTAGTAGCTGGTATAAGTATCCAAGTGTCGAACAATTAGCATATCATAACGGCACTGATTATTTCTAGTAAAGTTTTAAGGTGCCTATTTCTGCCGTGAAGCAGTAATGCGTTTCGGTTTGAAGGGTGGGGCAGCCGTTGTGATTATACTTGAGATCTTAGAACCTATATCTCAAGGTGGGTGGCGCATTTACGTTGTGGATGTCTATGGACTCCAGTAACCACTTAACACCAGGTGGGTTGTGAGCTCGTCCAACCATCTAAGCAATAAAAAAAAGGTGTATACTACCAATTAAAAATCTTCAAAACCTGAAAGTCCAAAGTCGCGAAACCTAGATTTTGTTTACTTGAGTAAAAATGGGATTTTGAGGATTATTGGTACTAAGATTTTCAGTTTGGGGTTATGATCTGTAATACAGGTGTGTGTGTGTGTGTTATTTGTCCCATTATTTTTTTGAGGAGTATGAATTTAAGTTAGCCCCCAAAAATGTATGTAATGTGATAGTTATTTACAAATTGCCTCCAAAGATGTATAAGTAACTAAATAATAAGTAACTTTAGTTACTTAGAGACTAAACAGACTAACTAAGATGTAACACAACTAAGATGTAACATTCATTTTAAAAGTGATTTTCTTTTATTTTCAGGCTATTTGTTTATGTGGCAACGTGGGTCAGATAGGAGGAGCGACACCTGGGAAAGCTTTACTAGGACTTCGTGTAGTCACTGCTTCGGCCATATTACCCGTAGAGGGACGTCCGAAAGAGACAGTAGTGCTCTACCCGGGCAGACCCTTGGGGTTTCCCCTGGCATTACTAAGATCACTATTAAAGAATTTCTTGATTTCTCTTCTGTTCCCACTATGCGTTGTTATGTTTGTATTTAAACACAATCGTACCGGTTACGATATTGTTTGTGGTGTCATTGTAGTCGAGGAGAACATGTTTCCACCCAGGAGAAATGCTGCATAAAAATATCTATAGCTTTTACAGTTTTATGTTTCTTAAAATAAATGTTGTACTTTATATAAAAAAATATATAAATTATTTTCATAATGAAATGCAGTCATTTTGTGGCTTGATTACAATCGTAATATTTATGGAAAGTAGTACATAATTTCAATATTTTAATAAAGAGAACTACTTACAACTAAGGACGTGAACTTATATGCGTTTTTTTTGTGAGATTATAATCACTCAACCTGCATCCATCGATCTGAAATAATACGAACTATGAAGTCTTTTTTGATGTGAAAACTTCTTTAGCCGCGTTGTACATTTTTTGGTGTAGGGGAAAATCTTATGGGTTCGCGTCACCAACATGCTAATGTTAATCTTATATCTATATTTATTATTAAATTTAATATGTGGGCTGAAAAAATCGTAGGCTCACACATAAATGGCACTACTATGATTAAATCCATGTGATTTTTAGTTAACCCTAAACTTCAATAGAAGCGTGTATAAAATTTACAGCTATGGTATAATAGCCGGCAAACTTCTTGAGCATTTGTTGACGTAGTGGGGGTAAGTTCGCGCATGGTACACTCACATGCAAAAACATTATTTACTCTGCGTCATAATGCAATTAAATTATTAAAATTAACATATGTATTTATTTATATATTTATTAGAACATCAACAAAAAATATAGGTTAATAATTGTAATAATTTAATCTTGAGGTAAAATAAATATTCCTTCTATTAAGTCAAAACTAGAGCTGTTGCCAGGTCTTGGTTAAGTTGAAGCGAAGCTGGTATTTGTGTTTTTTTTTTCGTTATCATAATCTTGTCCATCATCATCACTGTTTTCATCACCCGAGTCGCTATCATCGTGATGAGTCGACATAGGGCTCATCGGTGTAGTTTACAACTCGGTCGGTTCGGTCTACTTTTTTGTCTATAATTAATAATTTTTTGAAGATATTCGATTCGCAGTAATCGAGTGTAACTTTTTCAATTACCAGCTTCCGATTATTTTCTGTTTTTTTTCCATCTGAAGCCAAGCTCTTTCATAATTCGTAGTAAGCTTCATACCGAGCCATTAAAATTTATATCTTCTTTAAATTTTTCGAAGCCTTTCTACGGTACGGAGTTTCGCTGCTTGTTATGTAGTTATTATGATTACATCTTTTTATTACAGATTGAACGAAACTATCCATTCCGGTAACTTTGTTCTTCCCTGATCTTTTATTACCCGGAGTCCGAAACACGGCGAGCAAGCCAGAGTCTTTAGCTTCGTTAATAATGCACCTAACAGTACTCACGGATGTTTTTGTTGCTTCCGAAGTCTGTTTTATTTTTTCCATGTCATTCTTTCCCTGTTTTATAATGAAGCAATATACGTCGTACACAAATTTTCTACCCTTTCTTTTGAATACTACACCAGTTTGTCGCGACATAGTGTATTTTTTATAAAAAATCAACAAACACTCAACAAATAGCAATGGCAACAAAGTCAACAAGCAATTATAACAAATAACTTAACGATTAATAACGATAGACTTTTCACTGTACGCAAGCGTACTTTTGGGAGCAAGCGGAACGAGGGCGCGGTGCGGGACGCAGGGTTCGACTGATCTACCAATAACGCGCTCGATACGATTTCCCCTGCCGTCGCGCCTCACCCTCACCACCAAAGTGATCTAAAATTCGGTTCTGCGCAGTCAAGGTCATTTGCTCAAGAAGTTTGCCGGTTACTATACTATTAGTTTGTCAGTTATATTCTTAGTGTTTTGAGTGAAGCAAATTTAATAAGTTTGAAAGAAATTGGTAAGGAATTTCGTGTGTTAATAAGGCATTGGTTTTTAGCGAAAACAATACTATTGAAGTCAAGGCTTGGCTTGATAAACATTATTCGGACTTTGCATCAGGAAAATCAACCGTTGAGAAGTGGTTTGCTAAGTTTAAACGAGGCGCAATGAGAATTGAGGACGATGCACGCAGTGGACGCCCCAAATAACCAAAGAAAATATCAAAAAAGTCCACAAAATAATTTTCGATAACCGATCGAAGTGAAGATGATTGATATATCTGAGACCCTAAAGATATCAAAGGAACGTGTTAGATATATCGTGAATGAATATTTGGGAGTCCAATCGACAGTCAGCCAAGTGTACTGCACGTGATGAACCGATTCCAAAGCGTGAAAAGACGCAAAAGTCGGCTTCCAAGGTTATGTTATCCGTATTTTGGGATGCGCATGGTATAATATTCATCGACTATCTTAAAAAGGGAGAAACAATAAACAGCGACTATTACGTAGCATTGTTGGAGCGTTTGAAGCATAAAATCGCGGGAAAACGGCCCATTTGAAGAAAAAGAAGAAAGTGCTGTTTCATCAGGACAATGCACTGTTTCACAAATCAATGAAACCGATGGCAAAATTGCATGAATTGGGCTTCCAATTGCTTCTGCATCCACCGTGTTCTCCAGATGTGGATTCCAGCGATTTTTTCTTGTTTTCAGACCTCAAAAAGATGCTCGCTGGAAAGAAAATTTGCGCCGACGAAGAGGCGCGTTGTGATTTCGCGTCACCAATATGCGTAATAGCAGTTTGTCTGTGGCTATACGGGTGACGTACAAGTAAAAATAAATGGATTTATTAAAAAGTGATTGTATATTAATTGTTATATCAATTAAGTTGTATTTCTATTTTTTCATTTATACATTAAATAGGTAATTGTTGCTCGGAATGTCAAATTTCAAATTTTTATACTAAAATTCTAAATTAAAAGTTTTCACTTCTATCTGCAGCTCCTATGACCGCCTTTTTTGTATAATGGTACATAACTATATGCCAAAGGTTAAACGCAATAAGTTAATGACTATTAAAACTTGAACATTTCACTTTTACAAAGATAGGTATTCAATTTCTTTTTTATGATCCATGGCAGTTTTGAAAAATGAATTGAAACTTAAATAACAACATGTACAAAATATACATAGTTATATAAAAAAAATGTATTGCTATTATAAAATTGCTAATCTAAAAATAGCAATTTCCTATAAAAATGTAAATAAAATGTAATGATGTTATTTACTTTATGATTTCTCTTTGAGTCCATGTTGATGGTATTTGTTTATTATCTATGCATGTATTTATTTGTTTAATAAAGTAAGAAAAAAAAGTGATATAAAGAGTTTGTTTTAAAATGTTCATTAATCACCCCACTGTAATAATTATTACTTTAATTAATAAGCGCTGCATTATGTGACAAAAACAGTGACATAGTGCACATATTTGTGTAATTACTATCCCGTTTCTTAGGGATTTCTTTTTAATTTAATAGCTATTAGGAAATGGAAATGCCAGTCTGCAGCTACAATTTAATAAGATCTTAATTATTATCTTATACATGTTATAGTTGTCGAAGTCTTTTCTCCACCTATAGTAATTGCTCCAGTTATAATTTTTGTAGGTTTATTTTTATTACCTACACAATGTTATTCTTTCATAGTAGAAGTTATTCGTAAACACAAACGTGTACTTAAATATGTATTTCATTAGTAAAATTGGTATTTGCCTGTGGAATTTTAATACAGGTTTAGTCGTATCGCTCGATACGAGTACACCAAGCAACTTAACCTTTAGCCCACGACTTCATAATCGTCACGATATGTGACGTGTATCTGGTAACGCCTCGATCCTAAAAGAACTATACATCTCTCAAAGCTTGTCGTCAACCAGGATTCTGTGTGCAATCCAGGCAATCCAGTGCAATCCAGGCTTCTTCGATATTATGGACACGTATCGCGACGGCCAGTAGAATCTATCGAGAAACTTGCTGTTCAGGGTAGGGTCAATGGTAAGAGATCTCGTGGACGAATCCCCATGCGCTGGACTGATCAGGTGAAAGACTGAAACACCACTTAACGAGTGCGTGCGCCAAGCCTCATTTCGCAAAATATGGAAAACATCTGTCAAGTCTTTAATAAACAAGAAGTCGCCGTGGCCTAAAAGATAAGACGTCCGGTGCATTCGTATGTAGCGATGCACCGGTGTTCGAATCCCGCAGGCGGGTATCAATTTTTCTAATGAAATACGTACTTAACAAATGTTCACTATTGACTACAACGGTGAAGGAATAACATCGTGTAATAAAAATCAAACCTGCAAAATTATAATTTGCGTAATCACTGGTGGTAGGACCTCTTGTGAGTCCGCACGGGTAGGTAACACCACCCCGCCTATTTCTGCCGTGAAGCAGTAATGCGTTTCGGTTTGAAGGGTGGGGTAGCCGTTGTAACTATACTGAGACCTTAGAACTTATATCTCAAGGTTGGTGGTGCATTTCCATTGTACATGTCTATGGGCTCCAGTAACCACTTAACAACAGGTGGGCTGTGAGCTCGTCCACCCATCTAAGCAATAAATAAAAAAAATATGAGTAGATTTACTGCAATATCATGCGGCAGATTCAAAGAACTCTTTACGAAGCTTCGAACCATTCGAATTGTATATTAGTTTTTTACTTAATTTTTACTCTACGACTCTTAACAACACCTTTAAGTTTTTTTAAAAGTCTAAAATTTAACTTTATTTATTATAAAAAAAGAACATAATATTCCTAAACTAAAAGTACATGTTATTATCGCAACTGTTAAAATGATAGCTCCAGGTTGCTTTTGGATCCCATTTCAAGACTTTCCACGCATGTGGGTTTGAGCATATATTTTTGAAACCTAATTTAGCCCCAAGGCTACCAGCGAATAGATAGTGAAAAACAAACATGATTTTCTCTACATCTAATTGGAATTGGAATTCTAACTAGTTTTATCAATAAAATAAATTTCTTTTTATTTCTTAAATTCTTACAACTTTACTACACTTTGTATTGTATTCAAAATAATGAGTTAGGTTTGTAAAAGTTAACTTTTATTTCCTAATTAATAAAAAAAAACGCTTCCTGTATGTAATATTTTATGTTTTTATACAATCTTATGTACATGATAAAATAAAAATCAAATGGCATATGATCCAATTTTTCTTTTACACTCCACTTATTTTTATAATCTTTGGAACAAAAAGCCCTTTTGCAAATGTCACCTATGTGGGTTTAATATTTCATTCATTAAAGTCGGATTTTTAATTAGACGAAGCCAGCTGACAGTAGCTAATGTCACTTTGTGAAATAATGTTGCTATATTTAAAGTAATAGTGATGCGTTCAGTTCTCGTTCAATCACATGAATGAACAATGAGTGTGAAGAGTTAATCATTAATTTCAAACTATAAAAGAATATTATTTATAATTTACAATAAAATTGTATTAAAGTGCTCCAATATATGTTACTAGTAGTATGTAACTACAATCAGTTTTTTTATTTTCATTACCTACCTTTAATTGTTATATTTTATACATCTATAGTTTCAACTATATGATGTATTGGAAATAAGACAGTCTTACAAGCTTCCTCGCAATTTTTTTCTTAATGTTTAAAACACTCGGTATTCAGTACATGTAGATACTATAGGAACATAATATTTCGTCGAAAACTCGTTGGTATGTACAAAGCACGCCTAAAATTCGAACCCCGTACCCGATATCGGCAATTCGGCACACCAACTATTCACTAGACAATCGAGGCAATTTCATTAATTCAGGAGTTTTTTCAATCGTTCACTTTGTCACAACACTATTTTTATTTCATCAAAAACTGACAACACNGTGGCTTTTAAATGCTAATTTATTATCAAAAATAACCCCTAAAAATTTTTTCTCATTCACTAGAGGTATCTGTTTATTATTATAAAGAACTTTAACTGATATGATGTCATTCCCTAAAACCATAACTGAACTCTTTTCACTGTTAATTTTAAGTTTTAAATTTAAGGAATAAAATAGATTTAATTGTTGTAGTGCTAAGTTTTTAATAATACATTCTTGACGTCAGGGACAAAGACTGTTTTGTTTACAATAAATTAAATAAAAAATAAAATAAAATAAAATTCATTTAATTCAGACCCTCTTAAGTCCATATGTTGTAAGTAGAATAATACTTAGAACTATGTTAGTGAAATTAAAATTAAAATTAGCAATTAAAACATTTAAACATTTAATTCATAAATCTAATTAAGCTTATCGCCAAGCTAGTTTATATAATTCTCGCCGGATCTTCTCAGCGGGTTGCGATTCGGATCCGGTAGCAGATTCATTCGCGAAGCAGCTGCTCTTGAGTTGTTAGGTCTCCTTCGGAGGCGCTCGGGCAGCTGTTAGCAAATCCCACCCCTTCTGGCTGAGCCTTTGCTCGCCCACCTGTCCTGGTCTTTCCACCTCCGGGCCACCAGTACTCCTTCAATCGTAAAAAAAGTTTAAATAATGGCACGTATATTCTACAGATGATGAGTATGAGTGTATCAAATATGAGAGTCATAATTGGGACAAAAAACAATGTCTCATAAAAACTAAGATTTTGCAGAATACACGCTTATAAGTGATACAATAGGTAATTAATTTTGAAATATTTATATAGAACTAAGCATTAATTCCAATGAAAAGAGTTAGATTTTTGGAAGAAAAATATCAAAAACCACGATCAACATAGTGGAAAATGAACATATGTTCTTCTTCTTCTTTATTGCTTAGATGTGTGGACGAGCTCAAAGCCCACCTGGTGTTAAGTGGTTTCTGGAGCCCATAGACATCTACAACGTAAATACGCCACACACCTTGAGATATAGTTCTAAGGTCTCAGTATAGTCACAACGGCTGCCCCACCCTTCAAACCGAAACGCATTACTGCTTCACGGCAGAAATAGGCGGGGCGGTGTTACCTACTCGTGCGGACTCACAAGAGGTCCTACCACCAGTAATTACGCAAATTATAATTTTGTACAGATAAATAGTATAGAATATAGATGCGACTTATTCAAATAAAAATAATTAATATGGTTCTTTTTTATATTGTAAGTATTGATAAGTCAAATAAACAATTCGTTTTAGGATTGTGTGTTTGAAGAGACAAAAGAAATTAAAATATTTTTATAAAAAAAATAGCGACAAGTGAAATTCAAATTCAAATTAAAAATCATTTATTTCAACTTAGATGTCAGTAAGTATAACACACTTGTTGAATGTCAAAATATAAATAACAATGTTAACTCTACCACCGGTTCCAAAAAAAGCCACAGTCCTAAGAAGAACCGGCGAAACAAACTCAGCGGGCTTTTTGTTTTTTCTAAATTTTTTTTTAAATAAGTAAGAATATTTACAATAAACAAAAAACAAGTCAAAATATACAATTAAAAATAATGAAAAATGAAAAGGCTAGGAGCGAACGCCTCATTCCCGCGTAGTGCCGTCTAGTAAATAATACTTAACTTTATAATATGCCTTGTTGCACAAACGTTCCTTGACAGTTTTCTTAAATCTATGAACAGGTAATAATTGAACGTTTTGTGGGATCTTGTTGAAAAGTTGTACACCCAGCCCCTTAAGAGTTGCTTATTATCTTAATTCGAGCCGCCGGCAACGCAAGCCTGTTTGTTCCTAGTGTTCACATTATGCAAATCGCAGACTCTAGGGAATTCTTCAATTTTTTTACGCACGTACAATAAATTTTCAAAAATATATTGGGACGCTAAAGTTAGTATTTTGATTTTCTTAAACTTGTCCCTCAAGGATTCCCTCGGGTGTATATTATAAATAGCACGAATAGCCCTCTTCTGCAGGATGAAAATCGTTTCGACATCGGCAGCATTGCCCCATAGCAAAATGCCATAGGACATAACACTATGAAAATAACTGAAATAAACCAGCCGTATCTTCATTACTATACGTTCGCATTTTTTTTTTACCGCAAACGCTGCAGAACTAAGTCTACTCGCTAACTTGCATATGTGAGGACCCCACTGCAGCTTAGAATCAACTGTTATACCAATAAAAACTGTCGAATCCACAAGATCCAGTCTCTCCACTTACAGTAATATTAGTGTTTACTTGTCTAACATTAGGTGTGGTAAATTTTATACATTTTGTTTTTTTGTTATTTAATAACAGATTATTAACACTAAACCAATGTTCCACGCGCGAGATAGCATCAATCACATCGTCATAATCTTCCAATTGTCGTTTAATTTTAAACAATAAGTATGTATCGTCACTGAATAATACGACCTCGTGACGGGTTTCAATAAACTTTGGTAAATCATTGATATACACAAGAAATAGGAAGGCACCCAATATGGAACCCATATGTAAGACACCGGAAGATCTCTTTCCTTTAACGTCTACCTTTTGGATTCTTCTGGATAAATAAGATTTAATAAGTTCTAATGAAACGCCCCTAATACCATAATGGTGTAATTTCCTCAACAATGTATTATGCTCAACACAATCAAAAGCTTTAGATAAGTCGCAGAATACCCCAAGTGCATTATGCGATTCCTCCCAAGCCTGAGAAATATTTTTAATAAGATCTACACCTGCATCAATAGTTGAACGACCTCTAGTAAATCCATATTGTTTGTTATGAAACAGGTTATTGGAATTGAAATGGTTCAAAAGTACCAAAATATTTTTTTCAAAAATTTTACTCAATGTAGGTAGTAGGTACTGAAATGGGCCTTAAGTTAGAGGGGTCAAAAGTACTACCAGATTTAAACAAAGGTATTATTTTACTATATTTCATTAGATCAGGAAACACACCACAATCAATACAGTCATTAAATATTGTAGCAAGGTAAAGTGCGATTATATCAATAATGGATTTTATAACCTTAATTGAAATTCCCCATAAATCACCAGTTTTCTTAATATTAATGAGCTTGAAATTACCAATTATGCCCTTTATATCAATATTTGTGCACTTAAAGTTAACACTGCATTTATCAACATGATCTTGCAGTAATGATTCGGCGACGGTAGGAGATGAAATTAAAGATTTTGTAGTAGAAGCTGGGATATCAGCAAAGTAGCGCACAAAGGCACTGGCCACTTCTTGATGAGAAGTTATTATTCTATCATTGGTTTTCAAAGTTAATTCAGCATTGCTGTTTCGGACATTCCCAGTCTCCTTATTAATGATATTCCAAGTCATTTTAATTTTGTCAGGTGCATTTTTATAAGATGCCTAAGTGCAATGTTTTGGCCAATGCACAGACTTTTTTAAGCAGCTTGGAATATTTACAGACATACTCATGAAATGACTTATCATGATTATATGATTTTTCATGATAAAGATCATATAATCTTTCCTACTAAAGTAAGTAGGCAATCTACAGATAATCGTACATAAATCAAATTAAGAAACATATTAACACCACACAAATTACCCAAATCCATCATAATCTGATTGCTTACTTGAGTGCCATCTCTTTTTTTTTACTAGGTACACAATACACATTATAAGTTAAAAAAAAAAGATACAAAATTAATAACAACAAGTAAAAAATTTGGCTTGTAACATAAGCCATGCGCGCACAACTAATCAGGATAGATGTGCTAAGTACACAATGTTCATTACAACTACGTATAAGACAAGACATTACGATAGCGAAAACCAATCGAAATTTTAATGTAAGGAAGTAACAATAAATCACAATTACAAAGGAAATCACATTAAACATTAAACAATTACACTACCTAATCTATTATTAACATGGAGGATGCCCTTAATCATGTTTATAAGCATCGCTAATTTATATAATGTAAAAATATTCAATTCAGTTGATGACTTTTCCAGTTCGTTATAGGTGCGAGTTGCATTGGTGACATGACCCTGACCGCCGCTTAATAAGCTTACATGCACAAAAAAAAGTGTATAAAACATATTTACATATATATCTACCAGACACATAATGCAGCATTTTGTGTAGTACTTCACAACAATATGGATGGTAATAATACCTAATTACCCTACATTATTATTCTTTAGAATCATCTTTAATACTCTGTGTGTGTGTGTGTGTGTGTGTCAGTGTGTGTGTGTGTGTGAGTGTGTGTGTGAGTGTGCGTGTGCGTGTGCGTGTGTGTGTGTGTGTGTGTGTGTGTGTGTGCGTATGTGTGTGTGTGTATATATAAATAAGTAATGGTCTGAAAAGCGTCAGTGTGCAGTGTGGTAAGGCTCGTAACACGTGTAAGTACACATTGCCAGTTGGCAAGTTTTACAGTACGTGGCAGTTCGTTTTTTGCAGACGACGCATTGGCGCCTAAGTCGGTCTGTCTTTTTGGGATTAATCGAACTGTATTGTGCCGGGCTATGTACTGATGTTGCGATGGATTTTGGGTTAGGTGCAGGGGCTCGGTGTGCTGTAAACAAATCAGTTATCAACGCCTTTCGGAATTTCCGGTGTTCCCACGACTGGTTTTTCAGTAAAATGTACGAGTTCAGGACACTAGCGTTCAAGAGTCTTCTAAAAAATTTTTTGTACCACACCTTATGCCTTTTTCTTTCTAAAGGGTACATTGCGAGTTGCTGATCCTTACGGTCTACTCCGCCCATATTAAGATTATAGTCCTGCGCGACTGTCGGCTTAACTGTATCGCCACACTTGGTAGCTAGGAGAGCATGGTATGTTGAAATAAAAGCCACGAGGTTTTTATCCCTCCACACCACAATGTCCACATCTCCAGAGGTGCATCCCAACAATTGACCGACAATCATGTCGTTTTTTGTAATACTCGCCAATTCAGGTGGTACGAATTGACGGTTTGTCCGGAGCGTCCCCGCGCAGTCAAATCCCCGGATCTTCAGTTCTCGTGCCAGTGATGGAGAGTTGTAGTAATTGTCCATCCATATTGTGTGCCCTTTATGTTCAAGACCATTTAAAAGTCTGAGCACTAGAGCTGGTACTTTCCCCGAGACTGGATCATCTTCTTGAAATGCCGAGGTGTCATGGCCTGCGTATACTTCAAAACGCCACAAATAACCAGTCTGAGATTCACACAATTCAAAGGTTTTGATTCCAACTGTGGCTGCTTTGTTAGGGATGAACTGGTTTATTTCAAGCCAGCCCTTCCACATGGTCAGACTCTCATCGAGAGCCACATTTTGAGACAAACTATATAATTCAGAAAACTTGCGATTAAGGTGATCTATTATAGGTTTAATTTTAAAAAGTTTAGCTTGGGGTCGTGTCAACAACGCAGAGTTACAATCTTTATTATTATTAAAATGCAGACATGCTGACAGAAGGTAGAATCTGTCAAGTGACATCTTCGTGGAAAAGCCAGGAGTACTGAAGATGTCGTTAGAGGTATTCCAGTATTCGTTTAACCGGCTTTTGATCACCACCCCCATAGCCAGAACGATGGCAAAATACGTGTAAAGTTCATTTACATTTGTATCATGCCAACGAGTAATTCGACTACTAGGACCGATCGTTCCATTCTCCAACATGGTCGTTGCCAGCTGCTGTGCGTAAATGTTAGTTTCCCTGACAATCATTTCCATAATTTCACGATCCCATATGGCAATAAATGCTTCGTATGGTCTCGTGAAAGAAACTGTAGGGCCACTAATTTGCGAGAACGGTTCTCGCCTCAAATGAGGTTCAATTTGAGGCGTTGAAAACTTTCTCCATTCAAATTGAAATTTGTTGCTGGGCTCCATGGCAGTCGGCGAAACAGGCGTCGGTGAGGCGGGCGTTGAAGCACAATCGGCTGGTCGAGGCGATTGAGGGGACCGCTCCAAAGTAGCGTTGGCGGATCTTTCGTTGACTTCCGCATCGTCTTCGTCCATAAACATTCTTGCTATTCGGGGCACCGCTAACTCGGCAATCCCTTCTTCCTCTTCGTCAGACTCTTCTTCGCTGCCTGAAAGGAAAAAGTACACGTTCTGGTTTCGATTGTAATAGGTATTTTACTTCCGAGATTGTTGAAAAAAAAGATCGATGTCATAATGAACTTACCATAATTAAGTGCAGTGGTTATTTCAGAATCATGGCGGGGTCTGTCACTGAACGAATTGATTCTACAAAATAAAAAGAATATGTTAATCAAAGCTAGTGATTATTTTGTATAATACGTGGTATACTGAGATGAACTTACAGATTTCGACGCTTTTTTGGGCTAGGATCGTCACTACGCGGACTTCTGAAAAATAAAGCAAATAGGGGTCTGTCACTGAACGAAGGGATTCTACAAAATAAAAATAATATGTTAATGAAAGCTAGTAATTATTTTGTATAGCAGGTGGTATACAGAGATGAACTTAAAGATTTCGGCGCTTTTTTGGGGTAGAATCGTTACTACGCGGACTTCTGAAAAATAAAGCAAATAGGGGTCTATCACTGAATGAAGGAATTCTACAAAATAAAAATAATATGTTAATCAAAGCTAGTAATTATTTTGTATAGCAGGTGGTATACAGAGATGAACTTACAGATTTCGCCGCTTTTTTGGGGTAGAAGTCTTCTTCGGTGTGCTTGCCCCGCTGCTTGAACCACATTCGACGTATCTACGAAAAATGATTTTTTGGGTTTTAGTTTAAGAGTTTATTTCGATTCAGAAACTGAAGGCTTGCTAGGGAGACGAGCGCCACCACATTGCCCACATGTTCGCACTCCTCTTACACTGCTACGGGCTGCTATGTGAACGCATACCCCCATACCTCATTACACACACCACGACTACTATCCGTCCGGGCGTAGCTGGAGTAGCGTCTTAGGTTAGCAGCGAATAGGTAGAGAAAAGAAAGACCACGACCACCCCTAGCACGCCCGCGGGTTTCATCATTTTTAGTACAATTCATGCAAAACAAAGCCAAAGTAAACAGACTGTGCGTGCGAAATAAACCCTTTCAAAGTTAAAAATTTGTTAACATTAACAATGCTAAAAACAATCAATCCAATCAAAGTGCAAAAAAAGTTAAAAAGAAACATCTAAAAATCAATATCGATAAAAAATGAAAGCGTGTAAGTTAGTTCAACCTAGAAGCAAAGAATTCAATCACAGGTATAAAATAAAAAAAATGAAATAACTAAAAATCATTAAATATATATATTATAATATATTGGATTCTTATATATATATAGAGGATAATATATAATATATTAATAAGTATTAAAATAGATGAAATAAAAAAAAAGTGTCAAGTTAACTGAGTATCGAATTAACGCAAAAATATGGTCACTGATTATTTATTGGTTGAAAAATTAACTTAAATTCTTAATTGGAAATAATTTTATGGTTTTTACCCAAACTGAAAAAATCGAATGTCGATTTTCAAGGGTGGAAAATGGATTCAGAACTACATACCGATTTAAAAAAGTCGAGTTTTATTGTTTGAATGTACCCGTAATATTACGGTGTTGTCGGTTAGAGTNACGCCAGGTCATAAAGCTCGGTCTACGCAGTCTTGGTTGGAAACGAACGTTTCGGACTTCATCAGAGTGAAGACTGGCCGTCGTCTAGTCCCGATCTTAATCCGCTGGATTATGATTTATGGTCAGTTTTAGAGAGTACGGCTTGCTATAAACGCCATTATAATTTTGAGTCCCTAAAACAATCCGCACGATTAGCAGTGAAAAATTTTCCCATGGAAAGAGTGCGTGCTTCTATTGATAACTGGCCTCAACGTTTAAAGGACTGTATTGCAGCCAATGGAGACCACTTCGAATTAGCTTTTTATACTTTAAATTGTTTTATATTTATGTATTAAACTAACACACTGTAAAAGTAATAAATGTTATTTGCAATAGAATTTTTTTTTTCCTTTGTCTCAGTATTTATGGCAAGACTAGGTATATTGTTGCTCCTTATATTGCTCCTTAATTAATTTAATATAATATAATAACTTTGCATGATGGCAAATGTTTGGGAACGAACGCATCAAAAATTTGAATTTTACCGCGCTACACTCGCGCGCGCTTGTCGACTACGTAACGTCTGGCTAGGCCTAACCTCAAATTGAATCCTAACCTCAATCGGAATCGGAACGACTAAACTTTAACATATCATAACATAGTTCTAAGTTAAAAAACTAAAATTTCTTTATACCTTCAATGTGCTTATACCTTTAATGTGCTTATAATAAAATACCTACTTTTTACTTGTATCTATTGTTATCAAAATTAAATTATAAGTTCTTGACTTGACCATGACTATGTGACCCCCTCCTGGCACCAAAGCTGGATCCGCCCTTGACCCCATCTGAAGGGCCAACAGTTTCTGCTTACGTTTGGGATTTCTTTGAATTCGCGCCTTCACAGCTTTTATCACTGCTGGAGTCCTAACAGACCGAGGGCGACCACTTCTTGACCTGTCATCTACACTAGAGTCTTCATTGTATCGTTTGATGGTACAATAAACGAATATTTTGGTTATGTTCAAAATTTTCAGTATGTTAAAAATTTGAATTGGCGCGTAACCGCAACGATGCAACGCAATAACTGCAACACGGTCTTCTTTAAGCGTCCACTCCATATTTAAAAATGAGTAAAATTCTAAAAGTATACATTATTATTTTCATGAACAATTCGAAATTCGAATTCAATAAACTTTTTTGTGGCCAGCATTGTAAAAGAAAAGTTTTTACTGTGTGACAATACTTATGACCTGACTAGGTATACTGAGACCTTAGAACTTCTTTCTCAAGGTGTGTGGCGCATTTACGTTGTAGATGTCTATGAGTTCCAGTAACCACTTAACACCGGGTGGCCTGTAAGCTCGTCCACACATCTAGGCAATAAAAAATAAAAATAAAATAGATCTCCTGGACCTCGATTTTTTTGTGAATCGATTTATTAGGTTACTACGCGAATCGATTTAAAATCGATATTTTTCGTCAAGAGTCCCCATCCCTACTTTGAGGTCGAAATTTTCGCATTTGCGACTAAGATAAACGTATTTTGCAATAATTAGATTGAAGTCCACTTTAATAGTGATATGTATATACACATATTCGTTTGGGTTTTATTATTTTCTATTATCTTTCTATCAAATATGACAAATAAATCTACTTACAAATTCGTAAAATGACTGCTTCGAGCGTTGTTTTTTACTTAAAATGTAAACACTACAGTCATGTTAATAAATAAAATTAAATATTACTTACTGTTCCATGATTTTTTTAGTTGAAACCAACAAATCTTACAAAATTGTACACAATCCGAACAATTAAGCGACAAACATTGAATAACCTCAGCTCACAGAATGTTTTTTTTTTTTTTTTTGAGATTTTATGACCTGGTAACTAAGACCTTTAAGTCATGTCTTATTTTACTTTATATTCTTAATTTTATGAAAAATGATAATATGGAGTGAAATGAAATGAAGATGATTAATTTGAGACATTAATCAACTAGGATGAAATTAAATGAAATGAGATGATATGGGATGAAATATAATCGCAGTAAAATGGTGGTCATTTACTGAGATTTTTTCAGTGGACTTTTTGGAGGAACCCGAGAAGTTACGTCCAGCAGCTTTGTTTCATTTTCCCACATTTGTGCACTTTCACAGATATTAAACAGTTAATAAACCACCATTATTACACATTTAAACCTGAAGAAACACTAAATAGACAAAATAAAACAAATCACACAACTTCACTCCTCGCGTTCCCGCCAAAAAGTCCCTTATTTATTTTTTTTTTTTTTTAAGAGATTTTATGACCTGGTAACTAAGACCTTTAAGTCATGTCTTATTTTACTTTATATTCTTAATTTTATGAAAAATGATAATATGGAGTGAAATGAAATGAAGATGATTAATTTGAGACATTAATCAACTGGGATGAAATTTAATGAAATGAGATGATATGGGATGAAATATAATCGCAGTAAAATGGTGGTCATTTACTGAGATTTTTTCAGTGGACTTTTTGGAGGAACCCGAGAAGTTACGTCCAGCAGCTTTGTTTCATTTTCCCACATTTGTGCACTTTCACAGATATTAAACAGTTAATAAACCACCATTATTACACATTTAAACCTGAAGAAACACTAAATAGACAAAATAAAACAAATCACACAACTTCACTCCTCGCGTTCCCGCCAAAAAGTCGCTCACAGAATGCTTGAGTTGAGACCATAGATTATACACTTAATATATTTGGTTGAGACTTGAGAAGGTGAATGAAGTTAGCCCCTCAAAAAATTTTTTTTTTCCTGTTTTCTACTTATTTTCTATTAATTCGTTTGTTCATCATTTGTTCTTGATTGTTCACTATTAATAATTGTTTGTTCCCCATTTATTTATTTTAAAAAAAATATTAAAAATATATCTAAAAGTTAGCCCCTCGATTGCAATTTTTAATATTTTTTCGTCCTTAATTACTCGTAAATATTCATTTTCGATTGTTCTTATATAAAATACGTTTGTTCTCTTTCGAAATTACTCATTTTTTGTTTAATTAACTATTTGTATTAGTTGAATAANGATTACAACAAACAACAACGAACGAATCATAAGTGTATAATCTATGGAACGAATGGCCGCTTTTTGTACTAAATTACATGTGAAAGAGAGAGCTGTTCGCTCTTATGTGATTTTTAATCTGTGTGAAAGAGCAAGAGCTTTATTTATTAAATTAGGCCTGTAAGCATCTGTGGCGCATCTGTGGCGCAACATTTTCTATTTAAGGGATTTTATGACCTGGTAACTAAGACCTTTAGGTCAAATCTTATTTTAAATAATGAAATGAAATGAAGTTGATTAATATGAAACATGGCATGAAATGAAATGAGATTGTATGGGATGAAATATAATCTCAGTAAGGTGGTGGTCATTTACTGAGACTTTTTCAGTGGACTTTTTGGAGGATCCCGAGAAGTTACGTTCAGCGGCTTTGTTTCATTTTCCCACATTTGTGCACTTTCACAGATATGAAACAGTAAATAAACCACCGTAAATACACATTTAAACCTGAAGAAGGAAACACTAAATAGACAAAATAAAACAAATCACACAACTTCACTCTTCGCGTTCCTGCCAAAAATGTAACGAGTTTTATTAAGTGTGTCACTTTGTGTTCTGACCACTTAGGTACCTACTTTCAATTCGAGTCGAGTCACAGCAATAAACACATCTAACGAAAATATCACATTGCCCTGCATTGTCCATTTAAGCATCGATTTCTATTGGTTGATTTCGAGTGCACATCCCTTAATTATGCTTAAACTAAACTATGACAACTAAAATAAGCTTATTTTGTAAAAAAATAGAGAACGTTAATGTAACTAATCAAAAATTTAATTGAGATGGCGTCAGGTTGACAAAGCCACTTACATTTTACATAATTTAACACCCGGTGAGCCATGAAATTATTCATAACATATCCATAGCATAATAATTAGCCAATCATGCCTAACAAAAAAGAATGTGTTTATAAAATACAAGATGTGGTGTTGTGGGACACCAGGTAGGAATGAAGTTCCTTCGGCTAATGTAGAATCGACACAATTTGCAAATCGTGCTCAATTTTATGTAGGTTTTCTTGATTTTTCTCTTAAATTTTGCTGATTAGTTTTTATTTAAGTACAGGAGAGTATTTAGGAAATTCAGTATTTTAGGAAATAATAAATTACGTAAAATAAATAAAAAAACTTAATTCAAATTATCAATTAAAATAACAAAATATATCTTTATTTTTGTTTGACAACATAAAATTACATAGAAATAGAAATAATTACAAAATAGAGAGAGAAGGGATGAGAGAACGAAAAGAAAGAAGGAGAAAGAGAAAGGTATTCTAAACTATTTGCTTGTGTATACGACTGTCGCGCCTGCGCACGTCTCATTTAACGGTTTTATTCCACGGACTTTTTCTTACGGTTTTACTATCACATTTTTTCAGTTCGGTCGCGCAGCAAAATCCAAATCTCCTCCAAGCCTGCCGTAAGGAACTTCGTTCCAATAAAATAGCATTCCCAAATTTAATGGATGGATGTCTTTGTTGCAATCTGAATAATAATTGTATCGTTCGGAAACGTATATACTTTCAAGAAAATCAAATACATAGTTTAGAAAGAAACTTAAATTAGGAATGTATTTTCATTGTTTTAGATCCCAATCTAAAATACGAATTGAAATGTTTTTTTTTTTGTTCGCAGTATGCTATGTATGAGTCATTAGTAGATTTGCTGAGTTGGCTAGTTCGTCGCGCCGTCAGTCTGCCGTAACGTGGCGGCGCTGCGCTCGCCTGTCGCAGGAGTGGTTCGAACTGTCATTGTGGAACGTTCATTTTCATGTAGTTTTCTGTGATAAGATTACTGTAAAATTATAGTTTAGCGTATTAATTAAAACAATAACGATGTCTACATCGGGTGAATTTGGTAATCCTTTACGCAAATTCAAGCTTGTCTTTCTCGGCGAACAGAGTGGTAAGTATACGGCAAAAATGTAGTTTTGCTCTTGTACATTTTTAATATACAGTTTTGAATTTACGATATGTAAGGATAGATTCGTCTAGACTTTATTGAATTACTGACCTAGATAGTCCGGGCTGGGTTTTAAAGGCAGTTTTTTTCTCATTGCTCTTCGATTATAGTTTTTTAATGTAATTTCGTTTCTAGAGCGCTGAATTACGTGACTGATGTAGGTTACGTTCTCTCATCGTATTGTGAGCGTACAATGTTCTCACGGTTGTGCCGCTATCGAAAATAAATTTTCTTATTAATTCGCGTGTAGTGCGATAATGGGATTGAATGGTATGACATTGTTTTTCTTTCAGTTGGGAAGACGTCTCTCATCACTAGATTCATGTACGACAGCTTCGACAATACTTATCAGGTGAGTCAGAGACCTATGCAGTCGTAAAAGTATAAACTATCAAGCCATGGTTTCAAAAATTAAGTTCGATACATTTGATAATTTTCATCATTAAACTTGATCAACATAGAAATACAGCTATGGATACGTTTGACAAAGTAAATTCTTATTATTTATCCTTAATTGAATACTTATAATCATAAGCTTTAAGACTTGATCACTTAAAATAAAAAATGCATTTTTTGTTGACCATTTATTATTGTTAATAACTTTTGTTCTGTAATAAAAATACAAAAATTAGCATTCACATTTGAAATGTTTTTCCACAACACATTGATTGCTAATTATAAAATATCTTAACCTATTTTATTTTTATTATTAAATTTTAGCTTCTGCTGTAGAATTAATGTTTCTTTACTCATCCCATCAAAACTTAGATACTCTTGTGGACACCAAACTTGTTAAGCACCTAGCATTATTTGAGATTATTGAGAGAGCTTTTTAGCCCCTCCCACATAATGTTATTCTAGTCCATTTTACCCATAAATCTTTGGATGTCACAGGTTTTGAATAAAGTTCAAAGGTTGCAAAAAAAAAATAGAGTGAACTATAATTAAAATTTTGTTCACATTTAAATTGGGTCTAGAAATTAATACAGATTGAGGAATTTGATTTGCTGTGATCCATATTAGAAAATCCCTTACAGTAGTTTTTTAAATTAACAATTTATCCTTTACAAATGTATTTATTACTTTGTACAATGTAATTAAAAAGATGTAACTAAGATGATATGTCTGTCTGTCTGAAGTCTCAAGGGAATGTGTGTGATCTCCCTTCTTGTTACATTACACTCTCACAATATATTTATATGCGAAATATCATTATAATGTATATTTCATTCAACTAGTATTCACTTAAAGGCTGAAATTCATCTATAAAATCAATGACATTTTAAAATTTAGATTCATTATATTAAGGGGTGAAGGGTTATTTGTTTAAGAGACATTTATCTAGGTATTAGGTATTTATTTGGTACTAGCTGTACCCGTCCGCTTCGCTGGGCATTTAAAATTAACATTATTATTTCTCACCCCCACAAAGATTCTCATCATTAACACCCCTGCAACTGGTGTAGGGAGTCCAACACTCATATAAATATAAGCCTATCCATTAAGTACATGTATTTTCTACACGGATACCAAGTTTCAAGTCCATCGGATGGATGGTTCAGTAGTTATAATGGAACATCAGTAAAAACCACAGTAAATTTATATATTAGTATAGATTAGCATCAACAATTCGATGTTTTTAATTAAACTCCAATTATGTTATTCCAATTTAAGTAGCGGTAGCATATTTTTTCCAAATTTTTATCTTTAAATGGCCCTCTCGTGAAGTTACAAAACTGTCTAAATGTTTAAACCAAATGGATTACGTGACATTTTTGTGTGTTAGCCATCGACATTTGGTTTGTAAAAGTGCCAACAAGAATTTTCCATTTTTACCATGGTGACATGAAAGTCAGCTGAAAAACAAGACAACAAGAACTTCTTGTCTTTGCCTATTTATAAATATTATTTTCCATTTACCTACTCTATGCTAGAAGTTTATTGTTGTTTTGGCTTAGCAATGGACACGACACCCTGTATTATTCAACATCGAATCCACACAAGGCATCCATAACTCTTCTAAGATCTCAGATAATACGAGTGCAGCATCCAGGAGCTACTGCTGCTATTTCTCTATCATCACCTCGATGTAACAATAGCCCCATCTATTTTCCTATCTAATTTGATAATTCCTAATCTCCTAGAGTGGTTACTACTTACTAAGATGTTGCTTTTTAATTCTGCACTATAAAGAAGATTTTTGGTATAATACGATTAAGCTTGTAAGTTATGTTTGTTTTGAAGTCGTCGTGGCCTAAGAGATAAGACGAATCCCGCAGGCGGGTACCAATTTTTTTAATGAAATACGTACTCAACAAATGTTCACGATTGACTTCCACAGTGAAGGAATAACATTGTGTAATTAAAGTGAAACCCGCAAAATTATAATTTGCGTAATTACTGGTGGTAGGACCTCTTGTGAGTCCGCGCGGGTAGGTACCACGACTCCGCCTATTTCTGCCGTGAAGCCGTAATGCGTATCTGTTTGAAGGGTGGGGCAGCCGTTGTAACTATACTGAGATCTTAGAACTTATATCTCAAGGTGGGTGGCGCATTTACGTTATTGATGTCTATGGGCTCCAGTAAACACTTAACACCAGGTGGGCTGTGAGCTCGACCACCCATCTAAGCAATAAAAAAAAAGTTTTAAAAGATGTGCGATGATGTATTGTTCAAAAAATGTTTTCATTGTGTTATTGACTCCCACGGCGAAGCCCCTCCCGAATTCATTGGTGTGCGAAAAAAGCATTTTAAAGTTAAATCACCGATATAAGATTCAGACCAATCTATAGCATCACATCAAAACACAATGATTACATCATCACCGTTAGTCATGCAAGCTCATGAATATTTAACATGATTATATTATTACAGAGCTTTTGTAACAGGTTTTTGCCACTAGAATGTAGACAATTTCACTTTTTACGATTTAGAAAGCAAATAGAAATGACCTTTCAAATTGAGCCCCAAGGGTTGTCTTCTAAGGTTATAATATATTCAGTCAGGGGTCTATAGAACGCCTCGTTGTACAGGGAAGGGTTGATGTACAAGACCGCACAGGAGGTCACCAATGCGGTGGACCGACCAAATTAAAACTGCAGTGGGAGGTCCCCTAAAAGAGTGCAGCAGAATGGGCTCGAATAGGGAGAGATGGCGGGACATCGTGAGACGCATCAAGTCTGCCTCTTCCAACACTACATCACGATCAGGACCACTCTGTCAAGAGTGATACGATTGAGAAGAATATTCAGTTAGGATATCATGGAAATATTGAATTGTTCATTCAGTGTATTACTTTAAAGCATTTGGAGATGGGAATCACCGTACTTTAAGTAATAAGATACGCGTAGAAACAATTCATATACATAACTGATAATTCGTCGACCTAAAATTAAACTTGCATCCCACTATAATGTTACTTCTGAGATCATTTACATCTGTGGTCCGTTGTCTTCGTGTCTTTCATGCGAAGTTTCAAGTTCAAGACAGATTGTGCCATTGCGTTCTTAGGCTTTCCGAAAGTTTGTCACAATATTATATAATATGCATAAACTAGCGACCCGCCCTCGCTTCGCTTAGGAAACTGTAATTTATTATTGATTTTTCCACTATTTAATGGATGTTATTATACATATAAACCTCTCACTTCAATCACTTTATCTTTTAAAAAAAAACCGCATCAAAATCCGTTGCGTAGTATTAGAGATATAAGCATACATAGGGATATAGGGACAGAGAAAGGGACTTTGTTTTATATTATGTAGTGATAGTGATGGTATGGCTACGTTTGTGTTTCTTTGAAACTGTATGGTCTTTTCCACCTACCTAGTCTGGTAGCCTAAGGGCTATTCCAGCTACGCTTGGACGGGTAGGTGAGCTCACGGGCTCATCCTGAGTAAAATTGCTAACACTAGCTCTAGCAACAACAGTGCTTCGCATTGGAATTGCGACCCACTGATAAGGTCCGGCGGGAAGCTATGTGGGCTAGTTCTTTAGTTAACTCTTCGTCGTAATATCGCGTCAGTTGGCTGGAACATCCCATATTGTAAATAGAATCAGCTTATCGGTGAATAAATTGAAATTTTGAAAATCATCAACAACTAGTGATCTTGAATATCAATAACTAAATTCACTTGGTATAGTTAATAGTTACAATTTGTTAAAATAAATTTCATCATTTTATAAGTTTGAGAACCGGGAAGTCTTTAGAAAATACATCAGCTACAAAGTCGTGTTTCTTATAAAGGGTTTTTGCTTGATCTGNATCAGCTTATCGGTGAATAAATTGAAATTTTGAAAATCATCAACAACTAGTGATCTTGAATATCAATAACTAAATTCACTTGGTATAGTTAATAGTTACAATTTGTTAAAATAAATTTCATCATTTTATAAGTTTGAGAACCGGGAAGTCTTTAGAAAATACATCAGCTACAAAGTCGTGTTTCTTATAAAGGGTTTTTACTTGATCTGAGAAATTTTATGAAATTAGTGTATCAGATTATTAGTTACAAATATACGACTCCGCATTTCTCATCCTACCCTTGCCTTTCTTGTAGTATCACTCAAATAAATGACAAAATACTAGTTAATTAAAAAAATCATCTCAATATTACTACATATATTCTAGTTCTAAACCCTCTGGTTCTTGTACCTAAAAATGTGTGGCTGATTATTATTATAGCTAAATTCATTATATTTTCCGTAGGCTTTGCTGAAGTTACGTGAAGTGATGTTTTACATACATTAATCGAATACCAATTAACTACTTACCTAAATACCATTGTGAAATGATTCCATTTTTGGTATAAAACAAACACGGTACACCTGTTTTAAAAAAAATACATTCAACTGACTTATAAATTAAAATAATGTTTCGTTATCTTTTGTCGATCAGTAATTGTGGCTTAACATGTCAGGGTTGATCTTATAAGATGGGCGTGTTTGTTTACGTTTTTTTTTTGTCTCAATGCGCTTCGGTAAGCGTGTTCTTTTTGAAATATTAATACCTATTTTATAGTTTTCTTGTCGTTTTGTTGCTGAATGATTGAATTTAATTCTTTGATTATACGAAAATTGAGAACTATATAGCCCGTACGTCATTAAAATTAAGGAAATTGTTTGTCATTTTTTTTAATCTTAAACATAAGAAAGCACTTCTAATAATGGCTGTAAATTAGTTGATAGTGCTAAACGCTATTTCGTAATCTTTAATCTGACAACGATAATTTGAAATGTTTGTTTTTTTGTCTAATAAAATGTTTGAATAAAAAGAACACAATAAATACATAAGATTTTTGTAAAAACAAAACTGCACTATAAGATTTTGGAAGGATAACTGTTTTAATTGAACTAAGTTTTGAACAAAAATCATACCTACCTGGTAATTTATTTACGCGTCTGTAAAATGAACTTCGCTGAGAGCCTAACTTACAGATTCTGCTAGAAGATGATTTCAATTTCATACGTTATGAGTGCGAAGGTCTAACAAGGAATAGAGACCTGGTGTTGGCTTAGTGATGGAACCGTATCTCCGAAAACTGTCACGGACATTATGCATATGGTATTCGGTGATGAAGAGTAGATGTTGGTATTATGGGAAACGAACCTTAAGTGTGGCGTATTTTATGATGCCGACCCTCAACAAATAAATGTTATGATGTGAACTTACAATGAATCATTTGCTTTAGCTACTCTAATAGGACACAGACATGTACTATTTATTTATACTCGTTGTCCTCCCAATCTTCCGACTTCAGAGAACAGTGTGCTTAGTGCGAGTATTTTAACGTTCTCGATAGCGTAAAAGTTAACTCAAACTTGTATGCACTTGAAACAGCGCCCCTAGCGGTAAAAGTAGGCAAACGTTCTATAAAAAATTGAGTTAACTTTTACGCTATCGAGACCGTTAAAAACACACCACCGTTTGCCTTTCCTGACGCGTTCGGTATTTATGGTTGGCGTTAATTATTTTAATTTATCTTTCTTTGTTTCGACAGGCAACAATTGGAATAGATTTTCTATCGAAGACTATGTACTTGGAAGACCGTACGGTGCGACTCCAGTTGTGGGACACTGCGGGCCAAGAGCGGTTCCGGTCCCTCATACCTTCATACATAAGAGATTCGACTGTGGCGGTTGTTGTTTATGATATCACTAGTGAGTATATATTTTACGATTACTTTACAGAATTCGTTGGCTTTGATGTGAAATTAAAATGACTGCTTAAATAGTTAAGTCTCAAGCCATGCTAATTTTGAGACATTGGGTTGTAGTCTCCATAGAAGTTAAATTATCGGTTTTTGCATAATTTAATTACAGGAATAATGTAATTTACATTGTTGTTGTAATTTTTTTTTTTATGCTAGATGGATGGACGAGCTCGCAGCCCACCTGGCGGCGGTTACTGAAGCCCGTAGACATCCACAACGTAAATGCGCCACCCACCTTAACATATAAGCTCTGAGGTCTCAAGTATAGTTACAACGGTTGCCTCGCCCTTCGAACCGAAACGCATTATTGCTTCACGGCAGAAATAGGCAGGGTGGTGGTACCTACCCGTGCAGACCCACAAGAGGTCATGTTGACATTCTCCTCACAAATATTATCTACTACATATTTACTTCAAAAATCCTTTTGAACTTTCGGATAAAGTACATACTTTTCAATTTTCAACTGTTCATCATGTAATTACAAAGAAAAAGCTCCATGATAATTAATTATTGACATGAACTCATCTATTTGACGTTAAACTATTTGTTATATTTTCGTAATTCCCTTTTTTTTATTGCCCTTGTAGGGAGACGAGCATACAGCTTATATATAATCTAGTGATGTGAATTTAACATTTTGATAAAAGCGTTACTGTTTTAAACGGAATTAACGAAACAATTGAGCGGTATTTTGTGGTTTTTCAATACGAATATTATGAATTTTTCGTAATTATAAACGTAATTATTCTGCTTAAATATCAGCAGCATCAGCTGTACCAATAAATTTCGTGTAGCTACCGGCTGTTATATAAATAACATAATGTAATATCTAAAGTGAAATATTTGAACGCTTCCACCATAAAATGACTATTGATCCAGCTCAGCATCGTTTAACGTAATACGTCATTTTATTCCGAACGCTTTTATACTACGATATTTTAATCTATATATATATTAATACGTGAAGCAGAAACTTTGTATCCCTTTTTACGAAAATTGCGCGGACGGAGGAGTGTGAAATTTCTCACACTTATAGAGAATATAAAGGAGTGCAGAATGTAATTTTTTTTTAATTATGCCTATAAATAAGTACTATGTATTTGAGTCAACAGATATACACACATATTATATACTCAGTGTTTATTGTCAAACTTTTGTCATTATTGAAAGTCTGTGGTCAAAATGACAATAGATTAATATTGTTTGTCTTTAACATCATTTGTCTATAGTATGTAGTCTTGGCGAAATCTGTGTGTATAGAAGTATAATAGTCTTTGACAATAGAACCATAATAATGTTTAAATTTATAATTTCAATTGATTATAGTCGAATTTCGACTACAGAGGAACCACTAGTAATTCTAAATACGTTTGTGTGGAAGACGTAACCAATAAAACAAATTAGCAGAGCTCATTTTGAGATGCGTGATTAAAGTTCCAACGCCTTTGTAAAAACAGTTATAGATAATAATAAGTCGTCGTGGCCTAATGGATAAGACGCCCGGTGCATTCGTATCCGATGCGACAGGGCCACTGTTCGAATCGCGCTGGCAGGTACCAATTTTACTAATAAAATTCGTATTTAACAAATGTTTACGATTATCTTCCACGGTGAAGGGATAACATTGTGTAATAAAAATCAAACCCGCAAATATTTTGCATAATTACTGGTGGTAGGACGTCTTGTGAGTCCGCACGTGTACCACTCTGCCGTGTAGGATTAATGCGATTCGGTTTGAAGGGTGGGGCAGCCGTTGTACTGTTAAAAGTGAGACCTTAAAACTCATATCTCAAGGTTGGTGGCGGCATTTACGTTGTAGATGTGTATGGGCTCCGGTAACAATTTAACACTAGGTGGGCCGTGAGCTCGTCCATTCATCTAAGCAATAAAAAAAAACATGATTCCAACGGACACAGGCCAGTTGATATTTAGTGATATTATATAAATCACAACTACACCCTTACCCTTCAAATCGGAAAGCATCACTGCTCCGGACAGTAAAGAAACTAGTTCTCCATTCGCATTTGTAATTCATAACACACTACCTAACCTTAGCAGATTACCAGTAGTTTTTATTACCATAAAATCACGGTGCATTCTTAAAAACGTCGTCGACTTCATAATAGCGTTTAAACTATCTAAAATAGCCGACGGTTTTTTTTTTTGTGAACGTTAAATAAATAATATGAACGGACGAGGAAACGAAATGAGTTTGGTTACATGACGCGGATTGCGCGATGCGAAACTCCTGAAACCGAAAGTGTGCCAATCGCCTCCTCAGCCAATCGCCGCCTCAAGGTTCTGAATTCAGGTGTTTCTTTACACTGTTACCGATGTTGGTTTCATGTTAACAATTGTTCAGTGTCCGTTTATGTTATTTCCGGCGTCACTATTATTTGTTAGTTTTCGTGATCTACGCCATATTAGACCATAAGGATAGATTTAATTCAGCCTATGACTCGCGAAAACTGATGAAAATACTATATTAATTATATGTATAAACGTTCAATAAGCCTTCTTTGTGTGATGAGATGTTAGTGGTAATATTTAGTTGGCATTGGCTTCTTCATTTTGTCTCGTTGGTCTGAATAGGCCATTCTCATTCTTAACGCTTCGTGTTTAGGTTGTTCCCGTTTCGATATACTTCAACTGTCCATATAATATAATCTCTTTTCATCCGGAAGGCTATTGATACGGTTGATAAATTCATATTGGAGATAATTTTAGCAAAGAAGGAAGGATATTGATTTGGTTTTTAGAAGATGCACCTATTCGGAATGGTAATTTATACTTTAGAAAACGACTTAACATATGTGACAATATAAGTGCCCATGGACTTCAGCAATGCCAGGGACAGAGCCAAACCTACCGCGATCTGTATATCAATAGGCAGTACAGTGTTTCTTCCCGAGTTTTTGCCAACCGTTTTTTGTTGTTTTGAAGCTCTTACTAGTAGCAAGCTTTAGTATTAACAATAAAAAAATCGCAATTCTTTTCCTTACCTGTACAAGAAAAAATGTTATTAACAAAACAAAAGAGAAAATATGATATTTAAATTGAATCTAAATCCTGAGGTAGTGTTCGTAAATTTCGTTATACACAAAGTTATAAATAACAAAAAATATATTGCTATACAAAAATAAATAATATACCCCGTCAAGTCGAAATTACTGAATTCGGGCGGAAAAGCGGACTTTGTAAAGTACCTCCTTTCAAAATGAACTTTCAGGTCGCTTATTTTATAGCTACGCTCCGTTGTACAAAGCCCTAATCAATCCAATATGTCTGACAATTTTGTTAGAGAAAAATCAACCTTAGAGCCTTTGGGGGTATAGCCTATATTTGAGTGTAGCCAATATTCTCTCACAGACAAATATTTGTTCCACAAATGCCTTGTTGCTTTGTAGACCTTGGGTTAGTCTTGTTACTATTAGTTCTGAGCCTGATGTCTCTAAAATGTTTAAACATTTTGGTTTTAGAAAGATTCAAATCATAAAAATAGTCAGAATATAATTAGTAGTTTTTTATGTTATTATTACTTCTGATAAATTTAATTGTAGCAACCAAACCTTCAACCCTCGCGGTTCTTACTAACGTAATCCGGATTTCTCAGTTCTCGCAAAGGATTTATTATTCTGCTAATTTCTAAGGATTTTTTGTATTTTTGTTACCCGTAGACATCGCAGTGCTCGTAAAAATTAGAAAGCAGACGCCAGAATAATCGTTAAAGGTCATCTTTTGTACGATTTAATGTGTATACGGTATTTTATGTTAGTACAAGATCTGTATGACATTTTTCATTGTATTTCGGGCACTTTAACTCTTTTTTTTTTAACGCTGGGGAATCCACTTAGGCATACCCGGTCAACGGGGTTAACGGACCGGGTATGTCGGACTCAGACACCTTGAGAGAGGAAGAGGGAGACGAGGAAGGCCAAGGTCATCCACCTCCCCCAATTCCTCGCAGGAGACTACGCCTTGAAAGAGGCGCGCGAGGTGCTCACTCCGCTAAATCAGAGCACTTTAATCCTAGTGTCCTGTAACTCGAGTTTTTCGTTTAAATCTATTGAAGATTTGCCAAGTATTAATACGTTAAATATGAAATATATTTCCACGACCGCAAGCAAATTAGGTCGAGTTCAAGTTACTGTTATGTCGCGGTTTATTACGATGGCTATATTACACCATGCATTATTTAATAGTAAAGATAATAATATACATGTAAACAATCTGGAGGTAAAATAGGAGCAATAGTTATATACTTCGTCGTATGTGAGACGAGAAGGCATGAAACGACATGTATTTATTTATTTATAACTTCTTATACTAGAAAGTATAAAGGCGGACTTAATTCCATAGGCATTCTCTAACAGTCTACCTTAGGGGAGTGCAGAGATGAAGCTTGGTAGGTGTAGTGTGAAGGAGATATTATATATGTAGGTTAGTTAAATTTTAGGGTAGTTAACATTTGTCTATATATTATTTTTAATAATTTATAATTGTCATAATTAATTAATTTATTATAAAAAAAAAGAACACAATATTCCTAACCTAAAAGTACATGTTACTATCCGCAACATGCTTCGTCAGATTACAGAAATAAAGTTATCAGCAACATGCTTCGTCAAACTGAAAACTATATTATATTATGTGTTTTGTTCTCTTTGTGTTTCTACAACTTTCATTTAGTTGTAACGAGATTTTTACAATTACTGCTGGCACTCCCGGTAAGGTTTCTTTCATAGTTCTATAAGCTTAGGATAAGTGGCGTGTCGCGTAGTGAGTGCGAGATATTTTAAAACATTAATTCCAATATAATATTTTTTTTCGAAATTTCATATTTTGTATCTAGACAATACTGATAAAAATTTATTTGGATATATGGTGCCGGTAATTTTTTGGACGGGAAACGAATTAAGAAATTAATAATTGTTTTTCATACAAATAGCGTGACCGGATTTCACTGCTAACAATTGAATAAAAAAACAAAAACAAAATAATGATTCGTTAACGCGCAAATTCAATAACTTCCGTTATTTTTCATTATGCACGTTTTAAATATTTGCTGTAAAATTAATATAGCCTAAATTCGGCATCGGTATACAAATCGATTAGTTTAATATGAGGCAAATTGCAATTGATTTGCTTGAATTGAGATAGATTACTTTATTAGCAATGTTTTACTTCTAAGTTTTATTATTGCCCAAGAACAACAGGCGATCTCACAGCCCATCTCTTCGTACTGAGATAGCGGTACTCATAGACACCATAGAAAATGGCTTAAGACGTGGAAATCTCAATTGTATTGTGTAAGGGATTTTCAAACCGGAACCTATAAATAGAAGGGGATCATGACTAATGGCTAGAATTATGTCATTTCTGAACAACAGAGAGTTACATCTCAAGGTGGGTGGCGCATTTACGTTGTAGATGTCTATGGGCTCCAGGAACCACTCAACACCAGGTGGGCTGTGAGCTCGTCTACCCATCCAACCAAGCAATAAAAAACAAACATCGCATGTATTTAGTTAGATTTAAAACTTTTCAAGTTTGATATACAATATCTAAAGACCACTAACTGTCATCTTTAATTATCCATCTATGTATAGGTTCTGTCAAACGTGTTGCATCCTTGAGAACTGACAGCTCACTCAGCCACAGCCATATGATTAAGTTTCAGTGTCCCATGTTTTCGTGCTGTTAGTAGGTTTCGCTGCTATGCTTAGTGGCGTGAAATTGGCCTATGCTAGTTAAGCTAAGGCTAAGTCACTGCTGAACTGTTATAGACTGACGATGATGATGAGGTTCCGTTGCATTATCCTAAACATCTCCGGTCTGTGATATGGTATTCAGTAATTATGCGGCCATTTGTAATACTATCGAATTTAGGATAATTTCACATTAAATAACAACAAGTAAATGTTTTTGTTAAGAGTGAAAAGCCAAACTGAATAATTATTTTTATCATTAATATCTATAAATTCGAAATTTACAAGTCCAGATAACATGATAAAGAGATTAAAACTGGGTGAATTGCTCGTAAAACTAAACGGAGTCGAAAGTCTAAGGGTTGTAGTAATGTATATTTACGTTTTTTTTTTCGATACATTAAATTTAGATTTATGGCCGGATTATGGAAAGGACCAGAAACGAGCACCAGAATAATTATTTACGAACTTTTTATTAGCTTGGTGGGACAGACGCGCTCACTGTTCCGCAGGACATGTTGTCTATGGATTACTGGAGATCATTCACGTTGTAAAATGATGGCGCAACACAGATTTGAGAGATTTAATAACATTTCAATTTCTTTTGCAAAAGATTTACAATAACAGCTATCAATAAAAATGATACATCCCTAAAAGCTCTTTTTTCCTACCTAAGCTGGTAGTTAGAGGCTATACCAGCTTAACCGAGCGAATAGGTGAGCTCACGGAGCTCTAACCTTGCTGGAGGACGTTGCTAACACTAGCCCTAGTAAGAGCAGTGCTTCGCAGAATCTCCCACCGGATCGGAAACGCGATCTACTGAGAAGATCCGGCGAGAAACTCAGTAGGTTATGTCTATGGGTTAATTTACTCACTGAAATCTTCGTCGCAAGCGACGGTTTCGACGGGAATGGGGACCGGTGCTTGAGGTACCTAAAAACACCGTTAACGGATCGGAAGGATCCGAAATAACGTGCTTAGGGCGACGTCGACTGTTTACCATTCGGTTCGCAGGATCGAGTGCGTATTTACCAGCGGCCACGACAAGAGGGTTTTCGTGTCGTCCCTAAAAGTGATACGAAAGATTTCTTTTATACCAGGAATAAAAAAAAGATTATGTACTAACTCGTAAGGATGCGCAATACAAGCGAGGACCCGGACGGGGGTGTTTATATTGAGACACATGAAGAAGATACTTCGCTATATAGAAGCTCTTGATAATGGCACGTGTTAGACCTGGTTTCGCGAATGACGCCGTGGCTAATGTGATTTTAAAGACTAGGGATGTACTCTACTTCCTCTTGTCCCAGCAGGAGGGTCGTCTGCTCTGCAATAAAATTACAATTGTATCCGAACGAGTCCTTTCTCTCGATATGAAACAAACACCTTGTGTTATGTCGAATGTATAATGAGTATCGATTTTATTTGAAGGTTTTCTGGTTTCAATAACACAGTCAATATTGTAATCCGATATTTCAGTAAGTACGAGTATCATTGTGGCACAACTTATTGTGTGTACAGTACTCATGGTTTTTTTTCTACAACTTCTTTATTTGAAATAACAGATATTTAGGCTTTTGTAATTCTATTTTACTCTTGTTAGAATATAAGAAGAAATTTGTGTGCATTTTTCTGTACATCTGTACGTTTGTGCACGAAACTAGCTGAATCGATTAGAAAGTAATTTTCAGTGATGTTTGAAATAATCTCGGGCTAGCATTTATTGTTGTGTTTTTTTTCTAATGTGCGCTAAGGCGTGTTATAAAGTGTGATTGTAATGTAAAGTTTTTGCTAGTTTGCACTATGATAGCGATGCGCTTAAACCTGGTCTTTTCAGTTTCTTCTCCTTATCTCTCACATTATGTGAGGTCGGCTCAGCATGTTCTCTTATCGTGCTGCATAGGGATCTGCCATGAGTTTTAAGACCGTCCGCCTCTCTGACATCAACATACCCTTGGGTATCTTCGATAGTATATCCTTTAAATCATGCCATAGGGCCTTTAAAGGTCTTGAATGTCTTGAAGGTTTGAATTAAAAATATTGGATTAAATTAAATTGATGGACAAATCTGTTACTTAAATTCCCAGGATGTGAATGCATGGTGATCAAATGAGATAAATAATTTTGATGATTTATTTAATCGCCCTGTAGATTTTTATTTTTTATTGCTTAGATGGGTGGACGAGTTCACAGCCCACCTGGTGTTAAGTGGTTACTGGAGCCCATGGACATCCACAACGCAAATGCGCCACCCACCTTGAGATATAAGTTCTAAGGTCTCAAGTATAGTTGCAACAGCTGCCCCACCCTTCAAACCGAAACGCATTACTGCTTCATGGCAGAAATAGGCAGGGTGCTGGTACCCAACCACGCGGACTCACAAGTGGTCCTACCACCAGTAATTACGCAAATTATAATTTTGCGGGTTTGATTTTTATTCCCTCACCGTGGAAGTCAATCGTGAACATTTGTTGATTACGTATTTCGTTAGAAAAATTGGTACCCGCCTGAGATTCGAACACTGGTGCATCACTCAACACGAATGCGCCGGACGTCTTATCGGTTAGGCCACGACGACTTCATAGTTATTACGGTCTAATCTCCTATTTGTACTTTCATTCTATAAATTTATTATTCTTTATTGCGCACAGTCTTCTTATTAAAATGATATAAATATTACTTGACAAAGGCGACATTAACTTATTGAGTAGATTTTGTTCACCCAAATATGTAGAAAGCTACAGAGTCATAGAAGGGGAAAGCTTACAAAAACCTATTACCAATGTACGTATTATTATTATAGCTGTGTGATCATATTATGTACATAAAAAAACGGAAATGATAAATGAAAATATAAAGAAGAGAAAGGAAGAAAAAAGAAGAAGAAAAAATATCATTTTATTTCATTAATTCATTTTACAATTTATCGTTTAAGTAGTACGTGACCTTAAAACTTACCGACCTCCGAAATTTAGAGTCTGAGCTCAAATAGTGAAAGAAGATTGTGCATTACCGAAAACCCAAGAGCTCCATTATCCACAGACGTATCACTGACTAAGCTATAATATTGGTTATAAACTTTCAGACGCGAACTCATTCCACCAGACTTCGAAATGGATCGACGACGTTCGCACGGAGCGTGGTTCTGACGTCATCATCATGTTGGTCGGCAACAAGACCGATCTCTCGGACAAGAGACAGGTCTCGACCGAGGAAGGCGACAAGAAGGCCAAGGAACTGAACGTGATGTTCATAGAGACAAGCGCCAAAGCTGGTTACAATGTTAAACAGGTATTATATTAACGCTTTTACACTAGGGTACAGTAGGTAATAATATATTAACGCTTTTACATTAGGGTACAATAGTTGCGTGAAACTGGCAATATCTCTGGTAACATTGCGTGCAGTAAGGCGCATGTCCTTACGGATCCATCAGATCCAATAACCGTTGCATTGGACGCCTGTAGCTTTAGCATTAGGAGCAGGAACTCCGATAACCGTACTCGGCAAAGAGTTCAACGTGCAACCTAACCTCAAAATCAGCCTGGGTAGCAATTTTCAACTCAAATTGGTCAGCAAATTTCACCCCTCCTGGCTGAGCCCTTGCTCGCCCATCTGTCCTGGTGAAACTAGAAAGGCCTCCGGGCCAGTAGTTATCTTTTAATCATAAAAAAAAGTTCAGTAAGGTAATATGTCGACGGATTGGTTCTTAGATTTTTGAATCACTGGGAAACAACTTGCTACAAAAAGTTTACTGTATGAGACTCAAATATGCCAGAGATAAAGGTCCGAGCTGGGCAACTATAACGAAATACTGTAGCTTTGTTTGATTTGGCTCACCGTTCTATGTAATCAACAAGGTTTGCGTGATCCCGTCTAAATAAAAACTTAAAGCAAATTTAAAAAAAATTAAAATCGACTTATATATCAGTTGTAGAATCAATTAGAAATTATAATCTATACTAATATTATAAAGCTGAAGAGTTTGTTTGTTTCAACGCGCTAATCTTAGGAACTACTGGTCCGATATTAAAAATTCTTTCAGTGTTAGATAGCCTATTTATTGAGGAAGGCTATAGGCTATATAACATCACGGTAAGACCAATACAAGTGGAGCACCAATAAAGAATGTTTCAAAATAGGAGCTTAAATAACTCCATAACATTCTATAATACAAAAATATTTTCACTTTCTACGTAAAAGAAGTGGGAGTAAAATTTAGCGTTATGCCAAAATAACTATTCCACGCGGACGGAGTCGCGGGCAAAAGCTAGTTTATGTATATAAGGAATAGTACGTGCGCATTTCCCGATCCCCTAACGGTCCTTTTAAGTATCTCAAGCGCCGGTCATCGCTCTCGTCGAAGCCGTCGCTTGCGACAAAGGGCTCGACGAGTAAATGAACCCACAGACACAGCCCACTGAGTTTCTCGCCGGAACTTCTGAGTGGGTCGCGTTTCCTATCCGGTAGTAGATTCTGCGAAGCACGGCTCTTGCTAGGCTTGAGCCCGGTGAGCTCACTTATAGGGCGAAGCTAAAATAGCCTCTCATGGCTATCAGCATAGGTAGGAGAAAAAAAGTAACAACATCTCGCCGTCTCTCTCGCACGTCCCGTTTCAATACCCTCAAAAAGAGTATGGTTAATTTTAAAACTTTTTTAACTTTTTCAGTTATTCCGAAGAGTAGCTGCTGCCCTGCCTGGCATGGACTCTGCTGAAAACAAACCTCCCGAAGACAGTATCCTTTTTAAATATAAGATTTACAATAATTCAGAATTAACAACAGAGTTGCAATGCTCTCCATACTCATCAACAAAATTAACGTTGACAACACAAGAATCATGGTTCTCCCCAAACGAAAAAAAAATATACCCCAATATTTCAATGTTTTGTTATACATTTGCTGTTGCACACATCGCATGCTAACATATTATTATCATACACACATAACAAGTAATAAAATCACGCTCCATATATAATAAACATTTAAAATACAACCCTAAATACGAGATACGAGAATCGCAAGGCTGTATGTGATATAAACATGAATTCAATTTTTCTATACAATAACTTTTAACAGATAATCATTTTTTTTTATGATAAAAAAAACTTTTTAAATATTGACAATTACCATTTCGTTTTTTAAATTGGTTCATTGATTAGCCGCGAGTGATATAGCGATGATATAGTTTTTAAGATTGTCTCGATAAGATTATGTGTCGAATTATTTTGTTGGAAATCATTTTATTAGGATAGTTAACGGTAGGCAGCGGCTTGGCTCTGCCCCTGCCATTGCTGAAGTCCATGGGCGACGGTAACCACTCACCATCAGATGGGCCGTATGCCCGTCTGCCTACACGGGCAATAAATAAATAAAAAACATTTCGGTTAAATGTAGGCACCGCATGGAAGACTTCGGGAAGCCTAATTATTATTATTATTATTATTTTATTGCTTAGATGAGTGGACGAGCTCACAGCCCACCTGGTGTTAAGTGGTTACTAGAGCCCATAGACATCTACAACGTAAATGCGCCACCCACCTTGAGATATAAGTTCTAAGGTCTCAATTATAGTTACAACGGCTGCCCCACCCTTCAAACCGAAACGCATTACTGCTTCACGGCAGAAATAGGCAGGGTGGTGGTACCTACCCGTGCGGACTTACAAGAGGTCCTACCACCAGTAATTACGCAAATTATAATTTTGCGGGNGTGACTAGGAGATGTATGGAAATGGTAGTGCAAGGTAGAGGGGGAAGAGGTCGACCGAAGAAGACATGGATGGAGTGTGTGAATGACGATATGAGAGAGAGAGGAGTGAGTGTTGAGATGACGGCTGATAGAAGAGAATGGAAGAGAAAAATTAGCTGTGCCGACCCCACATAGTGGGATAAGGTGGAGAAAAAGAGAGAGTTAACGGTAGGCAGTGGCTAGGCTCTGCCCCTGCCATTGCTGAAGTCCATGGGCGACGGTAACCACTCACCATCAGGTGGGTCGTATGCCCGTCTGCCTACACGGGCAATAAAAAAAACACATTTCGGTTAAATGTAGGCACCGCATGGAAGACTTCGGGAAGCCTAATTATTGTGTTCAAAGGAAATAAATACTATATCAGTTATTGAATTTTAAATTCGATCTTGTTTTAGAAAAGTAAAAGCATCTATTTAACTATTAAAGTCATATTGGTAGTTTTAATTAACCCATCAAATTAAAATATCCAAAAAATCCGTTATTTGTTCATGTGTAATTTTAACATTAAAATTTTTCAAGTAAACTATGACACATTTTCCATGATTGAAAATTTCACGTCGCAATGGAATATTAGCTATAAAACGCCTTTTCACAAATATTATTACTAATATGAAGAAAAACGTATTTGTTTGTCCGTTCATCTCGTACATACGTCGATTTCATCTGATTTAGTTGAGATGCACCGTTGTGGTATGGGTCTAATTAAAGTTTCTGACATATTGTCATCAGTGGGGATGGCGCTCGGTTCGTTTTGCAACAATCACTGTATTTGACGTTTCAAAATGTGACAGTTCGTAGCTGTCACTGAAGTGTCGTCGAGTTAGGCCAAGGTGTAAATGACGTTTCTAATGTCACGCGACTTTATTCATTCGGTGTCATCGGACGTTTTTATCGAGTGATTTCATCGAGTTACGCTTACGTTTCGGTGGTGGTACATTAACAAGATCGTTGTAAGTAAATTTAACAATACTAATGTTATTTTAAAGCATAATCACTTTTTTTTTTTTTTGAAATTTCGGCCTTATTATAAAATTGCTGTGTATTTAGTAACAATGGCTTCAATATAGCTTTTTTTTTCTTAAATTATAAAGTATAGCCTTTTTTTTCTATTCGAATTTAGAGAAATTTCTCTGTATCCAGATTCTATAGTAAGGGTGATGGTTTTATAAATCAAAATATGTGTTTATAAGCGCTTTTTCCTTTTTTTGAATCGTTTTTTTTTTCATTTTTCATGCCTGACTCCACCTTGAAATTGACCGTTTTAAATTGTTTATGAAAAACAATTAGCCAAAGCGGGTATTGTATTAGCGGCATTACGAGTCCTCTTGACTAATTGTATGCGTTTGGCTTCGAAATCGTGACATTTTATCCAACAATATCAATGTTGATCTTGCTTCGTCGATCCCTTTCCAAATTTTAGTTTTTAGCTCTCTTTTATTTCCTTGTTCTGTGCCTCTAAACGTTAAGCTGTAGATATACTTACACGAAGCTAATAAAAGCATATATACAGGGTGTGTCGGAATTGTTTTTAATGACGAAGGTAGGTTGAAGTGCTAAATGATTAATGAGATGTTTTATAGCGACACTAAAACAAACTCATTAGCGTCCTTCGTTTTTGAGTCAACAAAAAAAAAAACTTACGTCTGTGAAAACGGTTCCCTCACACCCTGTATAAATATGAAATCTGACAGTGAAGGTACAATCGCACCAAAAAATCTTGCAAATGACGAAATAAACTATGTTTAACAAAATTAAAATTATGTACTTTGAATTTAAATCGAACGAAAATAGACAAAGCCTGTACCTTTGCCAGTCGAATGATACATTTTTTTGTTCCGTTTATTTTCCTTAATGTGACTTGTGTTCAGTGCACGAGGTGATCTTGAGACAATCGCCCGGCGACAACAAGGAGCAGGACAGCAGTTGTGTTTGTTAGACGCCGCCACCGAAGCTCACCAGCGCTCACCGGCCGGCGACGGCGGCTGCAGGCTCACGCTGAACACTCAGACGATATATACATATATAAACGTAAGCTTTGACGGCTGTATTTCACCTGTCGATGGTCCACAAGTAAATTATCGAAATCCGATATCCAAGAGCGTTGTTTCAATTAATTAAATACATTAATAATGCTCTTTTACTGATTTATTTTGTTTACATATATGAGTCGTCTATTATCAAAGGTGGCAATCTGTGCATTTGGACAAAAAAAATTTATTGATATGGCGATACAGATTGATTTGAATATAATCGTCTCCTTCAAAGAATACGGTTCAAAACCTGCATTAAATAAAGTATTAACTTAACCTGTTATTTATCTAAGATGTCGTTCAGAAGAGTTTTGTGACTGCCAATGGAATACAAAGACAATAATTCGTTTTTCTGATTTACCAATAATTGTCCAAAGGTCACATTGCCGGCTTTGATAATAGTCGACTCAATATAATACTTTATTTTATCTATTAATATAATTAAAATTATTTTCTAATAACAAAATTAAATTTCATTTTTTCGATAAAACTTGCTTCAGGATCGTCGTTGTCATTTGTATTTAGAGATCTCGCTGTGTTTATAACGATAATTGCAAACTATTTTGATGTGTTTATAGAATATGTTCGGCTCTTACACAAGTATCATAATCAAATCAATTAATAAGTTTAGTAGTAGAAATAAATCAATTTAATTTGTGCAATATTTTTTTCTATTGTTACCATAACATTGGAACGTTTGACAACAATTGTTATGTTATCCTTGTGGAATGTGCTCTTGTAATCACCAGTAGGATTAGAAATATTCGATTGATGTTGATAGTGATGTTCGAAAGTTTTGAACCTTAAGCCTTAAGCAATAAGTACCACGTATGGTCGCTTCACCAAATGTCAATTGATTATATCATGTCATATTAATATCGATAGTGCTATTAGTAAAAACACGCGTGCTTGTAACTTGTCTATGAAATTAGAATAGTTGATTCATTGAAAAATCATTTTAACATTTCATTTTAAACAACAATATTTTTGTTGTTGCTTAGATAGGTGGATGATCTCACAGCCCACCTGGTGTTAAGTGGTTACTGGAGCCCATAGACATCTACGACGTAAATGCGCCACCCACCTTGAGATATCAGTTCTAAGGTCTCAGTATAGTTACAACGGCTGCCCCGCCCTTCAAGCCGAAACGCATTACTGCTTCACGGCAGAAATAGGCGCGGTGGTGGTACCTACCCGCGCGGACTCACAAGATGTCCTACCACCAGTAAAAGTAATTGTATGATTCGTTTCAAGACCAACACTATACTGTCGATTTTTAAACGTAATATGATTATTTAACAAACGCAATGAATAGTAACGATGAGAAAGTTGGCTGTTTTTTTTTTCGTTATCTAATAAGGTAACAGTGAATCAAAGAGATTTAGACATTAATATCTATGTCATAAAGTTTTGAATTTCATGCCAGACAGAGAAGGCACTATGGAATGAAGTGACGTCACTCCTTGTATACATACAAAAGTGGTTATACTACCTTTCATTTTTATTTTACCACGAATCTACGGTAGGCAGCGCTTGCCTTTGCTCCTGGCATTGCTGACATCCACGAGCGACGGTGACCACTTACCATCAGGTGGACCGTATGCTCGTCTGCCCACAAAGGCAATAAAAAAAGAAAAGAATTATATCGTTTATATCTTAGTACTTACTTCATGAGTCGGGAGTGTCTTTATGTTGTTTTTAATTTATGAGACTTAATTAGGGTCTTCATTACATAAGCCAGATGGTTCGATGGTATAGATTTCAGATAAATGATGTCGGGTTCGATACAAAAGAAATATATAAATCCGATAAAAAAAGACCTTATCTTAAGTGTCTTAAAGTTGGCATCTGATTGATTAGAGTGAAATAAAAGTAGCAATAATATTAAACGCAGCCGACTTTCGGAACGAAATCGGTGCGTACGATACAGAGTTTCATTAATACATATGAGTTTATGTATCTTTTCTTAAAAATATGTCACTCACTTGACTGAAATAGGATCTTGAGCACTGCCCCGTGTGGCTTTATATTGTGTGCTAAATTATACTTGTAAATACACTTGCGTAATTTATATGAAAATTCTTATGAAATCTTATGAAAGTTTGCATAATTTTAAGTTTGCATAAGACTGAATATGATTTCCTTATGCTGTTTCACGAAAACTTAATTTCGTTGCTAGTTCCCATCCAATATTGAGCCGAACGTTTGAAATGTTCACAATTATTTTTTACATTGATATGTGAAATTTGATTCGGTCGAGGTTTTCACGCGAAATATATAATATATAAATCTTAATAAATTATTTATAGGCAATATTTAGTTTATATAGAAGAAGGGGGTAATCTATGCTTCGTTGAAATTTAAAACCACATTAAAAAATAAATAGCTTATATCGTGCATTTTGTTAAGTAACATTTTGTTGACATTCATACTGAATTTAGTCTTGTGCGTACGTAACTGTAACGTTTTTACCATAAAATCTAAATTTGTATAGCAGCTATTAGGATTCTGATTTTAGTTCACGAGAAAGAATACGTGAACATAAAAAAATGATATTATTAAAGTATCATACAAATACACAATATTATTTCAATTTTATACAGAATATTTAAAGTGTTTTAAAATTATTCGGATTTGGGTGAACAGTTGTTCCGAAACTTCGGCCCTGGCTGGGATCTTTTGTGTCATTTCTCGATCTCCAAACACCACTAGCATAAGGTTTGTAATAGTGTTTGGAGATTAAATAATTTGATTTTCATTAATTAGATTGGATAGGTTTGAATTTAATAATTACTTCGATTTAGTTCTCTTCAAGTTTTAAATGCTACAAAAAGCTTAATTTTATCCACGTTTTGCGGTAGTTTCTAGCAAAAGCTTTCTGTTGAGAACTTCATTGGCCAACTTCAAAATAAGACAAAAGTTGTTACCTTCGTGGTCGAAATAATTGATTTCAAAAATGGAACCTTCTAGAAACTTCATAGATTTTGAATTATGTTTTTGTAGATTATGCAAGACTGAATTTATATATGAAATCATTATTCGGTTTCCGGTGAACATTATTCCATCAGTTCTTGATACATACCATACATTTACATATATCTCTTGCGTGCGTGTAGCAATAATTTCGTTTGGCGTCTGACGGTCATTGTATAAATAGTATTATTTATTAATTTAGCGCTTAAGATCTTAATTATCTGTTTCTTTGTTCGTATTGAGAATTATTTCTTTTTAATCTAAACGTCATTGTATAGCACCGATATTATAAATAGGTCATTCCATTTTATTATGAACTTTTTTTTTTGCTACTTTATTGTAAATTCCATCAAGTTATCTGTTTAAAATGCATACGGGTGTCCGATTGATTTGGACGCTAGTTGTGGAAAAGTGCTGATTACGTTGTGAGCATTTTGAGCATTTGGAAAGTTTTCGAATTTTCTTTTGTATTTACGGTCGTTTGAATGAAACAAGAAAGCTGTTTGTCATTTAGATTTAATCAAAACTAGGACGAAAGGGAGGAAGGATACAAAAGATTTTTCGTTTTAAATTATCTTCGAAGTATGTATATGCTTCAGTACAAAGTATTTGAAGTACCGGATCTCGGAGACTTCACAGTGTGAGTGGGGCTGTCATATCTTTAGAGGAGTGAGGTAGATATGGGTCGTTCGTTTAATTTTAGAGATTCAGATCAGTACTGACCTGTTGACAAAATGATCCGGTTCGTACGACCCGTTCAGTCGAACGTTTGGTTTACCGTTTATCACAGCATTTTTCGACGTAAATAATATGATCAGGTTACTGGCTGGTTAAAGTTTAGTATTAAATAACAATTTAAAGGAACTATTATAGTTCGATTGCTTACGTGAGATCAAAACAATCCAAATTCGTTATGCGATATTATGTGAAAACGAACGACTAAGCGAGCCGGGCGCGGGGCGAGACGCAGCAACCCGAAATGACCCGAACGACTGTCGTATGGTTCTTTTCTTCTGATTCGTAGGTTTTGTGTTAAACGAGTCGATTTAGTGAACGACTCATATTTTTTGAAGTGACCTTATCGTTCGCGCGGAATTTGAGACCCGGGTCGTTTGATTCGTTCGTTCGCGAACGACACATATCTAGAGTGAGGCCGTAATGTCAATGAGAAACAGTGGTTGCCTTACTTTTAAAATTGGACCGCTTTGTGCTTTGTACTTGCACCCTTAGAGCTAGATACTGGTGGTACTAATACGGTAGGTCCGAAGTACGATCTACTGGCAATTACGCAGAATTAATTGTGTATTTTTTTTTGTTTTATTAAATTACTAGCGACCCGCCCTCGCTTCGCTTCGGAAACATTAAAACACACATGAAACCAAAAAAAATAAATAAAAATAAAATAAAAAAGTAGCCTATTCGAAACAAACAAACAAACCTTTCCTCTTTATAATATTAGTATAGACTATCGAAATTCGTGAATGGCAATTTCGTTCGTTAGAAATACGGCATTCGCCCTAGATCTCAAACCTCTAAGGCTCGATATTCACGAGCGTTGCGTTTCCGGATGTTTTTAAATTCTAATTCGTATAATTTTAATTCAACACCCGCATGCATTTTTATGAAACATTTTTCATAAAAACGTCACGTCTATTGCATTTGAGCATACATTATTAAGTAGGCTGACAAATTTGAATTTCCTTTCTAATAACTGTTATAAATAAGTGATTTTCTTCTTGGCTATTTCTTATGATTCAAGCTTTAACTGGACTTGAAGCTTGAAACTGAAAGCACAGAATACAGTTCGCGGCGGTAAACCGCGTGTCACAAATCTTGAAAATGTTACGTCACTTGTGTGTTTGTGTGTGTATGAAAGACAGAGATAACAATACACACTAAAGCTAATAAGTTTTAGCTTTTTATGGTCCGAAGTGTATATCGCCGGGAGCTGTAGTATGTACTTTTTAAATTTATATTCATGATTAATAATAAAAAGTTGTGCATCTAAAATTAGCTTAGAAAACGAAAGATATTCTATATAATACATAAATAAAAATATTCCTAATACATTTTACAGCTTTATGTAATGTTAAGTGCTATGTACGTGAAATTTGTAACTCGGCCTTTATTGATGTAATACTGAAAATAATAAACAATAATGCTTATTTGTAATCTTACAGTAAATTATTTTTATAAAAAAAAATACGTTTTTTCATTTTTACCCGCATTTACATTTCAAGGCGTCATTTGGACATGATGATTGAGCTTTTGGAGTTGTGGTAGTCCTGTTGTTGTATCAAACTCTAACCAGTAAGAGGTTCATCGTCATCCGTAAAGATACTGCGTAAGCGTGCGTGGCTTTATTCTAAGATTCGCCCATGACCATATTCTTCGGTCGTATCTTAAATTAATTTTAACCCTATAATTATTTATGAACAAGAACTATTATTTAAAAACTTTTTAAAATATTATTCGATTCGTTTTCATTATCGTCTGTATGCAAATATGTAATTTCGTTCCTTAACTAATCACGCTTAATCTACATAATAGATTCCTTTTGTTATTAGACAGTGGAATAAACGAATAACCAAAAAATCTTTGAGAATAGAATGCTTTTTATGCTCTAGAGCAGGAGTAGGCAACGCGGCGCCCGGGGGCGGCATGGATCGATTTTGAATGCGCCCTCGCTGGACACAGCAAGTAGTCAGTTGAGTTTAGGATTGTGCATAGATTAGCAGTTTGCTAACCTTGAGCGTAATTTTTGTTTGTGTGTGATCGTATTTCGAATAGACCACGCGTAGACCGTGCATTTAAAACTACCAAGTGATCCGAAATAATTATTTTCTTTCAATACCGAACAAAGCTTAATTACACATATAGATACATAGGTAATTGTTTAAGGACCGGGAACTCTAAATATCCGACCCCTGCTCTAGAGAATAAACATTTTTGGAAATGCTAAATAGAGTCATCGTTTTCCTGTTATGAGGTAGACAGGGGCTTTGTCGTTTTGACATTCGTGTTCATGAACGAAGTCACCGTCCGGGCGCAGCGGAATAGCCCCTTAGGCTACCAAAGAAGAGGTAGGAAAAAAAAAAACGAAAGCGATCACTTATTATTGGTTGTAGCCTGGTCATCTTTCTCGCCGAACCTGTCGCTTGCGACGAAGGGCTCGACTAGAAAATGAACTCTCAGACACAGCGGAGTTTCTCGCCGGATCTTCTCAGTGAGTTGCGTTTCCGATCCGGTAGATTCTGCGAAGCACGGTTCTTGCTAGGGTTCGTGTTAGCAACGTCATCAGGTTTGACGCTGATATAGCCTCCCACGGCTATCAGCTTAAGTAGGAAAAAAAAAGGTTGTAGGCTCTTCAGTCTTCGACGACAGCTTAAAAGCTACTGTGCATTCGTAAATAATTTATAAATAATTTGTAAGTGTAATAGTGCTTAAACCGTTAAACAATTTCCTTAGCCTTTTATACAGCTGTGGACTTGCAGACCCAATCTCCGATGTGTTCGGTACAGGAGGGGAACGAGAGCGGATGCGTGTGTTAAGCACTGGCTGTGTTCAGCCCACCAGCCCGGCGCACCCCTCGCACTGCTTTATATCCTTAACATCAGCGCACAACGTCTGTTAGCAAAATGGGTAGCAGAAAATCGGCACAGCGCGATAACGTGTGCCGCAACCTCAATCGAATCCGTTATCTCTGTATGTTTTATAAAAAAATACTATTAATATTGTAAGTGAAAATATTTATCAGTGCTATTACGTGGTTATTTTTGATTACCACGTGTATTAAACACTGATTATGTTACATGTTTTAATGATTGACACATTGAAAATAATCGGTAGACATTATTAAAGGTTGCTTAAAAGGGTTTGTTTTTCATAAATCCAAATTTATTCACAAAATTAAAGTTTTTGACGTGACAACGTCTTATAATTTGATGGAGCCGGCTACATGCATGAAAAAACATGACTCATGCGGCGTTACCTCGCTCTGAGGCGTTCCATTTAAGGCTTGAAATGCAAGCGAGAACGCGCAACGAGCGACAAAGAGGCACAATCGGCCTCCGCGTTAAACCTCGCCTCCGCGAATAAAAATAAAAAAAAATTGAAAAATGAAACCATTCCATCAGTATTTCCTTATGACGTTGTCACGTTCAACTATCGTCGGTAAACCGACTTTACAGACAACCGATTTTTGTTAAAGTTTTTATCTGGGCGTTGTGCGCGTAACGCTTTAGAAATATAATTATTTCGCAATGAAAGTGTAAGTTGTGATTAAAAGAGTAATTGAATACGTTTGTAAGATGAAATTAGTAAAGTCTAAATACCTACGAATTTTTGTTCTGTTTGGTAAATATCGATTGTATTGATAGTGGTAAGGAGTAAGAGTAAGGTGTCATGATTGTGGAAAGAATAGAAATAAACCCTTTTATCGATACTGAATCGATATTACGCGATAAACGATAAAGGTTGATTATAATAAAGAAGTAAAGCGTGGCTGGGCATCACCGCTTGCTACTGTAGTGTCAAACAAAATCGATATATTAATTGGTGAATCGTTTTAAGTATCGATAAAAAATGTTTATCGAGTTTGTATCGGGTTTGGTCGTTTGAATGTGTGAATCAGTTGATGACGACAAGGACCATTGAGATCTCTGTCTCTTTATTTATCGTTACATTTTCATATTTAGAAACAAAAAAATAATTGATTCTGAATGCGAGTATTAGCTCCTGGACATATTATTATGTATTTATAAGAATGCAAACAAATTTCGTATATTTGCTTTCGGTTGTTTACCTAAGCCTTATAAAATTTACACACTTTTTTTTCAATCGATCGATTCAAATTTCCACAGCATTTCTATATCTTAAAATAACTGAAAATAATTTAAATTTGTTTAGAGATTGTGAATATAAATGTACACAGACATCGATAAACATAAAGTCTAACTTTTTTGAAATAGGTATACATTTATTTAGATCCGCACTAGCAGTAGTGTGCTTGAAATGTAATTTAAAATAAATAACTTGCCTGTTTAACAAAATGACCAACAACTTCATAAGATCTAACTTATAAAAGTTGAAGTGCTAGATGATAATTATAGTTTCGAATATTTATTTTCAAAATAAAACCATATTACATACGACTTTCACGTAGTTTTCAATGGGAATAAAAAAAAATACAAAGTTTTCCAACACCGAAATTATATCAGAGTAATTGGGGTGAAAATTATGACGAAACTGTTTTTTTTTTCTCTTAGGCTGTTATAATTCAGTGCGCAAATATTTCGCAGTTCTTCTAAATGTCCTTAAAGTATTTCTCGAAAATCGAGTGAGTTTTTCAATCCGCTAAACATAAACTTCAACCAGCAAATTCTAAATTCAGGTGAAATTCAAAGGATAACGTCATATATATATATATATTTTGAGAGCTTCGTTTACAATATTATTAAAGCTTAACTCTATGGTCACCTCGGATCATTCTTTATTCATGAACAATTTTTCTTAATTTTGAAACGATTGGATTTTGATTAGCTTATTTTTAATTATAAAAAAAAAGTGATAATTTCGCCATTTTGATTGCTTCATGGCTGCGATATGCAAGTTTGTAATTTAAAAGTTTTATAAATAAAAAAATTAATTAGATATTCTTATTATTATTGAATTTATGGAAATGTCGAAGGATCGACTTATAATGCTTACAGTCTATATTTTATAATTTTGCTTTGTTAGTTACATTCGTAAGCATGTTTGAATTCTGAATTATCAAAAGCGTTTTACATTGAATAATGTAAGAGCCGTAAAATGTTGCATAATGTTATTGTTGTTTTTTAAAGTTGTTTAAGTTAAAATGAATTTTAAATATCAGTCATTTTTTGTAACTAAAGTAATGGTAAAGTAAGCGATATACACACATACTGAAAAAGCCCAAATTAAATTATTACTACGTGCATATAGCTGCTAACAATAAATGTGTGCATTTGCGTAGAATTTACCTTCACAAATGCTTTTTATTAAGATTATCAACTGCAAATAAATAAATTCTTAGTTGATTCAATTTGAAGTTTGTATTGACGACTTTGTAACAATGGCGAAACGCACAAAAAATTGATAATTCGTTTGAGATTTTTTAAATATGATTTTAGAATTATATTGAAGAAAAAATATATAAATAATATAAATAATTCACGCGAAAAACATTTTTTAATACCAATATACAGAATAAGCTTAGCTAGAATGACACGATGTGTTTTTACCATTGTACGAATGAATGTCTTAATGTGATTCTAATAAGCTTTGGCGCGGTTTAGAAAAATAGTTTTATAATTAAAAAAACCCTCGAAATATAGCATGTTCTCATTATTAACTGTTGTTTTATTTTATACCCTTTAAGTTTGCTATCGATAAAATTAACCTATCGATTCTAAGGTACCGATGTAAGGCTGGAAGCCTAACGCATTTTCTAATCTGGGTAATGTAGCAGATCTCTGTGGAGTAGACAAACTGGCGGTAGATTCTAAGTACGGTTAAGTTTAGGAAAAATAGAGAAAAGTAGGTGGCGGCATTTACATTGTAGATGTTTATGGGCTCCAGTAACTACTTGACACCATTGTGGTGGGCTGTGAGCTCGTCCACAAATCGAAGCATTAAAAAAATAAAAATACTAATAATTTTAGAAGAATTGATGGCTTGAAGCGATCGTATATCGAAAAGATCAATCAGGCGGAGACTAAAAAGACTTTTAGTCTCTTTGTGCAATGTTATATGTAGTCAGTAAGATTCTGAATGAATTTTGTATTCATAGGTAAGTCGGAAAGCTTACGATTCATCATAATATTTATTGTATGTATGTATTTTCTTTAATAATGTGTTGTTAATAGTACCCCGCAACACACCTGCTGCATCTTTATCTGTCCAGAATTTCTGTCAATTAAACGGTTGTCTGGAAGAGATCGCTTTTAGCGATAAGACCACCTATTGTACAAACGTATCTGCTTGTCGACTGTTTTCTGATGTTAATTGTGTTTTGGTGTGCAATAAAGTATGTTCTCTCTCTTTCTCTCTCTCTCATCTAATCGTAACCGCTAATGGAATTCCATATTACGAGAGAACGACCAACTCGGTGGTGCAGTAGCTAGCGCCTAGACTGTTACGTCGAGGGTCGTCGGTTCGATTACCACATCGGGCAAACATTCGTGTGATGAGAAGGTTTGTTTCCTCTTAATCCAGGTATTTATCTATACTAATATATAAATCTACAGTGGTTTTTACGGATGTTCCATTATAACTACTGGACCATGCATCCGATTGACTTGAAACTTGGTATCCATGTAGAAAATACATGTACTTAATGGCTAGGCTAATATCTATATGAGTGTTGGACTCCCTACACCAGTTGCGGGGACGTTCATGATGAGAATCTTTGTGGGGGTGAGAAATAATAATGTTAATTTTAAATGTCCAGCGAAGTGGACGGGTACAGCTAGTTATCTATATATCTGTTAGGACGTGCTTATTTAGAAACAGTTTAGCCTATACATATAACTAGTCAGGTCATAAGTATTGTCACACAGTAAAAACTTTTCTTTTAGAATGCTGGCCACAAAAAAGTTTTTTGAATTCGAATTTCGAATTGTTCATGAAAATAAAAATGTATACTTTTAGAATTTTACTCATTTTTAAATATGGAGTGGACGCTTAAAGAAGACCGTGTTGCAGTTATTGCGTTGCATCGTTGCGGTTACGCGNCAATACTATGAACTAAATTACTATTGTTGAAACGCTATCTCGAGAAACTGTACTCATTACGCGGACCAATCGGATACGAGCAATGTCACGCGATAAGCGCCTACACGTTGATTGGTCAGAATAACGGATCTAAAAAGTGTCGTGACAACTTTTCGTAAGAATTTTTTCCGTCTAGCCCCCTTTCACAACGCGCGATAAGGACCTTCGTTCCAAAAAACTCGAGCTCAGAAGCGAGCGAGTCGCCGTATCAGACGGAACGCTCCTGCGTAATATACGCTCTGAGTTAACATTTCTGGTTTTATTGACTTACGAAGACCGCCCGCTTACCATGTCGCTACCCGAAAGTAGAAATACTCCAACATACAATACATATATGTTATAATTTTACATTAACATTATATCTTGACAGCGTAACTAAAGACTCGCGACATATTAGTTCACTCACTACTCACTGCTCACTGAACTTCACCTTATTAACAATATCTATTATATATTTAAACACATATCAGTATGATTATCAGGCTCAGGTACCCATAACACAGAATACAAAATTGGGGCCAGATGACCATGCGTGATTTGTTCCCAGTGATGATGATATGACTCACCCATTGTGACAGGACTCACTCCACCCCGAGATAAGGGGTCCAAATTTTTACTGTAAAATGATTCTTCCATCCTTCAAACAGGAAAGAATGTCTACTTCGTGATGTAAGGTTAAAATTTCATTGTTCCGATTGTCGTAACTACCCTAAAATCATAGTGTACTCGTATAACTGAGGTCGTCAGCGCAAAAGTGGCCTAACCCAGAATTTTTCATAATGCTCATGCTTATAATTATGTATATTGCAATTTATTTAAAATATAATAAATTTTGATGCAAAACCGGCCTATTCATAGCTTCACCCATAGATAACAGATGGCTTTGTAAACATTATTTTTGCGCGTATTGTTTTTTTGCCTATTAAAAAAAAAAAAAATTTTTTTTATTGCCCTTGTGTGCAGACGAGCATACGGCCCACCTGATGGTGAGTGGTTACCGTCGCCCATGGACTTCAGCAATGCCAGGGGCAGAGCCAAGCCGCTGCCTACCGCTCAAATTCAAATTCATGAAAACTTAAACCTCATTGCTCCTTAATAACTATGGTAAGCTTAGGACGCTTTTGCGCTGACGGCCTCGATTGCGTCAGGACATGAAAAGGCCGGTCGTAAGTGTGGCCACTTCATGAAATTGTTTTCTTTAACCAAAAAATATCACAATATAACTAAAACCTATTTTCAGAGATATAATAGGTTTTTTTGTGTGGTCACCTATCAGTTCATGTACTTTACAGTTTACTTGCGGGAAACAACAGCGACTATGAATGATAAGGATGTGGTAAAACTTCAATGATACTGGTTTGAAAATATTTTTTATTGGCCATCCATAGATTGGCTGGGAAATTTTGCAAATATAAATGTAGAGACTGTGTCGGTTTTGAGCATTGTGAGCATCGTCGTCGGTGTTTGAACTAGTTAACCTGCGTTATTTCTGTAAGTCGCATAGTATAATGGTTAATTTGAAAATTAAACAAATGTGAAGTCATCGTGGCCTAAAGGACAAGACGCCCGGTGCATTCGTATATAGCGATGCGACTGTGCCGGTGTTCTTTTTAATACGCTTTTATGAGCTTCAGACGTATGTATGTATGTAACGGAATCTTTGAACATGATTTTGACCCCCTTCAAAACGTCGGATTAACTCGAAATTTGGTATACTTATTAAGGAACGATGACAGTTCATTATTTAAAAAAAATTTAAAAAAATTGAAATTCAACTAAAAAATTAGAAATAAATAATATGTAGTTTAAAAAAAACTAACAAAATACGCTTTTATAGAACAACCAAAGGCGCGGACAATGGTTCGAAAGTTAATATGCGTCAATTAAAACTATTTATACGATTTAATTTCTCGTTTTGCATCCTCTCTCTCGTTATATCGTGTTCATGGACTACAGTAAAAAAAAAACGTGTAATTAAACCGTGAAACTAGTTTTAATTATGTGAACGATTCGCGAANAAAAAAAAAACGTGTAATTAAACCGTGAAACTAGTTTTAATTATGTGAACGATTCGCGAAAGCCGAAGATATGAAGTCAAAAGATAATCTTGATTTCCAGGAGCCAGCATGAGTGGTACGCCTAGAGAGATCCAATTGCTCAAATATAAAGATGATGGTTCATTCGATTTGGATGTAGTGGCGTTGCAGAGTGTGCTGAATCGCGATGATGTTAAAGACTTGCCTGTTGTGTTATTCAGCGTGGCTGGACCATTCCGCACTGGCAAATCGTTCCTGCTAAACTACTTTTTGAGATATCTGCATTCGCCTGTAAGTAAATATTTTACAGCGTCATCCATTGACAATGATTGGAAGTTTTATATATAAAAACGATTTGTCTAACGACTATTGTACCGAAGTTAGTTTGATTTTCTCTTTGTTATCGACTTTTTTTTCTTTTCCTACCTATGCTGATAGCTTTGAGAGGCTATTTCAGTTTCACCCTAATGTATAGGTGAGCTCACGGGGCTCAAACCGCAGTGTTGCTAACACTGACCCTAGCAAGAGCAGTGCTTCGCAGAATCTACCCCCGGATTGGGAACGCGACCCACTGAGAAGATACGGCGAGAAACTCAGTGGCTGTCTATGAGTAATTTCATACAGGAATCAACTTGTTTTATATCACACTTGTATTCCACGGTGCTTTAGAAAAATAATATTGTCAAACTAATTGTTTCATTTAAGGTTTTTAAGGGAGAAAAGGGTGATAATGCTAAACCCTTAGGCGAAGATTCGGAACCTCTTGGTGGTTTCACGTGGCGCGGTGGATCTGAGCGCAACACTGTCGGTCTCTTGATCTGGTCGGAACCTATCATAAAAACCCTTGAGAATGGAGATAAGGTCGGTATTGATCACATCAAAAATCATCACCTGACTGCAATCATTATATATATAAATGAAGATATGCCACCACCCTGCCTATTTCCGTCGTGAAGCACCAATACATTTTGATTTGAAGAGTGGGCCATACGTTGTACTGTCAAATTGAGACCTTAGAACTCATTTCTCGAGGTTGCTGGCACTACTTATGTTGTAGATGTCTATGGACTCAGTCGCTCAACATCAGGTGGACCGTCAACTTATATAATCGTATATCGTATGTCATATTTTTAAAATTTAATCTACCAATTTACAGTAGCAAAGTGCACTACTAATATGTACATTATTTTGGTAGAAACAGCAAAAAATTGTAATATAAACATGTATGGTAGGTTTAGCGGTAGGCAGCGGCTTGGCTCTGCCCCTGGCATTGCTGAAGTCCATGGGCGACGGTAACCACTCACCATCAGGTGGGCCGTATGCTCGTCTGCCTACAAGAGCAATAAAAAAAAAAAAATGGTAATGACGTCACGAACCGCAAAGTTTGTGGTTTTGATTATTTTCGAACCAATCATGAACATTGAATGTGAACATCGTTAGGTTGCAGTACTGTTGATGGACACGCAAGGGTTGTTCGACAGCAAAACCACGATGAGAGATTGCTCCATCATTTTCGCTCTGTCCACGCTCCTGTCTTCAGTTCAGGTCTACAACCTGAAAGAGAATCTCCAGGAGAATCATCTTCAGTTCCTTCAGGTACGTTTACTTGCATACCGATCTGATTAGTTGCTTATTCCTATTAGCATAGACAAGCCATTAGCATAAGCAAGAAAGTCGGTGAGTTTTGTTCCTGCAGATGAGTTTACCGCCTACCCATCATTACGTAACGGTAACGGTAGGCCCTGATTCTGCCCCTGGTATTGCTGACGTCCATGGACAATGTTAACTACCCCCACCAGGTAGCCCGTATGCTTGTTTTTCTACAAGAACAATTAAAAAAAGTAATCACCAAACCCCATAATTGTGAAAACGTCTTTTATGAAATCATGAAAAGCCTTGAGATATTAGATCTAATTTCAATTCGAATAAAGCTTATCGTACCATTCCAACCGGACACATANCCCCTGGTATTGCTGACGTCCATGGACAATGTTAACTACCCCCACCAGGTAGCCCGTATGCTTGTTTTTCTACAAGAACAATTAAAAAAAGTAATCACCAAACCCCATAATTGTGAAAACGTCTTTTATGAAATCATGAAAAGCCTTGAGATATTAGATCTAATTTCAATTCGAATAAAGCTTATCGTACCATTCCAACTGGACACATAATTGATTCGTGGTAGTCTGGACAGTGATAATGATCTCTTCCACTGATAACCAATCCACTAGTAATGTAACTCAGCAGCCATGTTGTCCGTTTGCTGTGCGATTGATATTCCTGATAAACATAAGCAGCGGTGATCATTCGAGGCCGTATGATCGTCTGCCATCAAAGGCAATAAAACATCGGCAATCCATTTGGCCTTTCCAGTAAATAAAACATCAACAACACATCATTCTTTGTTTCAGTTGTTTACACAGTATGCGAAAGCAGCTGATAACGGAGAAGAATTGAAGTCGTTCCAAAATCTGCTCTTCCTGATACGTGATTGGTCGTATTATGACACCCACCCTTATGGCAGTAAAGGGGGGGACTCACTCGTCGCTAAACGATTTGAGGTGAGGCACAATTTTAAGGATCTAGTTTATATCGATAAGAGGTCACGGGGGCGTGGTCCCATGCGCTGCTCCGATCAAATTAAGATTACATTTGACCCCAGCATCAATGTTGCTTTCCGCATATCCTGCAAGAGCAGAAGAAAGAGCAAAAGAAGAGCTTCACAGAATCTACTACCGGATCGGAGTCTCGACCCACTGAGAAGATCGCGCGAGATATTTAATGGGCTATGTCTATGGGCTAGTTTGCTCGTCGAACTCTTTGTCGTAGTTGACGAGTTCGACGAGGACGGAGCTATTAGTGATCATGTGCTAAGTACGTATTTCATTAAAAAAGTTAGCCTTTAGGTCTCGACGACTTCAGAGAAAATAAAGTTAATTCATCATCAAGTTGCTATAAAACGTCATTGTTGTTCTCTTAAATTTGTTCAGGTGACGAAGGATCTTTCCACGGATATGGTGGAGCTACGAGCACAAATCACATCCAGTTTCCAGAAGATCTCTGGTTTCTTGTTGCCCCACCCTGGGTTTAACGTGCTGAAACCTCAGTTTGACGGTCGGCTTTCTGGTATGAGATTCAGAATCTACTTATAATTTAAGTAATTGGATTTTAATGTAAGTAATTGGAAGGCTTTGGCGACGATTAAGATGGTTTGTACTCTGTGAAACTGAAGTCGTTGTGGCATCTACAAAAGCAGTTCATTCTTATAATGCTAAAGTTCTATTCTGTTGTTTTTTAAATAATCACGCATTGAACATACATGCTCTCACGATCGACTTTTAGAATCAAAGACATAGTGCCTTGAATTAGTGATATTTCCAAATGAAATTGGGGATTGAGGTTCCACAGTTTGTTCATTTTGTATGTCTATTTTTATTGGCCGTTTTTAATATCTTATATTATATCTGTCTGTCTATTTATAAGTTTTTAATTATTACACTGGATTCATATGTTGCTATTTACAATGTGAAATTAAAATTTTGGTCGCTTATCGAGGACCGATGACAATACTACGTTTTGGTTCTAAGATCTTCTACGAGTATGCCTATACATATACAAGATATACGACTATAGTTTTTAGTGATGATTATAAGTGAAATGTATTTTTGGTTTTTGAATAATTTTTTCTTCATTGCCCTTGTAGGCAGACGATCATAGGGTCCACTTAATCGGTTATGTGAGTGCTTACTGTCGCTCATAGATATCAGCACGATGCCTCCAATGAACACTACGCTAACTCCAAATTCGTAGGTAGGTAAATCTTTATAATTGCAGATGTATTTATGTTTTTTTTTTTGTAACTAGCTGATTTACTCTTGCTTCGAACCCCATCAATAATGATTAGTAATACTTTTAAAATAATGAAGTGATATGCGTGAAAAACGAAAATTTAAAAATTTTTAGTTAGAGTAGTGTTCATTGGAGTCATCGTGCAATACCAGGGGCATAACCAAGCCGCTTCCTACCATGAGCTAAGAGGATTAGAGTAGATAAATTCAGTTGATATTAAAATTAATGGAACGTTCTACTCTACGTCGTCGTGGCCTAAAGGATAAGACGTCCGGTGCATTCGTGTTGAGCGATGCACCGATGTTCGAATCCCAGGCGGGTACCAATTTTTCTAATGAAATACGTACTCAACAAATGTTCACGATTGACTTCTACCGTCAAGGAATAACATCGTGTAATAAAAATCAAACCCGCAAAATTATAATTTGCGTGATTACTGGTGGTAGGACCTCTTGTGAGTCTGCGCGGGTAGGTACCACTACCCTGGCTATTTCTGCCGTGAAGCAGTAATGCGTTTCGGTCTGAATGGTAAGGCAGCCGTTGTAGCTATACTGAGACCTTAGAACTCATATCTCAAAGCGGGTGGCGGTATTTACGTTGTAGATTCCTATGGGCTCCGGTAACCACTTAACCGGGCGGGCTGTGAGCTCGTCCACCCACCTAAGAAATAAAAAAATTAAAAAAATGACTCTCTAACGCATTCAGAAAGCAATTGCTTATGATGATGTAACTCACTCTATATCTGAGTTTTGGGATAAATAGGGAAAAACATTGCACAAACGTTGTGGTTTTGAGCTCAAAGTTAGGTTAGCCGATATTGCAATGCTGATTCACTACATTTATATTACAGTAATGATTAAATCTGCTCGTCTAGCTGACATGCTGTGATGAGTTTTTACCATGACCATTATTTGAAAACACTTTTTTTTTATGATTGAAGGAAAACATTTGCTACAGAATTGCCTCTGAACTGATATAAATGGCATATATTTCAATTCCAGACTTAGAGGAGAACTTTAAGACGTATCTGTTGGAATTGGTGACTCTATTGTTTTCACCATCGAATCTCGTCCCAAAAAAAATCAATGGACAAACGATACGAGCTAAGGAATTATCCACGCACTTTAATGTCTTCCTGGAATTGTTCAAAAGCAATGAAACGCCAACGATTTCATCTATGACGAAGGTGAATATAAAGAAATCTTTTTATGATTATCGAATGTACGTGTTTATTGGAACGAAGTTCCTTACGGCAGGCTTGGAGGGGATAGGGATTTTGCTGCGCGACCGAACTGAAAAAAATGTGATAGTAAAACCGTAAGAAAAAATTCGTGGAAAAAAGTGCGTGGAATAAAACCGTTAAATGAGACGTGCGCAGGCGCGACAGTCGCATACACAAGCGAGTAGTGTATAATACCTTTCTTTTTCTCCCTCTTTCTTTTCGTTCTCTCATCCCTTCTCTCTCTATTTTGTAATTATTTCTATTTCTATGTAATTTTATGTTGTCAAACAAAAATAAAGAGACATATTTTGTTATTTTAATTGATAATTTGAATTACGATTTTATTTTTATTTTACGTAATTTATTATTTCCTAAAATACTGAATTTCCTAAATACTTTCCTGTACNTCTCTCTATTTTGTAATTATTTCTATTTCTATGTAATTTTATGTTGTCAAACAAAAATAAAGAGACATATTTTGTTATTTTAATTGATAATTTGAATTACGATTTTATTTTTATTTTACGTAATTTATTATTTCCTAAAATACTGAATTTCCTAAATACTTTCCTGTACTTAAATAAAAACTAATCAGCAAAATTTAAGAGAAGAATCAAGAAAACAACATAAAATTGAGCACGATTTTTTTTTTGCAAATTGTGTCGATTCTACATTAGCCGAAGGAACTTCGTTCCTACCTGGTGTCCCACGACACCACTTTTTTTTTATTGGAAACTGTTCAACTATTGGAATTAACTTCCTCGTAATATCAGGACGACCACTGTTTTCCTAGTTTGCAAAATAAACCCAATAACCGATAAAAGCTTGGGAATTTTTTTAAATGCCGATTTCTTTCATATGTCCTCAAGATGAATAGTGTCCGAGTATTTGAATAGTTTATTATGTTAAAATGGTTTTACGTCAGAAGAGGGCTGTTTCAGGGTACTGAATTTGTTTGATAAAAATTTTAAAACGTTTTTCGGCAGGCTATTAGTGACATATCACTACAGACGGCAGTGAATGACGCTCGGGAACTTTACGAGAACACGGTGAACAGTAAATTCGGCGTTGATCAGCTTAGCGCTCCCACAGAAGCTATCCGTTTCAGCCACACTCAGGCCATAGAAGCGGCTAAGGCTCTGTACAATAGTAAGAAGAAAATGGGATCGGCAGATGAACTCGTTGCTCGCTTGGACAACTTAGTTAAGGTATTACAAGATTTTTGAAGTGAAACTTCTTTAGAACCGTTGTGATTTCAAACTCGATGAAACGAAATGAAATGAAACGAAAAAACAAGTGTGCCGCGATTGGCTTGCCGAAGCGGCTCCGAGCGGCGCCGACAAATCACGAAGCGCTCCACACGGTCTCGCGTCCCCGACTAGTTCAGTGTGTTTTTGACGTCCGTGCGCGCTGTCGTGGCTCTCGGAGCGCCCTGAGATACTTTTATTTCTATTTAGTTTGTTATCAACGGATGTCACTTCACGTAAATTCAACAATTCCTGAATCGCGGTGACGAGATGTTACACAGTTGATAGACGTTCTCGTATTTCTCTTACTAAATCATAGCCACCCATCTAAGCAATAAAAAAAAGTGTTCCAATATATTAATACACGAAGTGTTATAAATTAAGTAATCATCTAGCTGTGATTAATGTATAGGGTTCCGTCGTAATGATTAGAATCATTGATGAGACAAAAGTACCATTGATCTGGTCTGGTGATGAAAATTGACGAGGCTCACCGAAATCTTCAATCGTTATTAGCTTTCTCATTATGTTCATCTCAATGGACGCATCAAAGCGATTTAATTCTGTTTTGATTGACAGGAACTAGATGAGATACTACCCCAAACTCTCTTGATGAACGAAACGAAAGTTCGTAAACTGAATTCCGAGGCCCAGAAGATATATGCTGATGAAGTGAAAAAAGTTCACGGCGAAAATCTGTTGTGTCTGCACCCCACGGACTTGGAGTCCGTGCACAATGAGGCCGTGCAAAAGACAGTCGAATTCTTCGATTCCCGACGACAGAAATTCGCCGACTTTGAGGATCAAGCTAGAGTCGTATTGATTGAGGTTTGTTTAATATTTCGTCCAATATATAGGTAAACGAGCTTACCGCTCATCTGGTCTCAAGTGGTTAACGAAGTCCATGGACATCTCCGTAAATCAACGTAAATGCCGCCGTCTATCTTATGACATGAGTTCTAAGGTGTCATTTTATACAGTAAAACGTGACCACAAATATTAGTTTTAACTCATCATCATTCTCCTGCCCTTCTCCCAGTAACATGTTTTCTCCTTCCATACTCTTCTATCATATACCATTTCTTCGCTCACTCCCCTCTTACCCATATCGTCTTTTACGCAATCCATCCATTTCTTCTTAGGTCTACCTCTTCCTCTATATTCTTCCACATTCATAGTTGACACTCTCTTATCGACGTCATTTTCTTTTCGTCTCATCACATGTCCATACCATCCCAAACGCGCACTTCTCAACTTCTCTGTCACAGGTGCCACTTTCAGACTTCCTCTCACATATTCATTAGTTTTAATAATTTTCCATAAATTACATAAACATAAAATTCTCCATAATTCGAAAATGAACTCTGAATATTTCTGCCGTGAAGCAGTAATGCGTTTCGGTTTGAAGGGCGGGGTAGCCGTTGTAATCACACTTTACAGCTCATGTCCCAAGGTGGGTGGCGGCATTTACATTGTAGATATCTATGGGCTCCGATAACCACTTAACACCAGGTGGGTTGTGAATTCGCCCACCCATATAAGCAATAAAAAAAAATTTGACGCTCGTAAATCCACAATCACCTCCGCTTTATTCCGTAGAATTTAAAAAAGAAACTCACTGACCTGAACCACGAAAACGAAGGGAACACGAGGATCTTCATATCTGAAGCCGTATTGACCTATTCCAAGGCTATGGAGACGCTGCTCTCAAAGGAATACGCCGTTGAAGACGATGAATTTCTACTGAAACATCAGAAGTTTAGCAAGGACGCTACCGATGATTTTGTTAGCAAAAGGAACCAACCGTCGGACTATGAAGAGGATGAATTTAAACAGACATTGATAAAGGTTAGATGCGTTGCATTGCAACAGGCGAACCAGCTCATCTGGACGCCGCAGGCGGCAGACTTAGGCCTGGATGTTGTTTCTCGTATGTATCCCTAGCTCCCATAACACAGGAGAAAATTATAGATTGGGCCAATGAATGTCGAATGTATTCTATAGTTAGAAATAATATTACGCCATCTGTTGATAGCCCTACGAAAACAAACCTTCCATAAAGTGCCAACAGCAACTATACAAAGTGTCAACTCCGACAAAACGCTGTATAGTACCTACAGGAAACTGAGTTTTTTTTTAAACATCATGTTTTATTAACTTGATGTACGAGTTGATTTAACCTTCTGAACGTTTCACAGAAAATATCCGATAAATTTATACTGCTCGAGAAAATAAATAAACAGCACAACAGGGAAGCTTTCAAAGCAGCTTACAGCATGTACGAGGACAGCATGAACGAGCTTTGGAGCGGTAACTCGTGCTGCTACAGCAAGGGCGACCTGAAGGGCATACACAAACGCAAGAAGGATATTGCCTTGTTTTATTTCCATCCGCACAAAAGCGTAAACGATGACTTCCAAAAGCAATTGCTTTCAGGAGTGGGTGCAATGTTTCTATATTTTTTTTATTGCTTTGATGGGTGGACTAGCTCACAGCCCACCTGGTGTTAAGTGGTTACTTGAGCCCATAGACAACTACAACGTAAATGCCGCCACCCGCTTCGAGATATGAGTTCTAAGGTCTCAGTATAGTTACAATGGCTGCCCCACCCTTCAAACCGAAACGCATTACTGCTTCACGGCAGAAATAGGCAAGGCGGTGGTACCTACCCGCACGGACTCAGAAGAGGTCCTACCACCAGTAAAATGTCACAGCTTTAAGTGCTTTTCAAGCCTTTCAAGTCGCTGTTCAGATATATAATAATCTAGGCCTGAATTTCTGAGTTCCTAAGCCAAAACAAGACTTATGATTTGGTGGAATATATAAATCTACAGTAGTTTTACAACTACAGAACCATGCATCCGATTGACTTGAAACTTAGTATTCATGTAGAAAATACATATATGTACTTAATGGATAGGCTAATATTAATGTAAGTGTTGGACTCCCTACACCAGTTGCGGGGGCGTTAATGATGAGAATCTTTGTGGGGGTAAGAAATAATAATGTTAATTTTAAATGCCCAGCGAAGCGGACGGGTACAGCTAATAATATATAAATCTACAGTGGTTTTTACGGATGTTCCGTTATAACTACTGAACCGTGCATCCAATGAACTTGAAACTTGGTGTCCATGTAGAAAATACATGTAGTTAATGGATAGGATAATATTTATATGAGTCTTGGATTCCCTAATAATAATGACAATAAATAATAATGTTAATTTTAAATGCGCAGCGAAACGGGCGAGTACGGCTAGTATCTTATATAAATATATATATTTTATATATATATATATTTTTATATATTTTATTTTTTTATTTTATATTTTATTGTTTAGATTATTATTATAATACAAATCAAAACTCGATTTAATTATTACGACACTTCAGGTAGAGTTCTTTTTTTTTTTTTTTTTTTTTTTGCCTTTGTAGGCAGACGGGCATACGGCCCACCTGATGGTGAGTGGTTACCGTCGCCCATGGACTTCAGCAATGCCAGGGGCAGAGCCAAGCCGCTGCCTACCGCTTCAGCATTATAATTTGCTTTGTCGGTTCAAGTGATCCTTCAGGTGACCTTTCACCTGTTTCGCTTTGCATAGAACTAACTGCCTTGTCACGCTTTTAGTCGTACCGACTCGGTACCATGTTCCAGAACAGGCCCAATAAAACTTATTGTTTCGATATCCGTTCTTGAAATATATGCCATATGTGCAATATATGCAAGATGGCGTTACTCGTACCGCCATAACAATATTGTTTCTTTTTTAATACAGAAAATCGATTCTTTGTACAAAGACCACGTCGAAACGAACGATTTGAGAAACCGAAGAGCTGAGAGAAACGCTCTCAATGAGTACCAGAGGAGGATGGATGATCTGATCAGCCCGAAACCCACGTGGGCCCTGATAGTGCCTTGGATAATCACGTTGGCCAAACGCAGGAGCTACCACGAGGACTGCAAGTACTATGCTATTAGGTACTTCAGGAATGAGCGATGCGGTTCCTCGAAATATGACGAGGATAGTTATTATGATGATCTGATTTGGGTAAGTGTAATCCAAACTAAAAAATATGTATACAATCAAAATGCATCTTTGAATCATATCTTAAGTCTATGAGATCCGGCAACCAATTAGCATCAGGTGGGCCATCAGCTCGCTCACCTATTTATTAGTAATAAAATTAGCGATGACGACTTTAGCTGCAACGCTACGTACCATAGTCCTGCGCATATTTGTTGCGAAGCATGCATGCCAGTTTGAAAGATGGGACAGACAACACAACACAGATTGACGGCGATGTTCACATTTAGATATCATAGCGGAAACTGACCTGGTTGACGCACATCAGCAATAAAAAAAAAGAAATAATGTTGATAATATTGTGTTGTGAATTTTATTTACGATTTTTTTATGATCTATCGAATTCAATGAATTCTTTTTCGCACCCTTGAAATCGGGTAGTATTTCCGATAGTATTGGATAGTAGTATCGGATATCGGATAGTATTTCAAATTTTGTTTTATTGAGGATGTTTTATTTCTATTGCAATAAAAAGCTTGATAATAAATTTTATTTCGGTTTTTGTAATATAACGTGAAAATGTAATAATATTTAAAAACAAAAACAAAAATCAATTAGCTCATTTTCATTCGTGATATTAGTAGCAAAGGCAGCCAAAGGCTTCAACACGTTGGGATAAATAACGCACAAACATAGTCTATACTATACTATAATAATATTATAAAGAGGAAAGATTTGTTTGTTTGTTTGTTTCGAATAGGCTCCGAAATTACTGGACCGATTTGAAAAATTCTTTTTTCATTAGAAGCCGACATTGTCCTGATGAACATAGGCTACTTTTTTTATAATTTTTTAATTTTTATATTTTTGGTTTCATGTGTGTTTTAATGTTTCCGAAGCGAAGCGAGGGCGGGTCGCTAGTAGATGAACAAAGAGAAGCATTGATTATTATCATTACTAGTAACAAATTTTAATAATTACTATTTATGATTACTCTTTTCCTAATGCCAATTTTTTTTTTCTTGCAGAGCATTAATAGGAGCTACGATACGAATTATGCTTTGTGAAACTTGCAAATGTTTTTGAATAAAAAAGCTTACTATAAATAATGATTTGGATTGTGAGATTACAATCAAAGGCACCGTTTGTTTTTACTTACCTACAATCATTTATCGTGACGATAAACACATTTTTATCGCAATAAAATAATTGCAATATGCTTACATCGTTTTGAAGGATCGTTCAGATAATTAAATCCTTAATGTAAATATATGCGTTTTATTAATTTTATTTCAAGGAGAGTCAAATTTTACTGAATATAAGTCGTTGCGGCTTAAGTGATAAGATGCTTGGTGTGTCATATCGAGCGATGTGCCTATCCCGGCACTCAAATCCAGCAGGCACAAATCGAAAGCATCATTTAGCATCCGACAATGGTGGTACCGACCCGTACGAACTCGCTAGACAGTGGCATGACTGTATTTATCGCATAACCAGCGTCCATAGGCCAAGGTAATCAATTAGGTCCAGGTGGATCATCTGTACGTTTATCATCGATGGCAAAACAGACGTAGTTTCCTTAGATCGAAAGGTACTTCTGCACTAAGAGCAGTTTGTTCAAATGTTCGTCAAGTGACGAATGTCAACCCTGGTTTGTCTATTGCCCAGATTAGTGTTACCGAAGTCTGTAGACATCACAACGTGAATCCCGTCACGTACCTTGAGACGTACGTCATTATAGTACTTAAAGAACGCTGCCTATTCTTCGGCGATTCCTTTAGTTGTCTATTAAGACACTGCGGGGAAGACGTGGGGTAATGCTATTCTAGACCTAAACGGACGGATTCGTTACGGCTAGAGAGAAAAGATACAATTTAGGAAGAGCGAGAGTGAGAAAATAGATAGAGCGTCTCGTGAGCCAGTCGACCGTGTAGAGAGGAAAAAGGACAAAGCGATCTAGGTCGTTTCTTTTATACACAGCATTCCCTATTACAAGAGAAATTTGATTTAAGGATGAAAAATTAAGAAAACCACAATACTGCATGCATATCGCAAAAGAAGTTTGACTTATTTCGTGTGCACCAAGTTGCACGTGCACCATTTTTTATATTCATCGCTCAGCTCATTTCTGTCAAGAGGCGATCATTGAAAGGGGCAGCCGCTATCTAATCTATCTAATACAATTGAGACCTCATGTCTCAAAGTAGGTGATGGGATTCACGCTTTCATTCAAATGCTTAACATCAAGGCGGAAGATGCTATTCACTTAATTACGTAATAAATAACTGATGGTAGGACCTCTTATGAGACTGGTGGTAGGACCTCTTGTGAGTCCGCACGGGTAGGTATCACCGCCCCGCCTTTTTCTGCCGTGAAGCAGTAACGCGTTTAGGTCTGAAGGGTGGGGTAGCCGTTGTAACTATACTGAGACCTTAGAACTTATATTTTAAGGTGGGTGGCGCATTTATGTCGTAACCTCCAGTAATCACTTAACACCAGGTGGACTGTGAGCTCGTCCACCCACCAAAGCAATAAAATAAGAATAATAATAATATGCAGTACATTAGCTGTATATCGTGTATAAGCCTTTGAGTTGGCAATTCCTATCGGTGCATACAATTTTAGCATATATAAGGTCGTTTTTAGTTGTAGTGACAAATGAAAATTATACGTGGCTCGTGGCACCAAATCGGTGGCTAATGACCTTCAAAAACGAAATCACGTTCATTGTGGAACATTAGTGATGATACTTCGTACCCTTAAAGCTATCTTCCGCTATACATCATTTAGAGATTACGTTGTTTACGTTGTAGATGTCTATGGGATCCAGTAACCACTTAAAACACCAGGTGAGTTCGTCCACCCATCTAAGCAATAAAAAATAAAATAGTAATTATATATAAAGTTGAATGTAGTTGCGACTTACGATACTGGTGTCAACAAATACGGATTTAATTTTGAATAAAGGATAAATTTATTGCGGTTTGGTGGGCATGAGCAATTTATTATCAACACGACGACAGTTTGCTAAAAATACTCTAGACTCGCGATAAAATACACCTTCATAAAATAAATGTCGTATGAATTATTTTTAAAATAACAAATTTGAACTTTATCTAAAAGAGTCAAGGCCAGTTTTTCTGTCCAGGATGTTAGGGCTACAAGCGCTTCATGTTGTTTCAAATACAGTAAGGAATCATTACAAAATTTCAGCGTCAACTGAGTGCTTGTGTTGGAATTAATGTTTATGTAGATTAATATAAATTGTTTTGCGTTGTTAAAATTAAACGATTATATGTTTAAAGTGATTTAAGAATTAATAGTTAACTGCCATATTAAACGGGTGAGCATATATTTTGCGTGTTATTATTTTTTTTTATTTTTTTTNTTCAAATACAGTAAGGAATCATTACAAAATTTCAGCGTCAACTGAGTGCTTGTGTTGGAATTAATGTTTATGTAGATTAATATAAATTGTTTTGCGTTGTTAAAATTAAACGATTATATGTTTAAAGTGATTTAAGAATTAATAGTTAACTGCCATATTAAACGGGTGAGCATATATTTTGCGTGTTATTATTTTTTTTTATTTTTTTTGTTGCTTAGGTGTGTGGACGAGCTCACAGCCCACCTGGTGTTAAGTGGTTACTGGAGCCCATAGACATCTACAACGTAAATGCGCCACCCACCTTGAGATATAAGTTCTAAGGTCTCAGTATAGTTACAATGGCTGTCCCACCCTTCAAACCGAAACGCATTACTGCTTCACGGCAGAAATAGGCAGGGCGGTGGTACCTACCCGTGCGGACTCGCAAGAGGTCCTACCACCAGTGATTACGCAAATTATAATTTTGCGGGTTTGACTTTTATTACACGATTGTTCATTTTTAATTTAACTTTTGATGTGAAACATCTATAGCCGCACGTAAAACCGATTTCTGGCGTGGCGATTCATGCCGTGGCGACGCGTCGCCACGCTATATGATGGTATATATATACAGTCTATATGCAGTAGTGTGTACGGTGTGGCGACGCGTCGCCATGCGCAATCGACTGTGCGATTCTCTCCCACTCGATCCGGCGTTAAACCATCTCTCTCGCTACACTGAGCTCGGATACCTTATACAGTGTTTTTTACTACAGTACACATAACCTGTGTTTTACTTGAAAAAAAATTATTTTTTCGTAATATTTTATTTTATCGTTATGACATATTTAGTTCCTATCACAATCTGTTCTTTTCTGCATATTACTTTTACAAAATAATGTCGATGTTTCACATCTGCCAGGCGTCCCGTGACGGCTCATTTTTTTTGTATGATTACTTGACTTTATATTATGGTTGATTTGTATTTATAATTTTTTATATCAGACTTGGCGTTAAGCGGATATCTGAGTCGTTCGATAATGCCGCCACCCACCTTGAGACCTTACGATGGAAGTCTCAATCTTTCTAAATTAGAGTTAAACTGGCTGGAACGTAACCCACCAGCTCATCAGTGTGCTTAGTGCGAGTTTTTTTACGTTCTCGATAGCGTAAAAGTTGGCTCATATTTTTATGGAATGGGGACGTTTGCGTACGTTTGCCGTTAGGGGCGCTGTTCCAACTGCATACAAAATTGGCTTAACTTTTACGCTATCGAGACCGTTAAGAAACTCGCACTAAGCACACAGGTAGTAGATGCATTCGCGACGCTACTGCCCTTGAGCTGTTAGATATCTTCCTAACGCGCTCGGGCAGCCGTTAGCAAATTCCACGCCTCCTAGCTGAACCATCGCTGACCCCCCTGTCCTGGTGAAACTAGCAAGGCATCCGGGTCACCAGTAATCCCTGCCTCCCAAAACAAACACGCATATCCACTACTTTCTTAGCTTGGACTTGATTACTTGAAAAAAATATATGCCGACAATCAACTCATGGACGTCCGTCGTTAATATTCGGAGTGTAAATAGATTATACGTTATCAGAAAAAAACATGTAAGCGATAAAAAAAAATCGATTTTATCAGTTTAAACATTTACCACGCTATCAGCGGTGATATTATTAAGCGTATCGTCTCTCGATAAACTAAGCGATTCCTATATTTAAAAAAAATCATCTTGTTTGAGTTTCTTAATTGTGGAAGTATTTATTTTATTGGGAGAGCTTAGATTATTTTTGGAGATTTGTTTTAACACGTACAGCATTATTATTTTTTCCTACCTAATCTAGTGACCTTGAGGGGTCATACTAGATTCATCGAGCGCGTAGGCGAGCTCTCGGGGTTCTAACCTGGAGGTGTTGCTAATACCAGATCTAGCAAGAGTAGTGCTTCGCAGAATCTACCACCGGATCGGAAACGCGATCCGGCGAGAAACTCAGTGGGTTAGGGCATTTTATAATTGTTTTTTTTTTACTACAATATTATTATTGCTTAGATGGGTGGACGAACTCACAGCCCACCTGGTGTGAAGTGGTTATTGGAGTCCATTGACATCTACAACGTAAATGCGCCACCCACCTTGAGATATAAGTTCTAAGATCTCAGTAAGTATAGTTACAACGGCTGCCCCACCCTTCAAACCGAAACGCATTACTGCTTCACGGCAGAAATGGCAGGGCGGTGGTACCTACCCGTGCGGACTCAGAAGAGGTCCTACCACCAGTAATATTATACAGGCTGTTAGTATTCTGGAGCTCAAATAGGAATAGACTAATATAATATACTGAATACTAGTAATAAGTAAAACACGACTTATTATTTATTCGTTGTAAAGCACTAATCAACAGAACATACCTCTATAAAAATCATGCTCTACGGGTCTTTCGTTCAAAATTTACTATTTTATTTGCTTTAATAGACAGTCGAATTACTGGTAGTAGGGCGCCTGTGATACCGCACGGGTAGGTGACAACTACTCGGCCCTATTTCTAACGCGAAGCTGTAATGTATTCCGATTTCAAGGATGGCGCAATCGTTGTACTCTATAGAGCTGAGACTTAGAACTCATGTATCAAAGTGGGAGGCGGCATTTATGTTTTTATATTTTTATTTTTTTGTTGTTGCCTAAGTTAAGTGATTTGCGGAGCCCATAGACATCTACAACTTAAATGCCGCCACCTACCTTGAGATACGAGTTTTAAGGTCTCAGTATAGTTACAAAGGGGTGCCCCACCTTTTAAACCAAAACGCATTACTGCTTCACGGCAAAAATAGACAGGATGGTGGTACCTACCCGTGCGGAATCACAAGAGGCCCTACTACTTAGTAATTACGTTTTATATTTATTATACGATGTTATTCCTTCACTTCGGAAGTCAATCGTGAACATATGTTAAGCACGTATTTATTAACAAAAATTGATACTTGCCAACGGGATTCGAACACTAGTGCATCACTAGATACGAATGCACTGGACGTCTTATCCTTTAGGCCACGACGACTCGTGTACTTTAAAGAACTGAGATTTAGTACTCATGTATCAAAGTGGGTAGCGGCATTTACGTTGTTGATGCCTATGGGCTCTGGGAATCATTAAGCATCAAGTGGGCCGTGGTCTCGTTTAATCGTCTCAGTAATAAATAAATAAATAGATAACCAAGATATGTAGATGTAGATAGATTGTAGATAGGCAATTAAAATTGCCATATCAATTTCATTATTACTTTATTGTTTTTATTTATACATATTATACATTTCTAAACCAAACCTAAAGTCAATTCGATTTCATACTTAGTGATGCATGTAATAATACTCGTTAGGTGGTGATCCTGGAAAATCTTGAATGGCTTTAGCGATTATTCTCATAATCTTTAAACATTTTCAGCGGAGTCATGAGCAGTCTCGGTGAAGCCAAAGGGGTGGAGGTGGTGAAGGTGACCGACGACCACACGTATCAGCTGAATGAGGATGCATTACGGATGATCCTACTGCGAGATGAGGTCAAGGACCTTCCTGTGGTCGTAGTTAGCGTCGCTGGCGTCTACCGCGGTGGAAAGTCCTTCTTGCTGGACTTCTTCCTCAGATACCTAAAAGCGCCCGTAAGATTATTACCAGCTAAAGTATAGCTAGAAAGATAAAGTTAAATTAAGGCTTAAGTTCTGTCGGAAACTATTACTTATTAATCCAACATATTACCAAAATGTGCGTTGCAAATGACCGTTTTAAATTCAGTGTAGATATTTATTGAGCACTAGCTGACCCGGCAGACTTCGTAGTGCCTCAATCGATAAATAAAGGACCTCTAAACCTTTGTATAAAATAAACTTAAAACAAACAAAAGGAATCCGTCCGACGGGGGACACAAAACAAAATTGTTATTTTTATTTAGTTCCGAGCATTTTCATATTTATCTACCTTTTAAACCTTCCCTGGACTTCCACAAATAATTCAAGACCAAAATTAGCCAAATCGGTCCAGCCGTTCTAGAGTTTTAGCGAGACTAACGAACAGCAATTCATTTTTATATATATAAACAATTGCATTAAATAGTGGCGTTTCATCATATTATCATTTTATTCAGTAGTCAGAACCACCACTACTATCATTAAAGAAGCCCTCGTACGCATGCAACAGATTACACTGACAGATTATTACTTCCTTGACGTAATTAAATTGAAACATTTACCGTGTGAACATTCATAAGATTTATTTATTTCTAGATATGTAACTTTGTTAATAAATAATATCTATATAAACCGAGCTTCAAATGTTGATAAACTATCGCTACAAATAATAATTATTAGCGCGGAACTGCGTCAGACACTAAAATAAATTATCAGAAATACTTCCTAAGCGCGTTGAAAGCCATATAAATTCAAAAATAATATTGTCTCTGTTAAATTTTGCGAGACGTTTTACTGCTGTTAACTGCTGTAACAATATAAAAAATTAATTAAGGTAAAGAACTAGGATAGAAGCCTCAAATGTGTTGCAATTGGATGCGAGTGATTCATGTCAGAAATAGGCATGATGTGATTATGCCTAAACATTAGTAACTGCAGCTGCTGAGGTACTGTTCTTATTACCAAAACGTATAGTGGATTTCTAGGAAAATATGAGCTTTGAGTTTCCGCATTTCATTATATTATCATTTTATTCTCAATGAACATTTTTATTTCAGCCCTCGTCTCGTGATAGTGCTGCGTGGCTGGGCCAGGAAGACGAGCCGCTGACGGGATTCATTTGGCGGGCTGGTTGCGACCGTCAGACAACTGGTATCGTTCTATGGTCGGAACCGATTGTTACCAGATTCAACGATCAAAAGGTTTGTATACCATGCCATACCATGCTATACCATGCCATACCATGCCATACCATGCCATACCATGCCATACCATGCCATACCATGCCATACCATGCCATACCATGCCATACCATGCCATACCATGCCATACCATACCATACCATATTATACCATACCATACCATACCATACCATACCATACCATACCATACCATACCATACCATACCATACCATGCCATACCATGCCGTGCCGAGCCATACCATGGCATGCCATGCCAGGCCATAATATGCCCCACCCCAAACCGAAACGCATTACTGCTTTACGGCAGTAATAGGCAGGGTGGTGGTGCTTACCCGTGCGGAATCACAAGAGGTCCTACCAACCGCCTTACGCAAATTATAATTTTGGGGGTTTGATTTTTACTACACGATGTTATTTCTTCAACTTGGAAGTCAGACTTGCCCATGGACAAGTCGGAGAATTCGTGGTACAGTACTTTGTGCAATAGCATGTGGATGGCTTTTTGGAGAAAATTAATTTAAATTAGTTAATGATTATTATCAGGTGGCTGTAGTGTTGATGGACACCCAGGGCACGTTTGACAACAGCAGCACGGTTCGCGACAGTTCAACTATCTTCGCACTTTCCACGTTACTCTCCTCGATTCAAATCTACAACCTCAAAGAGAACATCAAAGAAGACGACCTCCAGCATTTACACGTGAGTGATTAATTCCAAAATCATCAACTTATTTTTAATATTACAATAAATTTTCTTATAATGCCCGAAATGTAGATTTTCAGGTGGTTTATACTGTTTTACTTTTACTGATGTAAACGGTAGAACCAATTTGAATCGGCTTGCCGTTGGTGAAATGGATATTGCCGGCTTTGCGCCTGTGTCGACACATGATCACGGAGTCGAAAATTTGTTTGTCTTCGAAAAACGAATACCGATTAACAAATAATAAATAATAATAAAATAATAACAATTATCTTTAATAATAATTACCTTTAAATCCTGAAAATGATTGGTTTGTGGCAGAATTATTCCGGAGTTCGATGTCAGTTGAAACAGTTTCAAATTTCTAGAAATTAGGGGGAGCGTCAGGTGGAAAATTTTGATTATAATAAATAGAGATACGAAGGAAAAATAAGACCCAGTTAATACTGGTGATATGATGATATATCATGGAAGATAAACGCCTCGATTGAATGTGAATGTGAACTGATAATATATTATATTCTTTTTTAACAATATGATCATCTGTTGCGTTGTGGTAATTGAGCGTGGACTGTATTTATTGTATTTATTGTTTTAAGATATTGATTTTACCTTTATATGACAAATTAAAGACTTGATTTAAGAGGAATATAAAATTTATGCGTTGCTCTTGGCGGTTGGGTTTGAAAGAGAGTTGGTGTCATGGCGGACGTCGCTTTGACGTTCAGAAATTGAACATCGTCCTTTTTGTTGACGTCAATTTCAAGGAACATGATAGCTTTTTGTAGACCGATTAGGATGTGCTGCTCCTGCATGGTGAATGGGCGATTCAAGAATTCCAAAGGAACATGCTCATCACTTCGGTAGCGTTGACAAAAAAGCAAAAATAGCTTGCTTGACCTAGTTTAGCAACAACCATGGAGAGACACTTACTCAATCAGATCCATATTACTACAGTGTTACTGCCACATCAGATCGTCGTGAAGTCGTCGTGGCCTAAAGGATAAGACGTCCGGTGCATTCGTTATTGCGATGCACCGGTGTTCGAATCCCGCAGGCGGGTACCAATTTTTCTAATGAAATACGTACTTAACAAATGTTCACGATTGACTTCCACGGTGAAGGAATAACATCTTGTAATAAAAGTCAAAAAACCCGCAAAATTATAATTTGCGTAATCACTGGTGGTAGGACCTCTTGTGGGTCCGCACGGGTAGGTACCACCGCTCTGCCTATTTCTGCCGTGAAGCAGTAATGCGTTTCGGTTTGAAGGGTGGGATAGCCGCTGTAACTATACTGAGACCTTAGAACTTATATCTCAAGATGGGTGACGCATTTACGTTGTAGATGTCTATGGGCTCCAGTAACCACTTAACACCAGGTGGGCTGTGCTCGTCCACCCATCTAAGCAATAAAAAAAAAATCGATAGAGCCCATAGTGATGATGTACCCGGAATAAAATGTAAAATGTCAACAAATGGAAGTTTATAACAACTAGTGGTCGCCCGGTAGTCGAAATTCGATTATAATTATTAATTTAAATTATAGGTTTGAACATTATTATGGTTCTAATGTCAAATACTATATTATACATTTATAATCACAGATTTCGCTAAGGCTACACTATAGACAAATAATATTAAAGAAGTCAATATTAATCTAGTCTCAACTTTACCACAGGCTTTAATAATAAACAAAATAGTATAAATGTTAGTGTATGTAATGTTTTCTTTATTGATTTAATGTATTTTTTTTGCATTATTTAAAAAAAATATTAGCATTGTGCACTCCTTCTCTATATTTTCTATAAGTGTGGGAAATTTCATACTCCTCCGTCCGCGCGATTTTCGTAAAAGGGGGTACAAAGTTTTTGCTTCACGTATTAATTTAAAACGATAACCAATTTTGATGTTTCAGCTTTTTACGGAATACGGAAGGTTGGCATGCGATGATGATGATGAGGCAGCGTTCCAAGTTCTCATGTTCTTGGTCCGTGATTGGGCGTACCCTTATCAACACGCGTTTGGCGCGGAAGGAGGCGAAGAATTGCTTATAAAAAGGTTGCAGGTGTGTTAAGGTTATAGGTTTTATTGAACAGACAAATTATTACTGATGGTAATACGTCTTGTGAGTCCGCGCAGGGCAGCCGTTGTAACTCTATACTGAGATGAACTTATATCTCAAGGTGGGTGGCGCGTTTACGTTGTAGATTTCTATGGGCTCCATTAACCACTTAACACCAGGTGGGCTGTGAGCTCGTCCATCCATCTAAGCAATAAATAAATAAAAAACTTATCACTAGCAGTTGGCAGCGATTTGGCTGAGCGTCAGATTTCTGTTGTTCTGAGCTGAGCGATAGTAATTATTTACCATTATGCGGCGGCCCAAATAACGATCATATGCTTTTAAAAAAAGTATATCCCACAAGATTAACGATAATTACGGTTCATGCCGTAAGATGTATCTTCAATGAAACAATTTAGAGTCAATAACGGCTGGACAACGACCATTGGTATTGCTGATGTCCATAAGTGATGGCGACCACTCTCTACCGACTAGTCACTAGAATGACAATAAATGGCTCCAATGACAATAAACACAAATACGAAATCAAGTAAAAAATCTAATTAGTTTAGATTACAGCTTGTGCTACGTTTTTTAGTACTGTAATTACATATTTGCATATTTAATGATTCATTTTTAAATCGACGTTCTTTATAATCATAATATTTACCAAAACCCCAAACATAGCCAGCATAAATCTTATACCTTTAAACGAGCAATTCTTGTATATATATATAATTTGAATCTCTTAAATGGCTCGAACGATTTTCATAAATTTTAGTATACAGAGGATTTCGGGGGCGATAAATCGATCTAGCTACGATTTATTTTCAGAAAATGTTGTTTTATTCGTGTTTACAATAATCAACTCTTCCCGACATCTATTGGCGAATAATAATACTATTTTTCTTAATTGAGGGCAACTAACCGCTTTAAAGACACAACAAGATGGCGTTATCAAAAAAAAAACCCAGCAAAGCTCGGTCATCATCTAGTGTTCTTTATGTGCCAAAAAATTGTTTGTATATAATGGAATTGTTAGTAATTTTTAGATTAATTTAAGTGTACGTGCCACTAAAGGCCTTAACCAAATTACATGCCCTATGGTCACATGGTATACGGGGATAGGAAAGAGGTCTTAATTATAATTTAAAATAGCCTTTACTTCTTTCAAAATACGGCCAAACATTTTGTGGACACGTTAAACCGGACACTTTTTACCTGTTCTTCGTTCATCGTGAATTTTATTGTAAAACTATTTTGTTCGCAGATCACTAACAATCAGCACGCGGAGTTGAGGGAATTACGAGAGCGAATCCGTTCTTGTTTCAAATCGGTCTCCTGTTTCCTGATGCCTCACCCGGGGTTCGTGGTTTCGGAGCAAAACTTTAATGGACAACTAGCTGGTTACCAATAAATTTATTTACTGCTGGACTACTGGAAATAGATTACTGCTTCATCCTTTTACCGTGAAACCTTGTTCACCCTCTTAGATCAAATCACGTTAGGCGACTATAGTTCGTTTTAGAATAGCATAGCCTCATTTCTTCCAGTGAGTCGGTCCTAAGACGCTTTTATGAAAAAAGTGACTTAGGTATTCAATGGAAAATGGGCAATAGCGCTTTCTGAGCNGGATAGGAAAGAGGTCTTAATTATAATTTAAAATAGCCTTTACTTCTTTCAAAATACGGCCAAACATTTTGTGGACACGTTAAACCGGACACTTTTTACCTGTTCTTCGTTCATCGTGAATTTTATTGTAAAACTATTTTGTTCGCAGATCACTAACAATCAGCACGCGGAGTTGAGGGAATTACGAGAGCGAATCCGTTCTTGTTTCAAATCGGTCTCCTGTTTCCTGATGCCTCACCCGGGGTTCGTGGTTTCGGAGCAAAACTTTAATGGACAACTAGCTGGTTACCAATAAATTTATTTACTGCTGGACTACTGGAAATAGATTACTGCTTCATCCTTTTACCGTGAAACCTTGTTCACCCTCTTAGATCAAATCACGTTAGGCGACTATAGTTCGTTTTAGAATAGCATAGCCTCATTTCTTCCAGTGAGTCGGTCCTAAGTAGGTATTCAATGGAAAATGGGCAATAGCGCTTTCTGAGCTTTATACCTGTAAATTGCCATTTCGTTTACTAATCCTAGGATGGATGCGCCATTATTGTGCCTATTCCGTCTCGATGGAGTTTTGCATTCCCGCCCAAATGTGATACAGTTATAAAATATAGCTGAGAATACGATCTCACATCTCATGGTATGTGGTCTATGAACCACATAATAACAGGCGGGATTTCTTTGTACATTAGAGACAATAACAAAGTTAATATGGCGAGATTCCAGTAAAATTACAATAAACATTTCAGACATTCGTATTGAGTTCAAAGAAGCGCTTCGAGATCTGGTACCATCGATGTTCGGATCTAGGAATTTGGTGCCGAAGAAAATCAATGGTCACCAAATCAAAACTCGGGACCTGTTTGATTTCTTTAAGACTTACGTGAACATCTACAACAGCGAGGAGCTGCCTACTCCGGTTACCATTTTGAAGGTAATGCAAGAATAAAACAATGAACTTCTTTTATCTTCTTCTGACTTGTCTACCAAAAAAAAGCGAATACTTTTTACAAGACGGTGTCTAAATTAAGAAGTCTCTCCCTTTGAAATATAAAACCGATATCATGTTTATGATATTTTTTAATTTACAATTGAAGAGAGAGTTCGATCTTATATCTCAAGTTGGGTAGTATTCACTTTTTGACGTCTGTAAGCTCTAGTAACAACTTAAGTTGTCAATAGTAGATGAGCCGTGAGTCCTTAAGTACCCTGCCCTCTGCGGGACGCCCTGCCGGGGTCTCTATCAATCCCCGAATCGTACACCGAAGGCGGTTCGAAACACCTGGAGGACTTACAGGATACGGACCAGATCCTTATTCCAGCCCCCAACTTTACTCGTAGTACCAATAATTAAGAATATAAAACTATACAAATTTATGGATTGAGGAGCTAAAGTTAAAGTTTGATGTTAAAAGAGACGCTAAAGTAAGGTAGACGAATAAAGTCTTGAAAGGTTAAGTGAACATTGTGTGTACTCATAGTATGTGTGGTATTTTTTGTGCGTATGTGTTTCATGCTAATATTTATTGCCTCTATTGGAATTCTATTGGAATATATATATATATATATATATATTTGTATGTGTTTGAGTCTTTGTTTTTCAATGAACCTGCCAGTATTTCCCTTACTTTACTTGCATTACCTTTGATTGAATTGTAGAGAATGTCTTAGGCATTAAGTCTGCTAATGTATGCAAACGCATTGAGTATAGTAAATAAACATAAAATACTTCGTGATCATTACTCATATTACATAACAAGAAACGGTTTTTATATAATTAATTTAATTTTTTTTTCGCAGCAGACGCTGGTTGTTATTTATTATTTACGGGGCTTATCCAAGTAAATAATAAGAAATAAATATTTTTAATGTCCGTTAGTTGACTTTTCTTCTATTTCTAAAAACTTTTTAATTAAATTATAATTATTCTTATTATTATTAACTGTACTGAGTAACTATACTGAGACCTTAGAACTTATATCTCGAGGTGGGTGGCGCATTTACGTTGTAGATGTCTATGGGCTCCAGTAACCACTTAACATCAGGTGGGCTGTGAGCTCGTCCATCCATCTAAGCAATAATTTTTTTTTTATTGCCCTTGTAGGCAGACGAGCATACGGCCCACCTGATGGTGAGTTGTTACTGTCGCCCATGGACTTCAGCAATGTCAGGAGCAGAGCCAAGCCGCTGCCTACACCAAGCCGCGGCCTACATATATATATATATATTTAGCATTGTAACGATTTTATTAACGAAATAATTGTGTTACAGGCAACATCTGAGGTGGCATTGATATCAGCGATCAGGGATGCAAGGGAACAGTATGAAAAACGTATGGAAATGAACGCCGGTGCCAAACAGCCGAGTGTACCAGACAACGTGCTTGAAGATCAACACAAGAGAACCGTTCTTATTATTCGTCAATCGTTTGAGAGTAAAAAGAGGATTGGTTCACAAAAGGACGCCAAGGAGCATATCGAAAAGCTGATTACGGTTAGTCTTCAATTTTGAATTAAAATTTGATTATCATCGAGATAACATTCCTATGATCAAACAGTGAAGACATAATTATTACGAGATTTAAAAAAAAATAACTTCAGAAGCGGACATATTATTATGTAGTTCAGAGAAAGATCTTGAAATTGTAACAAATTAAAATGTTTTCCACTCTTTTAACGTGTTGACAACTTTTTTGTGACTTTATACATAACTAGCGACCCGCCCTCGCTTCGCTTCGGAAACATTAAAACACACATGAAACAAAAAAAAAATTAAAAAAAAGTAGCCTATGTTCATCAGGGACAATGTCGGCTTCTAATGGAAAAAGAATTTTTCAAATCGGTCCAGTAGTTTCGGAGCCTATTCGAAACAAACAAACAAACAAATCTTTCCTCTTTATAATATTAGTATAGACGAGCCGTACTCGTCCGCTTCGCTGGGCATTTAAAATTAACATTATTATTTATTGTCATTATTATTAGGGAATCCAACACTCATATAAATATTAGCCTATCCATTAAGTACATGTATTTTTTACATGGATACCGAGTTTCCAGTCAATCGGATGCATGGTTCAGAAGTTATAACGGACCATCCGTAAAAACCGCTACAGAGTTATATATTAGTATAGATTATACGCTTGTGGAATAGAAGTCGCGTATAGTAAAATTGATTTTAATATTATGACTAGCTGACCCGGCAGTATTCGTAGTGCCTCAACCTAAGCTTTTGTATAAAATAAACTTTAAAAAAAACAAAAGGAATCCGTCCGACGGGGACACATCAAAGGAAAAACAAAATTGTTTGTTTTTGTATAATTTCGAGCATTTTCACCTTTTTTATTCACCTTTTAAACCTTCTCTGGACTTCCACGAATAATTCAAGACCAAAATTAGCCATATCGGTCCAGCCGTTCTCGAGTTTTAGTGAGACTAACGAAAAGCAATTCATTTTATATATACTTAGTCTGGCCATAAATACTGTTACAAAGGAAAACAAAAAAAAAATCTATGGCAAATAACATTTATTACTTTTACAGTGTGTTAGTTTAATACATAAATATAAAACAATTTAAAGTATAAAAAGCTTATTCGAAGTGGTCTCCATTGGCTGCAATACAGTCCTTTAAACGTTGAGGCAGTTATAGATAGAAGCACGCACTCTTTCCATGGGAAAAAATTTCACTGCCAATCATACGGATTTTTAGGGACTCCAAATTATCATGGCGTTTAGAGCAAGCCGTACTCTCTAAAACTGACCATAAATCATAATCCAGCGGATTAAGATCGGGACTAGACAACGGCCAGTCTTCAGATCTGATGAAGTCCGAAACGTTCGTTTCCAACCAAGACTGCGTAGACCGAGCTTTATGACCTGGCGCCGAGTCTTGTTGGAAGGACCATTCTTGATTATTGAACATGGTGTCGTTAAGGGGCTTCACTACCTTCTCAAGAATGGTATCTTGATACACTTGTGCCGATGTTTTGATACCTTTTTCACAAAAGTATGGCCCAGTCACTCCTTCATAGCTAATACCCCACCAAACCATCACTGAAGTCGGATAGTGCCCACGTTGCACTCTGTGGACTAATTGGGAAGCTTCCTTAGAGCTTTGAGCATAAATACGGTCATTTTGTTTGTTAAAATGTTGCTCAATTTTAAAAAAAATCACATCTGTAAACATAAATTTTCTATGATCTCCCTTTGCGTACCGCTTCAGTAGTTGTTTCGATTTTACCACCCTATTCTCTTTTACATTATCAGTTAAGAAATGACCAGTACGTTTCTTATAGGCTGCAAGTCCTAAGTCATCTTTTAAAATACGCGACATGGTTCTAGGTGCTATCTTCATCTCCCGAGATAAAATCTTTTGCTTTCGGACAGGATTTCTTAGAATTCTTTCCCTTACTGCTTTGACCACCTTTTTCGTACGAACACTACGTGGACGGCCAGATCTTTTTCTGTCACAAACAGAGGAGGTCTCATTGCACCTATTAATAGCCCGGTACAGAAACATTTTACTAATACCAAGCGTACGGACAGTTTTAAAAATTGCATTTGGCTCCATCCTACTTTGTGTAATGCAATCACAGCGATTCGGTTCTCTTTATCATCCCACTCCATTCTAATATCGCAAAATATTGTACAATGTATTGGCGCCAAAATGAAAAAACTCAATGAGCAATCATATAAAAATGACAGATTCCAAATTCAAATGTACTATTTTGTTTATTTTTAATTGTAACAGTATTTATGGCCAGACTAAGTTTAGATTATTAAGTTGGTGAAACAAATCACGTTTTAACTTGCGTGTTAAGGAAAATGCGTTGGCGTGACTAAGATTTTTTTTTTACCGATATACTTAAGAAAGATGTATGTTTTTTTTAGGAATTAGAAGCACGCTTGCAGCATTACTTGACATTGAACAAAGCGAAACTTCAGAAAGCCGTGGTTGACGCGAAACAAGCTTACGATGACGCAGTTCAGAAGGTGACTAAGGGAGAGCCTCTCTGTCTGCACCCCTTAGACTTAGATTCACTCCACAACAAGGCAGTGGACGCGGCGGCAGATTTATTCGATAACAACAGAAGAACTCCCGATAAGGAAAGCGACCCTGAAAGGATTTCGTTAATGAAGGTATTTAATATCATTCTATTATTTCCGAATGAATAGTTAGGTTACAAAAAGTCATATAACTCTTTTACATTTACCTTTATGCGGATTAGAATGAAGCCAGCGAAGATTACATATTAATTCGGCAGCGTATATATGTATGTATTATATAAATGTGGTTTTATTGCTTAGATTTGTGGAACCTTAAACTATATAATATAGATCCAAAACCTCATTTCTCGAGGCTGGTGTTGACGTAGTGAACATGTAGATGGATTTGGTTTACTGGTAACGACTTCGTACCATCTGAGCCGTGAGCTCAGCACACATTAAAAACAATTTAACAATGCAATTAAGAATGCTCCTTTTAATTTCTAGCATCTGGAAGGTAATATCAAAGATTTGCGATTGAAAAACGATTATAACAATAAAGTCTTCATTAGCGAGGCCCGAAAGTTATATGAGACATTAATGCAGAAGCACGTCTGCATGGGATCGTGTGTCTCTGACGAATTATTGCAGAATTGCCACAGAAATGCGTTGAAGAAGGCCATTGGAATCTTGAAATCGCATCGCAACATCCCCACAAACCATAGCGAAGATAAATACATCAGTTCTCTACAAGAGGTTTGGTTTTTTATTCTTACGAGATTTCCTACGTGGTTTAATGTAATTTACTTTCATTGCTTAGATACGTGGACGAGCGCATGGCCCACATGGTTTTGGAGCCCATAGACATTAATAGCGTGAGTGCCGCCGCCGTCGTCGTGGCCTAAAGGATAAGACGTCCGGTGCATTCGTATCGAGCGATGCAACGGTGTTCGAATCCCGCAGGCGTGTACTAATTTTTCTAAAGAAACACGTACTTAACAAATGTTCTCGATTGACTTCCACGGTGAAGGAATAACATCGTGTAATAAAAATTAAACCCGCAAAATTATAATTTGTGTAATTATTGGTGGTAGGACCTCTTGTGAGTCCGCACGGGTATCACCACCAAGGTGGGTGGTGGCATTTACGTTGTAGATGTATATGGGCTCCGATAACCACTTAACACCAGGTGGGCTGTGAGCTCGTCCACCTACCTATACAATAAAAAAAATAGCTTGAGACATGAGTTCTAAGTCTCAGTTTCTACAGTACAACGGCAGCTCCGCCTTTCAAACCGAAGTGCATTACTGCTATGCGGTACAAATAGGCAGGGTGGTGGTACCTACCCGTGCAGTCTCACAAGGCGACTTATCACCAGTTATTTCGTTGTTACTTTTGAGCAGAGAAAAGAAACTAAAACTTTGTATCATATTTACTTTAGCTATTGTGGATTTTCTTCTTTTTCGCGACCACATGTGACTTTCCTCCACAGTGCTCGGTCCTGGATGGCATGGACCGCTTGTTATATATAGACAACCACCAACCACTTTCTGAACCAGATCTGACCATCTGGTCTCAGCGCGCTTGACCTCTATGCGACCCGCAATTATGAGCTTCTCTAATTTAGGTCTGGGAGACCGCACATCAGTATCCGAAGAAGCTCATAACAAGTTCTTGGGAGATGTTTAGCTCTATTAAGATGGACTCGTTAGTTCTTATGGCAGTCCATGGTATACGAAGCATCCTCCGTCACACCCACATTTCAAAGATCTTGATCTTTTTGCTATCGCGGCTTTTTATGCATTTCTGTTGCGCTTATTGCGGAGTTTACCGTGCACAAATACAATGAAAAACATTCCAATGTTTTATTATAATAATAATAATGGTTATTATAATCTTTATACGGCCTTTATGAGCTTTAAACGGCTGTCTGGTGTAGTGGCAAGTGACATGGTCACTACACAAGGGGGTCGCGGGTTCGAATCCCGCCACGGGAAGATATTTGTATGATAAATATAAATGCATTTTCCAGGGCTATGGATGTATATTAAATATATGTATGTGTATAATAAAAATATTACATTTATTTCCGTTATCTGGTACCTGTAACACAAGTTCTTTACGAACTTATCACGGGACCAGTTAACGTGGCGTGATTGTCAGTAAATATTTATATTATATTATATTTATTTAAGTTCCAAATGAATAATGTACCTTTCACGTATTTGGAATTAAATTCGACTGTGTAGCTTAAACTAGACGCGCTGGTGAATCTGCAGTGTCTATGTAATTTACATAATTACATTAGTGTATAGAAATTGCATACATAATATGTAATTTACAAAAATACATATACAAAATAAATAAAAATCAAAATACAGACAAACGAAAGATATCAACTGTCGGGTTTCAATCTATACTAATCTATATATTAATACGTGAAGCAAAAACTTTGTATCCCTTTTTACGAAAATTGCGCGGACGGAGGAGTATGAAATTTTCCACACTTATAGAGAATATAGAGAAGAAGTGCACAATGCTAATATTTAAGAAAACATTACACACACTACATACCGTGTATTTGACGCACACACGCATGTGACGCATGCATACTATTTATTGCAACGATACTTCGATAAGGCTATGCGTCATGATAATCGCCTTATCGTTGCCGCCGCTGACTACTCCCCGAATCCTGATCATGCAGGAGCCAGTCACCGTCGACGCCCTAGACACGCCCTTACGGATCCATCAGATCCAATAACCTTTGCATTAGATGCCTTCAGCTCTAATACTAGGGGCAGGCTTAGGGACCCCGGTAACCGTACTCGTCGAACTCGACAAAGAGGTCGACGTGCAACCTAACCCATGCATCAGCCCGCTGAGTTTCTCGCCGGATCTTCTCAGCGGGTCGCGATTCCGATCCGGTAGTAGATTCATTCGCGAAACAATTGCTCTTGAGTTGTTAGGTCTCCTTCGGAGGCGCTGGGGCAGTTGTTAGCAAATCCCATCCCTCTTGGCTGAGCCTTTGCTCGCCCACCTGTCCTGGTGAAACTGGAAAGGCCTTCGGGCCACCAGTAAACTTTCAATCATAAAAAAAAAACTATTTATTGTCAAACTTTTGTTCTGACGTCTGTGGTCAAATTTAGAATAGATTAAATATTGTTTGTCTTTGTTAACATTTTTTATAGTATAGTCTTGGCGAAATTTGTGATTAAAGAAGTATAAAATACAATTATAATAGTGTACAAACTTACAATTCCAATTAATTATAGTCGAATTTCGACTACTGCGGGACCTCTAGTAATATATAAATATACAGTGGGTTTTAGGGATGTTCCGTTATAACTACTGAACCATGCATCCGATTGACTTGAAACTTGGCATCCATGTAGAAAATACATGTACTTAATGGATAGGCTAATATTTATATGAGTGTTGGACTCCCTAATAATAATGGCAATAAATAATAATTTTAATTTTAAATGCCCAGCGAAGCGGGCGAGTACGGCTAGTATACAATACATGCGTTAATTTTTTTTATTCGCAGAGCATCGTAGAAGAATTCCAGAAGTTTCGTTCAGCGAACAACAACGCCAATAAGATTGCGATCCAAGCGGCAGTATACTCTTACAACAATCACATGACTTCAGCCTGGGGACCGCCTTCCAGCTGCTTCCATCCCCAAGACCTAACGACAATCCACGAGACTAATAAAGCATTAGCCCTGACTGAATTCCACAACAGCAGAAATACGACGGCTGATTATGATGGTGATGACGGTGATGTAAATGAACAAAAACTCGTTGAGGTTCGTCGGTAGTCATAATACAGATTAGAGTAAAGTTTTGCGCTACTGGGTTGAGATTGAAGGTGGGTGGACGAGCTCACAGCACGCCTGGTGTTAAGTGGCTACTGGAGCCCATAGACATCTACGACGTAAATGCGCCACCCACCTTGAAATATAAGTTCTAAGGTCTCAATTATAGTTACAACGGCTGCCTCACCCTTCAAACCGAAACGCATTACTGCTTCACGGCAGAAATAGGCGGAGTGGTGGTACCTACCCGGGCGGACGCACAAGAGGTCCTACCATTTAATTACAATTAATTTAATTACACAAGTCACGAAAGATTAATATATTTCGTGATTTGTGTAATTAAATATATGCAGTATTTAAAATCTCAACTATTTATTTTTTACTAACTGATCCGGCAGACTTCGTAGTGCCTCAATTGATAAATAAAAGACCTAAACTTTTGTATAGAATAAACTTAAAAAAAAAAAAGGAATCCATCCGGGGGACACATCAAAGGAAAAACAAAATTGTTATTTTTATTTATTTCCGAGCATTTTCATATTCATCTACCTTTTAAACCTTCTCTGGATTTCCACAAATAATCCAAGACCAAAATTAGCCAAATCGGTCCAGCCGCTTTCGAGTTTTAGCGAGACTAACGAACAGCAATTCATTTTTATATATTTTTTATTATTATTTACGTAGGAAGTGTTTCTTTCCGTTTTAAACTCTAACTAGATGATAACCGGGTTTTTTTTTTTGTTTTTGATAACGTCTTGACGTTACATCTTGTTGTGTTTTTAAAGCGGTTAGTTGCCCTCAATTAAGAAAAATACTATTATTATTCGCCAATAGATGTCGGGAAGAGTTGATTATTAAAAACACGAATAAAACAACATTCTCTGAAAATAAATCGTAGCTAGATCGATTTATCGCCCCCGAAATCCCCTGTGTACTAAATTTTATGAAAATCGTTGGAGCCGTTTCCGAGACTCAGATTACATATATAAAAGAATTGCTCGTTTAAATGTATAAATAAGATAGTTTCTGACGCTATTTTTAAAATCTTTCCACATGCTACTGTGGCGCCACCTTAATTAGCTCCTTTTAGCGGATACTTTTTAATACACGTGAGTTGGTCCTCCTTAGTTATACCCTCCATACGCCTAACCAAAATAGTGAATAAAACGATTTTTTTTTAATTGTCTTTCAGCTATTGAGCAGACGTTATAGTGAACTGAAAGAAATCAACTCGGCTTCCAACGATATGGCAGTTGCCGATTCATACCGCGAATACTGCAGGTATATGGACGGGAAATGTAAGCCGTCGGTCCTGTCTATATTAATTGTTCCTTGGCTGGTCAAGGTACGCAAGCTTTTTCTTTACTTTCACACATCTATTCGGCGAGCTTAGTCATACTGATATGTAAATTTAAATAATAATATTGCTCAAAATATTAATTTAATTAGATAATGTCATAGTCCAGGACTGATCGCAGATAGGCACATAAAAAAAAAAATATATATATATATTAGATAATGTGGAAGGATATAGAGGAAGAGGTAGACCTAAGAAGAAATGGATGGATTGTGTGAAAGACGATATGTGTAAAAGGGGAGTGAGCGAAGAAATGGTATATGATAGAAGAGTATTGAAGGAGAAAACATGTTGCGCCGACCCCAGGTGACTGGGAGAAGGGCAGGATAATGATGATTAATTTAATTAGAGATATCAAAATGATTTCAAATTTGTTTTTGTATTTATATTACAGGTGAGTGAATATCTAGTCAGATAAATTTATTAAATTTTTAATTTTTTAATGTTAATAAATTCGTTTTAATGTTACAAAAAACTCAGTTAACTCTTTCATTATCCGAAGAACCTCATACATTTTTTTTATAACCCTTGTAGGCAGACGAGCATACGGCCCACCTGATTGATGGTGGTCGTCAATACCTATACTTGAGACCTTAGAACTTATATCTCTAGGTGAGTGGCGAATTTAAGTCGTAGATGTCTATGGGCTCCAGTAACCACTTAACACCAGGTGGGCTGTGAGCTCGTCCAACCATTAAGCAATAAAAAAAAAACAGGGACAGAGCCACACCGCTGCTTAAAAATTAGCTGCTGTACATTTCTCAATAACTATATAAGATTAATATTTGTTAATCTATGACCCGTAGGTGATCAGACGTCTGCCAGATTATCATAAAGAAGGCAAAAACGCAGCATGGGATTACTTCAGAAGCAAGAGACGCAATTACTCCTACCGTTCCGATGACAGTTACAGAACAGACCTCGAATCTGTAAGATATTTTCAAACTTCTACCGGCTTATAGTATTTTCTTGCGGTAACCGTACTCGTCGAACTCGACAAAGAGTTCGACGTGCAACCTAACCTAAGCATCAACCCGCTGAGTTTCTCGCCAGATCTTCTCAGCGGGTCGCGATAATGATCCGGTAGTAGATTCGGAGGCGCTCGGGTAGCTGTTAGCAAATCCCGCCCCTCCAGGCTGAGCCTTTGCTCGCCCACCTGCCCTGGTAAAGCTGGAAAGGCCTCCGGGCCACCAGTAATCCTTCAATCCTAAAAAAATTTATTATACACTTAATATTTGAGATCACATGCAATGAGATTATGTTCGTCTTTATATTTCGTTTGTTCATCTGTCATCTTAACCCTCAGACACAGCCCACTGAGTTTCTTGCCGGATCTTCTCAGTGGGTCGCGGTTCCGATCCGGTGGTAGATTCTGCGAAGCACGGCTCTTGCTAGGGTTCGTGTTAGCAACGTCGTCAGGTTTGAGCCCCGTGAGCTCACTTACTAGTTAAGGTTACGCTGATATAGCCTCTCAAGGCTCTCAGCTAGGTAGGAAAAAAAAAAGGATTCAATATAAAAAACAATGTGTCATAATACGTATTCGATTTTCAACAGAAACTGGAAGATGGTTTTCATGAGTATTGTCACCCGCTGAACGCGCTCACTCGTGAGTTCGGTATATGAGACGATTTGGGAGTGGCAACAAGTATACAAATAAACAATAAAAAAAAAAACGGAAACACCCAACTGATTTTTTGATTAAAATATTCGGGATATTTGTGATGTATAGCATATTTATTCGGAAATTTTATTGTCCTTTTTTTTTCAATGAACGTTTTTGAATAAAAACAAAAATCAAATCACAATGTTTTTAGATTTTATGCTTATAACTGATGCTCGCCTATCCTTAATGTATCAATCACTGTAAAAAAATCAAATAATTGTAATTGAGAAATAGCAATATTATTTTAAGTGTTAGATTATTATTTTTTGTATTTGAATTTGTATTTTTTTTTATTATTCAATCCGGGCGTCGGCATTTAAATTATGATGTTAATTTATGCCAAGAAAACGACTAGTCGTGATAAAGTACATGTGCTGCCATCTATTGTCTGAAATATACATTAATATTTATTTAATTTCAAAACATTCTGCTAAGTCGTAACTAATTTAAAACAAATAATATGTATGATAATAAGCAGTAATTTGAAGGGTCGCTGGCCCGATTTGAAGGATGGGAAAGTCGCAATACTATACAATTAAGACTTAGACCTCACTTCTAAAATGAACTGCGACATTCACGGTTGGATCTCCATGAGCTTCGGGAAACCACTTAACACTAGGGGGAACATGAACATATTTCATCATCATCATTCTCTAGCCCTTCTCCCAGTCACCTGGGGTCGGCGCAACATGCTTCTTCCTTCCATACTCCTCTATCATATACCATTTTTACGCTCACTCCCCCTCTTACAAATATCGTCTTTCATTGAGTCTGGTGGGCACCTAAGAATACTTACTCCCAACCCAAACTTAGCTCATAGGTGTCGTAGAAGGCGACTAAGAGTCAAAGCATGACCAAAGCCTAGGCCCAAAGCCAACAAAAGTATCCCCAAGGAAAGTTAACGTCAGGCTGGTGGCCAAAACTTAGAAGCAACATTATGTTTATGCAATAAATATTTTAGATAATTTTTTTTTATGCACTGCACTACTGTACTACTGTTACTGTTATGTTACTGTTTTAGTATAAATACACTAGATAAATACAACCGAAAAAGCTCTTGCAATTAGATACGATTTAAAAATATGCCAACGTTAAAAATATTTTTGTATTTCTATAAAAATGATTTTGTAAAACAAAAGCTTGTAAATAAATTATATTATTTTCAAGTGTGCATTTTTTTAATAAATAATATAGGTACTATAAAATGATGTATTCTTTCTTGTTTAGATGGTATTCCTTGGTTATTGGAATTCATAGACATTGCGACGCCACCCACTTTGAGATTTGACGTCAGATTCTCACTTGTTACGTGTGCACCGGATGCTTGATCTTTTAATCAATGAGAATCAACGTCGTGGCCTAAAGGATAAGTGGCTAGTATTTTTTTTATTGCATTAGACATACTAGCGTACGACTCACTTGGTGGTGAGTGGATACCGTCGCCCATGGACTTCACCAATGCCAAGGGCAGAGCCAGGCCGCTGCCTACTGCTGCTTTCGCATCGAGCGATGTGACCGTGCCGGTGTTTGAATCCGGCAGGCTGGTATCAGTTTTTTCTAAAGAAATACGCATTTGACAAGAGTCCCCAAATTAATTCCACGATGTAATAATAGCATCGTGCAATAAAAATCGAACACGCAAACATTATAATTTGCGTGATTACTGGTGGTAGGTAGTTTTGTGAGCATCATCCTACCCTTGCCTATTTTCTGCCGTGAAGCAGTAATGTGTCTCGCTTAGAAGGGCGAAGTCGCTGTTGTACTGTAAAACTTCTGATATCGTAAGGTTTTGTTGATATCTATGGATTCCTGTAATCACTTAAAGTCAGGAGGGGTGTGAGCTTTCCATTCATCTAAGAAAAAAAAAGTATATTAATTATTAATAGAGGTCCCGCAGTAGTCGAAATTCGCCTATAATTAATTAGAATTGTAAGTTTGTACACTATTATGATTGTGTTTTATACTTCTATAACCACAATTTTCGCCAAGGCTACACTATAAAAAAATATTAATGTTAACGAATCAACGTCACGTGATACATTGATGGCTGTGATTGGCCAACGATGACGTCATATCGCACGAACCAATCACAAAACAGGAAACGCAACAGTGGCACCAATTGTCAAAATTTAAAAATTATAACACGAAGAAAAAAGATGGACGCGCATTTCAATTCTATATTTGTAAATTAATTAAAAATAATGTAATGAGTATTTGACGAAGTAAACGCATTTATTCATTTTCTTGGCCACCTCAAGATACATCTAAGAAATAGACGCAACATTTCTATTGGTCCTTCGAGCCGGATCATCAATTAAGTTGAACCAGACGCTTACTTGAGAGACGCATCGGCCATTGAAAAGGAAAATTCGGAAAATTTCACCAAATTCGCAACATTACAGTGCTTTGGCAAGGCGTGCTAACCAAAATTTGCTAAATTTTTCCCCGTCGCGTATATAGTACTCTGCTTTTTTCAAACCTTTTTTGCTTTTCATTTTGCGTACGTATTTTCACTAATATTGAGCAGCTGTTTTGTTTTATTATTTAAAAACTGTAAGTACACCACCATTTACTTGTTTCCACAATGACTACATCAGATCATAAGGTAGAATTATTGATGAAAGATCTTACAAGAAAACGCGCATCTATTAAATGTCGTTTGACTAACTTTGGAAAATACGTGAATTCATTCGAAGGTGTAGAATTAACTGTTCATCAACGTACCGAGCTAAAACTGCGGATGGCAGGATCGCAAAGTTTAATGAATGATTTTAACCTCGTTCAGACTCAAATAGAAGACATTAATGTAGAAATCGACATAGAAAAACAATTAGAATCGCGTGAAGATTTCGAGCAAAAATATTATAATATTCTTGCCCTTGCTGAATGTCTGACCACCGCTGATGAAAAGTCAAAAGGTATGATGTCTGAACCACCGATTACAAGTTCCAAAAGTATTAAATTACCCACTATATCTGTCCCCACCTTTGACGGCTTATATGAGCACTGGTTAGAGTTCCGCGATACATTTTTGTCACTGATACATAATAGTGAAACAATTACAGAAATTCAAAAATTTCATTATTTAAAATCGTCTTTGTCCGGTAACGCTAAATCGGTCATAGATTCCATAGAATTCTCTGCTAATAATTATAAAGTTGCTTGGGAACTACTGTTAAATCGATTTGATAATACGAAACTATTAGTACATAACCATGTCAAATCCATGTTTACCATGCAATCGTTGACTAAAGAATCACCAGTGCAATTACGCAGATTAATTGATAATATTTTAAAAAACCTTCGCGCTTTAAAGCTTTTAGG